AATAACATTCATCGCGCCACTACGGTCGAAGTCCACGATTCTCTGTTGTCCCACGTGCTGCCCCATACAGTCATACGGGGTTCGCAAATGAACCTTTGTAACCCAAGAAAAATCATTCAACATAATCGCGCTCACCTGCGTGATTTTATAGCTTCGATGCTTCGCAGCGATTTTTATGGCTGCAATTAAGCTGTTTCCGATATTACTAAAATTTTACGCTCGCATTGTGCAGTGGTATTTGTCTAATGGTTCCAATCCTGAGAATCATGCCACAGTCCCAGATATTGTCTTGAACTTACTCCCATATTAAAGCTTAACCATCCAGACGTGCTTATATTTCCAAATATAATTATTAATAACTGCCTTAATGGTGTTTTTTGACGGTTTTTCACTGTTTTTAAGCGTTTTAGCAGGGTTATTGGTGTTTTTTGACGGGTTTTCACTGTTTTTAAGCGTTTTAGCAGGGTTATTGGTGTTTTTTGACGGGTTTTCACTGTTTTTAAGCGTTTTAGCAGAGTTATTGGTGTTTTTTTGACGGGTTTTCACTGTTTTTAAGCGTTTTAGCAGGGTTATTGGTGTTTTTTGACGGTTTTTCACTGTTTTTAAGCGTTTTAGCAGGGTTATTGGTGTTTTTTGACTGTTTTTCACTGTTTTTAAGCGTTTAGCAGAGTTATTGGTGTTTTTTGACGGGTTTTCACTGTTTTTAAGCGTTTAATAAGACGTATGCCCGCGTACCTGACTTCTACTAGACCGCGATCCTTAAAAATCATTCTAAACAATGTTCTCGAATAGCTCTCCTACGCTGACTGTACTCAGTCTGCTGTGTGTTGCTATGTTGCTGCCCATGGTTAACTTGCCAGTGCCTGGAATCTCTTTTTTTGTAACGGTTTTGGATTTTGGACACTCATTTTTTTAGTTACATATATTTGTTCAACTTCTTTCTGTTTTATCTGTATCAAAGTTAGACTTTATCACGGGTGTCGCTGCTTGATAACCAACAATGCTACCATGTTTCCCCGAAAAAAAGACAGGGCCTTTTTTCAATTTTCTTTCAAAAAATAACACTGGGGCTTATTTTGGGAGGTTGTCTTTCATTTTTATTTATCGAAGACAGAATTACAAAGTAGAGAATTACGAGATTTTCATATATACAAAATAGGAAAATTCACTTAACATAAATAACACGTTTTTATTTAAAAAAAACGACTCGATATTACTTTGAGGGGGGGGGGGGGGGCTTATATTAAAAGTTCAGGCTAGGTCTTATTTTCTGGGAAACACGATATTAGATTTTAGGTACTCCTGGAGTATGCGCACCAAGATGTCGCACAACCTGAACCCTAACCTGGTACACAACCAGAGTTCAGGTTGTGCGCCATCTTAGCGCGCATACTTCAGGAGGTCCAGATTTTATTATACTCTAATAGCAAAGGGGCTAACCATTTTCAATATTTATTCACAGTGCACTGGTATACACAGCTTGCATAGAAACAAATAATTGGCTAACTAACCCCAAAACGCGACTTTGACTGATAACCGGACGAGAGGCTGTGTTTCACCATATAATTAAGCTGTCTCATCTACCTTCCCCTCCCCCGGGAAAAGTATGTAAAATCCTATCATATTGAAACAATCGCATGAAAACAAAACTCGCCATGAAAAGTTTGTGAATTGAACGATCGCGATGTGATTGCAAGTTTACCTGAACAACACATCTTCGAAATATGAGCAGACAGCGCCACCTTGGGGATGTCAGAAAATCGAATTGTACTCGAATAATCTGAAATAATTGATCACAGACTTGTTCGATCTAATTTGCTTAAAACATGGTCAAAATACCATGAATGCAAACAGATTTCGGTGAGAGAGTTGGGCTACAAATTCAAGCTTTAGCATTTGTTGTAATTTTGTATTTAGCAGACGCTACAACATGTCTATGATCGATGTTTATTTCAACAGCGAATTTCAGAGATTGAAGACGTCTTCAGGGTGTCTGAAATTCCAACTCTTTATTTCATGGGAATGAAAATAAATTTTGATTTCGTCCAGGGTGCCAAAACACGAATAAAGACTATTTAAAGAATGGCCTGGTTGCGCTTTTTTTTTGCAATTTTGAAATGTCAAAAATTTGAACTAAATGACAGGATCCAACTAATTAGTCAGAAAAATTTTAAAAGGAATAGCGTTCAAATACACCATTCCATCTTAATTTACTGAGAATATTAAAACGATTGATCCTCTAGTTTGGAAGAAAAGTTAATTTTTTATTCTATCAATGTCAACATGAAAACCACTATGACCAACAATGCATCAGCATGTTCAATATATCCATTTCTATCTCTATATACGGTAGATAATACTTTCATCTCACTGCGCGAAGAAGAGGAATTTACTTTAAGTAAAAACAGTTTGATTAACTCTCGACTACGTATGGCTATTACAGAGTTTATTGGTCGAAATAACCACGCCGCCTTGAAACACACCAAATTCCCAAAGCATTGCTTTCACGCGCCAAAGTGTCGGCTGACGTAAAAAATTGGGCTTAATTTAAGATGCCGTACAACAACAGTCATAGTCAAGTTTATTTTTTTACATCCAGTAGAAAAAATATGAACATGTTCAGACGAATAATAGAATAATATTGAATACAATTTCACTGAGGAAGGGAAGCCGCGGGGAAGGAACCAAACCTGATTATTAAGCAGCAACACCCAAGGTTCAAATATATATATGTAACGTAATACGTAGTCTTACGTTCATTCCACTGTGTGGCGCATATACGTTGCGTATTTGTTGTGTTGCCACGTGTTTTTGATTACTTGTTCTTTTTAAGTCGTGTCTGTTGCATCGGGCAGACTTTTCTTTTCTGTTCTCTGACCTTGATGACTGGTTATCGTATCCTAGCGTTGAATACAAAAGTGCACCGTGAATATTTCTTGACTGTTTATCGTGTGAACCTGTGGACTGGGGCAACAGAATAGCCGAGTATTTGCCAGTATTCAAAAGTCAATTAAGCTGTCGTTTAGCGAGGAAGTAGACGGTCTTTTCTACACAGTATATCACCGTCGAACGCCATCGCCTAAAAACCCCGCTACGTTACATATACAGTATAAATAAACATTAACAAGTTTCAGCAACTTGTTTGTTGGAGCACTGTTATTGTTGCGCTCGATTCTATGTAGCCTGGTTACTTCTCACGCACATTAAGAGATTGGAGACTTCAAAAACGCGTCCCAATACCCCAGTCCTGACCCCAAACCTATATCGGTTAATTGTTACAACTAGTCCGTGCTTTCAAGCAATTAAAGTCTGTAAACAGCGATTAAAGTGCCGCCAGATTCTTCTGTGCCTTTCAAATGCTGCCCCAATATAATTCAACTTGAAATCGGTGAATATCTTTAATAACAATCAACAGACACTTCAAATCAAATCTCGAAACATGAATCAGGAAAATAGAACTTGCCGGGTACCGGAAACGGAACGTTGTTAATGGAACGTAACGTAAATCTTGATACCGGGTATGAGGAACGTAAAGGAACGTTGTTAATGGAACGTAACGTAACGTTGTTAACGTTTAAAGGAACGGTTTTCTGCCAAAATAATAGATAAAACTAAATAGCTTATATGGCACAATTAATCAAATATAACAGCATTACCATTTTACAAGCAATAACAATTCACATCAATTAGCAGATAACCATATGTCACAATTATGTACAGATTAAATCACATAGGATAAAATAGTATTCACAATACTAAAATACAGAATAAATCATACAAGATAAAACAATATTTACATACCGAATGTTTAGGATCTCCAGGCAACTCAATTCAACAATTTATAATCCAAAGTAAATACAACTTAACTTATGTGACTAAATACAAGAAACAGCATTTATCATTCTATTTGGACTATATTACAACCCTAACCTGTATCCCTACATTATATTACAACTCCAGTATGAACCGTTGATTTTAAACCCAATTAATAACTTCAATTCGAATCGTTTATCCTAACCGCGAATAGTAAACCCAATATTAAACACGATAAACAACTCCTAGCGCAATAGATTACACTGTACAAGACAGAAGGTGCCAACTCATCGAAGCAGCGTGGCGATAATTTAGAATTCCCGGGATTAATCGAGAAACAGGACTCTGTCGCAATAATGCTGCGTCGATACGTTTGCAACGTCTGCGTAACAACGTAAAACGTCATCAAATTAGAAACACGTTATGATTCTCGCTAACATTCCCCGCCCCAGATGTAGGAACGAAGAGAATACATCTTACAATTCAAAAAGAAAAAGTGAGAATCATCACAATAAGTAATACAACTAACAATGAATTACTCATCAGCTCTCTGAATCATACAAAGTTTTGCTATTGGTCTTCTTAAAAACCCATGAGAAGTTTTGACAGTCACTTGTCTGACAGCTCCAAATTTGTCTGGTATAACTTCCATAATTCTGCCTGTCAGCCACTTCCCTCTTGGTATTGTGTTGTCAACCAGTAGCACAAGATCATTGACTTTGAAATTGTCTTCCTTCTTCAACCATTTATGTCGAGCTTGTAGATTGACAAGTACTTCTCTGGACCATCTTATCCAGAATTGGTCAGCCAAATATTGTATTTGACGCCATCTTCTTCTCGCATAACAATCTTTCTTGTCAAATATTCCTGGTGGTAAATTTGCTTTATGCTTCAGCAACAATAAATGATTTGGTGAAAGTGGTTCTTCATCCAAAGGATCCATACTAATAGGTGTAAGTGGTCTTGAATTCAATTGACTTTCAACTTCACAAAATATAGTAGACAACGCTTCATCAGTAACCAATTGATCATGCAATAATGCAGTCATATCTTTCTTGCTGATCTGATGAGTCTTTCATAGAAACCTCCAAAGTGTGAAGCTGTGGGAGGATTGAACTTGAATATGATATCACTTTGTCTGCAAAATTCTCCCATTTTACTGGAATTCCAAATTTGAATTTCTTTCTTCAACACTTTATTTCCAGCTGTAAAATTGCTCCCATTATCACAATAATGGTTGACATCTTGCCTCTTCTGGCAATGAATCTTCTTAATCCATTAATAAATGAATTGACATCCATACTATGCACAATTTCCAAATGCACTGCTCTAGTTGTTGCACAGGTTATTATCAAGCCCCATCTCTTCACAGAACTTCTTCCTTGCTTCACCAACAACGGTCCGAAGTTGTCAACTCCAACACATGTGAATGGTGGTTGATCTGGTGTCACACGCTCTTTAGGTAGGTCAGCCATAAATTGCTTACCCATCGAAGCATTTCTCTTTTTGCAAAAAATGCAATTACGAATATTTCGCTTTACAACAACAGCTCCATTGATAATCCAGAACTTCTGTCTCAGCAAATTCCATGTATGACTTGCTCCACAATGATGTGAACTTTTATGGTATTCTCTGACAATCAACTGTGTGATATGATGGTTACTTGGCAGTATTATTGGATGTTTCAAATCAAATTCTATGGGTGCGTTCTGCAATCTTCCACCCACTCTCAATATTCCTTCAATTAAAACAGGATTCAACTTTTGCATTGAAGGTGCAATTTTCAAATTTCTAAGCACACTTTTCCCTTGTACATCAGAATTTTGTAACTTTGCAATAACTTTATTCAACTCACGATTTTGTAAATACTTTATCAGCTCATTTTCGGATCTTCTCAACTCTTCTGTTTGCAATTCACCTTTTGAACAGTTGGTTTAGCTTGTAAATAAATTTTGAATCTGATAATCCATGCCGTAGCTTTCTTCAACTTATACCATGAAGAATAATAGTTGATAAACTTGTCCAAGGTTCATTCTCTGTCACTAGATTCACTAGAACTTTAATTGGCTTTTTCTGAATAAATTCCAATGGTAAATGTGGTAATTTAACTGGCATTTGTGGCCAGTTCTCTTCATTCTGGTAGAGAAATTCTGGTCCTTGTAACCATGATTTCTTTGCAATCAATTTCTTTGCTGTCATTCCACGGGATGCATAATCCGCTGGGTTCAATTCACTTGGAACATAACGCCATTGATGTGGCTCTGAACCTTCTTCAATTTTTGCTAATCGGTTAGCTATGAAAGTAGGAAATCTTTTCGACGAATTGTAAATTGATTGGATAGTAGCTGTGCTATCACTCCAGAATATAGACTTAACATTCTTCTCAAATTTTAATTGACGTCTTAAAAACATATCCACTCGCACACAAAGCGCAGCAGCTGTAATTTCCAGCCGTGGAAGTGAACATATTGTCTTGATAGGACACAATCTTGATTTTCCAAGTAAAAATGAACAGTGTATTCGACCGTTTTCATCTGATAACCTCAAATATGAAACTGATCCATAGGCAACTTGTGATGCATCGCCAAAATGATGTAATTCTTGTGAAACAATAACCCCAAATGAATTCGGTTTAATGTATCTTGGTAATTTGACTTCTGATAAGTCTGGAATTGCTTTAGTCCAGCTTTCCCATGCTATTTGTTCATTTCTCCAATAGTTTCATCCCATCCCAATTGTTGACGACATAACTCTTGGAATATAAGTCTTGCTTGCAATATCACAGGTGATACAATACCCATGGGATCAAATACGGAACTAAGAATTGCTAGAACTCCTCTTTTCGTAGCAGGTTTTGTCTTCAGCTTTGTATTAAATCCAAAGCAATCTTCTATCACGAACCACACAACTCCCAAAACTCGTTCAAACGATTTGGGTCTAAATTTACGTTTGCTTGAATTTGTGCTCTATCCTTTTCTGGAACACAAGAAATAATTTCTTCTGAATTACTCCTCCATTTGTTTAAATGAAAACCTCCACATTCAGTAAGTTCTGAGGTTTGCTTGACAATTCTCTTCCCTTCAGATATACTATCTGCTCCAAGTAGGAAGTCATCTATATATGAATTATCTTTGATATTGTCACTTATATCTGATGGAAAGTCTTTTCCAAAATCTTCTGCAGTTCTCCTTAAACAGTAATTTGCACAAAATGGACTTGATGTATTTCCAAAACAATGCACTAACATCTGATGATCGACAGGAGTTTTTGTCAAATCTCCATCAGGCCAAAATAGGAATCTCAATGCATCAACATCCCTAGGCGTTACACGAGCTTGTAAGAACATAGCTTCTATATCTGCAGTTATACCATATTTGTACATTCTGAAACGTAGCAAAACAGATAACAATCCATTTGCCATATCTGGACCTTGCAGTAATTGATCATTCAGTGATGTGTTCAAATATCTTGCACCTGCATCAAATACCAGGCGTACTTTACCAGGTTTCTGTTCTGATGTAACGGGTTGATGAGGAAGATACCACGCTTTACCAATGGGTGCTTCAAATTCAGCAGCAGGAATTTTCCTTGCCCATCCTTTCTTTATAAATTCAGCCATGGTACTGCAATATTTGTCCCTTAAAACATCATTCTCAACAAGCGTTTTCCCAAATTGTTGGTTCTTCTCATAACTGCATCACGATTATTAGGAAATTCAGGACATCCTGGTTTCCATGGTAACGGAGATTGGTAATGTCCATCCACCATCTTTATATTATCTTCCATCAGTTGTAATGCATACTTATCTTCTCTTGACAATGTTGGTGTGGGAGTCAATGATATATCTTTGAAATCCGTTTCCCACATCTCTCGAATTTGTTGTTGAAGATCTTCACTTTTCACTTCAACATGATTAACATGTACATGAAAACTTTCATTCCCAGAAGCTTTATTAAAGGCAGGCCCGACCAGTGACCAACCAAGAATACTTCTTTTTGCAACTGGTTCATTTGTAGTACCACGCCTTTCATCTTTACCCAGAATACTTCAGGTACATTCACGCCAATCATGAGCATCACTCTTTCATCTGGTAATTTTGGAAATTCAATACCCTCGAGATATTCATGCCTTTGTAATTCAATCCTTTTAGGTAATTTATTCGGTACTGTCGGAATTTCATCCACAGTGAGCACACGATGTAATGTCACACAACCTTCCCCTTTCAGTGGTTTAACAGTTAAGTCAAGAGCGAATCCATCTTGTTTCTGTGGATTCGGTGTGTTTACAGTAGTAATGGAATAACTCATTGGTTCACCATCCATCTCTAAAAGTTCCATCAATCTTTTATCACATAGACAAGAGGTGCTTCCCTCGTCTAGGAAACAGTATACTTCAATTTCTCTACCTTGAGGTGAGGATACTTTCACTGGAACTATATTCAAGTATACTCCAGCTGAATTTCTGGTATAGTTCGTTAAGGTCGATCCCGATGTAGCAGTTTGAGTAGCGGAACTTGTACTTTGCTCTTTTCGCTTAGTATCTGCAACATTTCGATGAAGCATTCTATGATGTCTGCCACCACATCCTCTCTCAGTACATGCAGGATTCTTACGACATTGCCGTGCCATATGACCAATGTATAAACAGTTTCTGCAAATATGAAATTCACGAATTGTAGCCTCGCGTTCACTTGCAGATTTTCTTTCAAACTCTGGACAATGAATAAGAAAATGATCTTTTGAACAGATAACACATCTGTATCTATTTCTCACAAATGTACCTTTTCTCTCGGTAGATTGTTCAGGTTTGCCATCACCACTTGTTGAAGTGGAATTTGCATAAATTCTCTTCTTTTGAGGGTGTTTAGCCTTTTCCCTCTCTTTATGAGCTCTCATAGCTTTGCCCATCGATGATTGTGCCGTAATTGCTGCTTTCTTGACAAACTTTAAAAGATGTTCAAATTTTAGTTCAATGTTTCTATTCTCATAATCTGCTGCCTCTTCTTCCCATTTATTATGGTACTTCAGGGGTAATCTACATGAAAGTTGAGCAATATTGTCAAAATTATTTAGATCTGAATATTGCTTCCAATGCGACAGTGTTAGGTAACATTCTTCCATTTTATGAGAAAGATCCAGAAGACTATCTCGATCATCTGGTTTCAACATTGGACCATGTATTAACTCTTCCATATAAGTTCTGGCAATCAACAATGGTCTTCCGTAAGCTTCTCTTAAAAGTCTCTTTGCTAAAGTCAATCCTTCTGTAAGAGGATATACAGAACATTGACGAATCAATTCTCTTGCTTTACCTTTGCAAAACTGTTGCAAGTAAGTAAGTCTCAGATTGTCATCTGAAATCTTGTTCTCAATATTTATCTTGAAACTATTCGTGAATCTTGTATATTCTTCATGAGAACCATGAAACGAAAGTAATTCTGGTTTAGGTAAATCTACCATGTCACGCATTGTAGATGTCATAGTAGCAAGAATTGAGCCAACATCTTGTGATGGCATATTAGGTACTTCTACAGGACTCACCAAATTAGCCTGTCTCATTCCACCTTGTCTAGTTCGAAATTCTTGATTAACGGGATTCATCACTTCCGCAACCACTTCCTGGACCGGATCCAGGGATAATCTAACTTGTGGCTCTCTAGGAGGCACAATACAATTGGTTTGACCCACTTGAGGTGTGTTTACTTCAGCCCGTGCTGCTTCACATTCTACCAATTGTGCTATCGGTGGTCCAGAATCCATTTCTTGAAACTGAACCCTTTCATTGCGATTAGAGCCTATTTCCCACACTTCCGCCTCTACACATGCGGCTTGATATTCGTGTATAGCTTGTACTCGCCTTATTTCTCTCTCTGATGCTGATTTTAATTCTTCAGCTTGCCGTTTCTTTTCTTCGGCTTGTTCCAACTCTGACAGTTGCTTCATTTTCAATTTTGCAAGTTCTCTGACAGCTATTGCCTCAGTTCTCTTGTAACTGGAACTTGTACTTTTGTAACTCGATGCTGTCCTTGCAGATCGAGGTCTTGACATATTAGAGGATTTTCTACTAGCTATAGATTGTGGTTTTGATGGAGGATTCTCAACGATTTGTGTGCTTTCTTGTCTGGAAAGCCACTCTTCAACATGTGCTTTGAACTCTTCATATCCATAACTTTCTCTCTGGAAAGATTCTTTAGCTACTCTTTGAGCCTCTTCATCTACTGGCAGTTCTGCAACATGTACTTCATAAGCTTTGGAATACTCCACAAACATTGCATCTATTTCTTTCACTTGTGATTGTAGAATCTCCTTATTTCTTGGATTCAACATCAATTCTTCTGCTGATCTATACTGACCATTCAGATCAGCCAATAAACGTTCCAGTTCTTCTTGTGAAACTGGTTTTGCAGCCATTTCGACTTTTAAGTGACTTTCTTCACTCAATCTAGGATCAATTGAAAAGTTTGATATCTTTCAATTGCTGCTTACAATACTCTGGTTTGATTTCGAAATAAAAAACTTCAGTTTTCCTCATTCGAAAACTTTAATGTTGCGCTCGATTCTATGTAGCCTGGTTACTTCTCACGCACATTAAGAGATTGGAGACTTCAAAAACGCGTCCCAATACCCCAGTCCTGACCCCAAACCTATATCGGTTAATTGTTACAACTAGTCCGTGCTTTCAAGCAATTAAAGTCTGTAAACAGCGGTTAAAGTGCCGCCAGATTCTTCTGTGCCTTTCAAATGCTGCCCCAATATAATTCAACTTGAAATCGGTGAATATCTTTAATAACAATCAACAGACACTTCAAATCAAATCTCGAAACATGAATCAGGAAAATAGAACTTGCCGGGTACCGGAAACGGAACGTTGTTAATGGAACGTAACGTAAATCTTGATACCGGGTATGAGGAACGTAAAGGAACGTTGTTAATGGAACGTAACGTAACGTTGTTAAAGGAACGTTGTTAAAAGGAACGGTTTTCTGCCAAAATAATAGATAAAACTAAATAGCTTATATGGCACAATTAATCAAATATAACAGCATTACCATTTTTACAAGCAATAACAATTCACATTAATTAGCAGATAACCATATGTCACAATTATGTACAGATTAAATCACACAGGATAAAATAGTATTCACAATACTAAAATACAGAATAAATCATACAAGATAAAACAATATTTACATACCGAATGTTTAGGATCTCCAGGCAACTCAATTCAACAAATTATAATCCAAAGTAAATACAACTTAACTTATGTGACTAAATACAAGAAACAGCATTTATCATTCTATTTGGACTATATTACAACCCTAACCTGTATCCCTACATTATATTACAACTCCAGTATGAACCGTTGATTTTAAACCCAATTAATAACTTCAATTCGAATCGTTTATCCTAACCGCGAATAGTAAACCCAATATTAAACACGATAAACAACTCCTAGCGCAATAGATTACACTGTATACAAGGACAGAAGGTGCCAACTCATCGAAGCAGCGTGGCGATAATTTAGAATTCCCGGGATTAATCGAGAAACAGGACTATGTCGCAATAATGCTGCGTCGATACGTTTGCAACGTCTGCGTAACAACGTAAAACGTCATCAAATTAGAAACACGTTATGATTCTCGCTAACAGTTATTATTGATGAGCGAGGCTTTTAGTAGTTAAACCCTCTAATCGACAGGTAAACAACCAATATCGCTCAATATAAATTACGCACAACATAATTTTGGGTATGCTGAAAGACAAATTCATATGCAAGTCGAAATACACCATGATATCATTACCAAGATCTAAATCTTGTCTTGTGAAGATATTCAAATAGACATACTCAAGAAAATACGATGCTAGGCCCACGAAAAGGTTTCGCCATTTCATCTTAAATATTCTTCGAATCGACGCCTTCCACTCCCACAAGCCCGCCAAATGTGTAGGTTGCCAAGGTATATTTTATTTTATAAAAATTGCCTTTTTACTAGGGAGTATATGTTGCAAAAGAGGGCGTTTCAGAAGTATGTGTATCAACATAGAGTTAACTAATTTTGTACTTCTCCTTTACATCAAGTTGTGTGTAGGGACTGAAACCTATGGGCAGGGGGTATATTCACTCATCTAACACAGACAGTCCCCGAACTGTAATATAACTAAAATAAGGAAAATCGGAATAAAATTATGACCTAACCCTGACCTGGTACACATGATACGGGAGTACCCAAAAGAGTGTCCATATGTTGACTTGTCAGTATTTTCAAGTCTCTCGCCAAAAGCGTGCCATGTGTCACAGTTTTTTTTAATGATGTTGCTACTGTGTGGTGAATGAATCAGAAGACTCAGATTCCGGATTTGTTTATTATGAGGTAACTTCACACTTAAAACAGCATAAAACAGGACACAACAAAACGCAGCCAACCTCCAGCCCGTCGGCCGGAAAAGAGAGCGAATGACATACCGTAGTTTTTCTCTCACGTGGAGTGAGTGAACGAAATCCGAATCCGACAAAACAGCATTGAATAAGAGTCATCATAACAGTCTATAAACAGAAAAATTTATATAGCCTACACACAATATAAACGCGAACGCTATGGTCCGATACATGGTATCATAATTTCAAAGTCCAAAGTCAATTTATTTACGTAAAAATAATGACTTCATCGTTTCCGCTGCGTCGTTCAGCTCACATGTTCCTAAAAAATTTGATTAATTTGAAAATAAAATAGTACTGTATTTCTTTTTATTACGTATATTTTCGCGCAAGTTACTTGATTGCGCCAACTGTTCAAAATTATCCGATATTAAAACTCTCCTGCGCCGAGCTTCCATCTGGTGGTGAAAGTTTTGGCGCAAGTTCTCTCATGTTAGTTGCGCGCGTGTTCTGCTCTTTTCGTTCGAATTTTTATTTTCGTTTTCTCGGAGCTTTGTGGGAAATTCTGTAAACCCCAAAATGGATTCCGAGAAGAATTTCAGAAAATGACTTTCAAGGTAGGATTTCATGTTTTTTCCTTGTGCTATGATTAATGTTATTTGTGACTTATCATACTGATTGTTTTTCACATAACTCAAAATCGTGGGCATTCTTTCATACCGTACTGTCATATGTCCATTAGTCTATTTTTGTATGTTTATTATTATAATCAAGTATACAGGTATATGGTACCGCTATCCAATTTGCAGTTTAGAAAGAATTTAAGCATTTGACACTTTGATATTTCATGTTTAGATAAAACTTATTTCAGTATTTTGACTTCCAACTCTATTTTCAGATTTTGAAAAACAGAAGAAGATTATTCCATTTTTATCTCGAATATTCATATCTTTCGCATTACCAAATTTCTGAATTTATTGTTGAATATGCTAAAATGCCTTGTGCAAATTTCGCTGTCAAACAGTCAAACATGATCCATTTTAAAAAATATTTTATATTCCTGTTTTCCAGATAGACTGAATGATATTTCGAAAATTATTGAGAAGTCTAGATTATTTTGTTTTCAGTAGTTCAGTGATTGTGTTGATTGTTGCTTTAAATCCTGAAATCAGTAAATGGCTGCCTGGCTATATTGTCTCGTTTCAGAGAATCCCATTTTACTGATGAACAGACACCCCTCCTTTCGTGGACGTCTGGACATTGTCATCCCTTGATATCGGTAAAAATACCGTAAAATGAAGTTGCGCAATAAACTAAAAAAAATTCGTTATTGTAATCAAAAAAAATAATTCGATTTATCTAAGAAAAAAACTGTTACTATTGCATTTGAGAATTTTCAGCAGAAAACTGCAATTTTTGTCACATGACGGCCGCGATTAATTTAGATTATTATCGAGACAAGCATGGCGTGATATGACGCATCCGCTGTCAATCCCAATGCTCCTGGTTTATGGAGTGTTCGTTTTATTGAACCAAATTACGGGACATTCTTTGAATATGAAAACTGTGCCCTAACAAGCAAGAAATCGAAAAAAGTTGTTTTTAATTTTTTATTCAAAATAATGCTTTCTGACGAGTCATGTCTCACACCTTCTTGTGGTCTCGGAATTGTACTAGAGTTATCCGAACCTGTTACCAATTTTAATCATCATTTCAATCCTTTCAGCCGATCATCAAAACACCGGATTCAAAAATCAACAAGGACAACAAACGTATGTCGGTTGAGAGAATCTATCAGAAGAAAACTCAACTTGAGCACATCTTGCTTCGCCCCGATACTTACATCGGCTCTATTGAAACAGTTACACAGGTATGAATTCTATGTTAGTATAAGCAACAAAATTAATAAACGAGAATATCGGTCGGAGACCGAAGACTTATTGATCGAAAGTTAGGGGACCCTCAAAAACAGAAACTGCAGTTTTGATTCATCCGCTCTTACTCCAAGTGACACCGTGTGTCCCATCACTAATTAATTAATAACTCGCTAATTATACGACATAATCCATCCAAAATTAATAGGCTTCTGATCCGAGATACGGTGAATGCACGTGCAAGATTTGAAGCAGATTCAACCTCGCTTTCGAGAGATATCGCGTGCATCTAACAGACAGACAGACAAATCCACAGACAAATTCCTATCAACATACTTACCGATCTTAACATCGATAAGTAATGACAAATAAAATTTATCGACATAAGAGGTTATTGTTACAAAATTTTTTTAGGATGTCACTGCTTGGTAACCGATATTGTTTTACTGCAACTCGCTTCACCCTTGAAACGCCATTTCATGTTATCTTTTACCTTGTGTATATAAGCTACTTATATATGGCTCATTACTTATCGATCTTAAGATAGGTATTTGTCTGTCTGTCTGTTAGATGAACGCGATATCTCACGAAGGCAAGGTTGAATCTGTCCAAATTTTGCATGTGCATTCATCATATCTCAGACCAGGAACCTACTGATTTTGGAGGATTTGTGTCGTATAATTAGCGAGTTATTAATTAATTAGTGATGGGACACGCAGTGTCACTATAGGGTCATGAATCAAAATCACAGTTTCGATCGATAAGTCTTCGGTCTCCGACCGATATTCTCGTTTTAAGCATTGTGAAAAACTACCGTAATCTACTGGCTCTTGTCCTACCAAACTGTGATTATATTTATATCTTGAGGCTGTTCTATTTTTATCTACATACAATCTTTGCATATTGACACCGGGTACAAAAACCCGCTATGTATGGTACAGAAAAAAGCTCATTCATTCAAACGGAGGGTTTTTGCCCCACGAACCCCCTAGGTCAGAGCTACTCAACTGGCGGACCGCGGTCCGAATCCGGACCTTCCGGGTATTCGATTCGAACTGCGCCTAATTCTTCATTTTGGATTATTAGCCTCAATTTCGAAGTTTTCTTTTCTAAAATCACTTTTATAGATTTAAATATATATGAAAAGAACTATAACGCCATAATACACAATCTTGATTAGCTAATAATCATTGGTCGGCTGAGAAAGTGCGTGTTTAAGGATGCCGAAATATAATTTCTGGAAAGACTGGACCCAAATATTTTTTAAGTTTTATATGCGGATCTTTGGTAAAAATAGTTGAGTAGCCCTGCCCTAGGTACGCCCCTGCCACGATGGATAACTAATTTGCAAACCAAATCTCAAACAACTGTATCTGTGTAGTTGCAAATCAAGAATTGTAAAAGTTGATTATAGGTTTGGTCGTTTGGAAGTGTGTCTTACTGCTATAGGGTGTCCATAGTCTTAAAACTTTTTTAAATTGCAAAGGAAATTTATTGATACCATATATTGTTTTGGCCCTCACAGATGTATTAAATGAAGTAAAAATACTTGAACAATTACTGATTAAAAAACAACAAATCTGGTTAATAAGATATATTGAGAACTGACTTCATAACAAAAATGAAACTGTAATGGGATTTTATGGACATCTTGTAGTATTGGTTATGTCAGGAATTATCGAAGGTGATCCCTGGTAGATGTAAGATCGGGCCCAAAAATTTCAGCCCGTCCCGACCCAGGCCCGTGGGTATTTAACCCGACCCGAGTCCGACTAATTAACTGGATTTGCAGGTCCGAGCCCAAAGCAAACCAGAATTTTCATATTTTATTCATGAGTTTTTTGAATCGTCATTGCAAGAGTTTAGTACAGTATGTGTCGTGTTGATGAGACAACTTCTGTGTTTTTGCAGACCACGATCTCTCGTTGCCAAAATACGGCCGAAACGCCTCATTAAAAAAAAAAAGTCAGCGATAGAGAAGCCCTACCCGAACATAATGATCTCAGATCTCAGCTCTATTCCCTCGTGATATTTTTTTCTTTAGCCGATGTGGATTTGGGAAGAAGGGGTGGGGATGGTGAATCGTGAGATTACTTTTGTTCCCGGACTTTACAAAATATTTGATGAAATTCTTGTCAACGCTGCAGATAATAAACAGAGAGATCCGAAGATGTCGTCGATAAAAATTGATATTGATCCGTAAGTCTGAAGTTAATCTATTCTATGTTTTTTATTTAATTTCCTAGGATATTAATACTACTACCCAGAACTGAGAGAATATTATGATATTATAAAAGTTGTACATAAAAATGGAATATTCGAATTAATTCATCAATTTATTTTCTGTTGAATAAATATCATTTTTGTTACAATGAAAATTTTGAAATTTCTAAAAAATCTAACAAATAGTAAATAGAGTGGATACCAATGTGTCGTTGTTGTTATTGATCTCCTTGCTAGTATTTCTTTTCTTCTTGTCGCTTTTCTTGTCAACTAGACCAGGGCTACTCAACTGGCGGACCGCGGTTCGAATCTGGACCTTTTGAGTATTTGATTCGGACCGCGCAAAATTCTTTATTTTGGATCATTAGCCCCACATTTGAAGTTTTCGTTATAGAATCACTTTTATAGGTTTAAAAATATATAGGAAAAGAACTATACCGCCATACCAAACAATCTTGATTATCTAATAATCATTAGTCGGTCGAGGAATTGCGTGTTTAAGGATGTCGAAATATAATTTCTGAAAAGTCCGGACCCAAATACTTTTGAAGTTTTGTATGCGGATCTTCGGTAAAAATAGTTAAGTAGCCCTGAACTGGACCAATTGATTTAAAATTTCCTGTTGTTATAGATCAGGCCTGCACAACTCAAATTACCACGAGGGCCGCAAGCATAAATTTGAAGGCTCGGCGGGCCGCAAACTTTGCCACATACATATTTCACAAAATGAACTACAAATCAAAATAATATTGTAAAACAGTTAAACTTAATGAAACACTTTCATTACTGGGGGGGCTTAAAATTATGAAGAATCTTATTTTCTTGAGTAAAGACAAGGTACAGTATTTTTGCATATGAGATGGCAAATATGTATTGAGTGGTTCAACTACCTTGAAAACCCACCCTTCATTTCCAATATTTCTTCGACTGTTAAATTACATTTTTCTACAAAATCTGCTCCAATTTTTTGAAATTTAACAGTAAATAGCCAAAATCTTTTGTGCGAGAATTTCTGCACCATTCATAAATGAAGGAATTGTTTTTAAGTTCTAAATTTGAAAAAGAAACTGCAGTTTCATAAACTGCTAGTAAAAAATAGTGGAATTATCAATAGGTAGCGAATATGCACTAATGGGTGTGAGATTGTACCGATATTGTTTTAAGCGTGATTCAGTTTGAACACTGAGATATCTAAATCAGGGTTTTCCAAACTTGGGGCGAGAGGTCGAGCAACGAATTTTAAGGGTCGCGAAGGGCACACCAATTTCACACAAAGTTCGATATTTATTGAAACTAGTGCAAAACATAAACCTCCCGATTTCGAATATGATCGGCGTAGCGGCTCGCTTGCATAAATAGCAATGCCGGCTTTGATTGTTAGACCCGAGAAGTGGCGTGTTTCCAAATAAACCGCGGGCCGCACAGAAGTATCTAGCGGGCCGCATGCGGCCCGCGGGCCGTATGTTGTGCAGGCCTGTTATAGATTGTATTTTCGGCAGAAGGCTATTAGGTACTTTATTTATTTTAAAAATTTCTGTGAGATTCTTTTTTTTTTGTGTGCAAAGATGTCATCAAAATTGATAATTGGGACCCTTGTGGTGGTTTCGTGTGAGCTTGAATGTGTTGCACAGCTGTGATACGGTACTGGTAGGCTGCTGTGACACTCGTACAATTTCTTGTCCATATATTTGAGTATCACTCTTGTCTTAACTTATCTGCTTTTTCAATTTATACTCATTGTGTGTATACTTGATTTTGGGACATTATAGTCCATATATTTGAGTATCTCTCTTGTCTTAACTTATCTGCTTTTTCAATTCAAACTCATGGTATATACTTGATTTTGGGACATTATAGTCCATATATTTGAGTATCTCTCTTGTCTTAACTTATCTGCTTTTTCAATTCAAACTCATTGTGTGTATACTTGATTTTGGGACATTATAGTCCATATATTTGAGTATCTCTCTTGTCTTAACTTATCTGCTTTTTCAATTTATACTCTTTGTGTATACTTGATTTTGGGACATTATAGTCCATATATTTGAGTATCTCTCTTGTCTTAACTTATCTGCTTTTTCAATTCAAACTCATTGTATATACTTGATTTTGGGACATTATAGTCCATATATTTGAGTATCTCTCTTGTCTTCACTTATCTGCTTTTTCAATTTATACTCATTGTGTGTATACTTGATTTTGGGACATTATAGTCCATATATTTGAGTATCTCTCTTGTTCTAACTTATCTGCTTTTTCAATTTAAACTCTTGATTTTGGGACATTATAGTCCATATATTTGAGCATCTCTCTTGTCTTATCTGCTTTTTCAATTCAAACTCATTGTGTATACTTGATTTTGGGACATTCCTGAACATAACTCTATTTAAAAATTATTCAATATTTCACATTGGAAATAGTTTTAGAGATTAGTCAGAATGGCGAGTTTTCAATGTTGACCTTCCCTGATAATACATATGTCAAATTTTATACACAGGGAAGAAAACCGCATTTCAGTATGGAACGATGGTAAAGGAATCCCAGTAGTTGAGCATAAGACAGAAAAACTTTTTGTTCCCGAACTCATTTTCGGACATTTGTTGACGTCTAGTAACTATGACGACGATGAGAAAAAAGTTACAGGTTAGTGAAGTATTAAAAATAGAATTTTTGGTTTTTATCTTAGATGTTAAGAAAGTTAATAAGTGCTTAGTATTCACATTGCAAGCCACGACCACATTACCTCACCTATTGTGTAATAAATTCAGCGAACAATGTCAAATCAGATTTTTCTAAATCTATCAGTGTATTGGATATCCATGTTTATTGATAGCCATGATTTCAAAAACTCGTTTATGGCAAATAAGCGCGTTCTCACTTTGAGTTAATTTTATTGCTTTTCAGGTGGTCGTAACGGATATGGAGCGAAATTGTGCAATATATTCAGCACAAAATTTGTGGTGGAAACCTCATCTCAAGAATATAAGAAAAAATTCAAACAGGTATGTTACTGAAGAAACGATTATTTTTCAAGAGGTTTGCTCCAAGAAATCTTATGTGTTCTAACTAACTTAGAGAGAAAGGAGAGCGTCTCCTAGCAAAAATATGGCAACTGCTGAGGGGATGCTGATATCTGCTGAAGCTATGGAGCAGTGGTTCCCAAACGGGGGCCCATGACCTACCAAGTGGGCCACAGAGAAGTTGGAAGGGGCCACAATGCGGGGCGCAAAACTGCTTTTACTATCCCATTTACTAGAAAGCTCCCTGTTCTTCCTAGTTTCATTGCTTGAGGAAGTTTTCACTTTAAGCATAAATTCTTTGAAGATAATGACATTTGCAATCTGCCAATCAAAGTAACACTATAAATACCACTGGAATGATAAACTGGGGGGCCATCAGTGCTAAAAGTCTCTGTGAGGGGGCCACAAAGCGTAAAAGGCTAGGGAACCACTTCTATAGAGAAATATTGCAGTGTACCATACTCACTCAAATGAGACTAATCTTGGCGAAAAGAAAGTTACCGTCAAATACTGAAATGGCAACGGCTGCTAAAACTGAAGAATTATGATGGTTGTGTGTTATCGAGACTCGCCTTCGGAGCAAATTTATGAGTCGACACTGAAAATCCAAGAGCCACTGGGAGTATAGAGAATTATGATTATGATGTATTGTGCTCAGTGCTCATACATTTAGGAGTAAAGGAGACTTATCTCTAACCAAAGTTTCAAAAATGAGAAAAATATTGGAATTGAAAAGAGTGTCCCTACCCATTTTGAAATGAAAAAACAATCATTTTTCTATATTTATACATACCGTATTTGCTCGTTTTGTAGCCCGGGCCCATATTTTTTTCAACCAACTCACTAACCGGGCCCTTTTTCAAACCGGCCCTTATTCAAGCACGGGCGCTTGTTATTTTCGATCGTTATATTAATTTATATATTGTTATTGCCAGTTCTCAAGTATGATTTAAATGAAAATAACGAAAATTTTGACTTTTTCTACGCACCGCAGATAAGTGACAAAAGCGATTCTTTTTTCCTATTTTTCTCTACCACTGAAAAATCAGCTTTTACATTGGGCGGGTATTCAAGCACCGGCCCTTATTTATTTTTATGTTCTGTTCACACGGACGGCAGTTCAAACGGGCCCTTAATCAAGACCGGGCGAAACGAGCATATACGATAGTCATTTTTCGTAGCTTGTAAGGCTTTTTGTCCCCCAAGACTTGAAAATTCGGAACCCTTCTTGGAAGATTCTTGATAACGCTCTGCTCAATTTTATTACCACAATGTAACAATCTAATATTGATTTTAAAACTTTAGACCTGGACTGGCAACATGGCAAAAGCTGGCGACAAGAAACTCGGGCCGAACTCTAAGTCAGACTATACCTGCGTTACATTCTATGTGAGTATATGATATTCCTTTATTTATTATACAGGTGGTGGTAACACAATAAAACCTCAATGGTTATGGAGCCAGAGCTGGCGCCCAGCTTTGATGAAAAAATGTTTAATTATATTGGAGTTCCAGAGCTGAGGTCAATGTGATTTCAAAACCATCGTCCCAGCCTATATTTCTGTTGTTTTATCTTCTGTCTATTGCAGTGTTACTAAATTTATTACTTATCGATTTTAATCGGTAAGTATGTTGATAGGTATCTGTCTGTTCGTCTGTCTGTTAGATGCATGCGATATCTCACGAAAGCGAGATTGGATCTGCTGCAGATTTTGCATGTGCATTCATCATATCTCGTACCAGAAGTCTATTGATTTTGGGTGAATTATGTCGTGTAATTAGCGAGTTATCAATTAATTAGTGATGGGACCTAAGGTGTCACTATGGAGTAAGAGCGCTGTTTGGTTGATCCCCTGACTTTCGATCGATAAGTCTTCGGTCTCTGACCGATATTCTCGTTTCGTTTATTCACCCCTTCGAATTCATCAATTTATTCTTGAAGTTCCAGAAAAACATTGCTCTTATGTGTAAATTACAACACCAGGGTATTATCTTCAATTTTTTAGTGTATCTTACTTATACTGAAAACAAATTAATAATACATTATAGGAATGCAATTAGCGAGTTAATTACAATAATACGTAAGTAATAACAGTGCCTCAGTAAAAACAGAACCCTAAGTGACTTTTGCTGTCATTCACATTGTGTTATATCTTTGAGTTGTAGTTCCCGTTCCTAGTTTTCACACCCCTCACCCACATCCACTTTTGGACAAACCCCTGTAGTGTATGGCATGCAGGTATAATCCAATGTGTTTTAGGCCGACAGCCCCTTATCTGGGAATGATTTCAAATATGTTCAGTATGTTCATCTTGTGGTGAAATGTGACTGTTTATACTGAAAATATGACTCAGATATGGAAGAACTTTGCTTCTAATTGGGTATTAGTTGAACCACGGACTCTCGTCTGGTCACCAGTCAATGTTGCGTGTGGGATTATTTAGCCAGTTAATCGTTTAAGATGCATGGACTTGATGGTGGAGAAAGTTGTAACAGACCAGCGGCCAGTGAACCATTCTAGCATCCCACGGCCTGCGAACCCACGCAGGGTAATCAAACAGAGGTGCAGTGGTGAGCGTATTTCTAACGATTAAGCACAATGCGCCACACCGCCGAGCCATCATTTCATTTAACCAAAGTTGTAAAACACAATCTTAACCCTTTTCCTACCTCATTCGTATGATTTATTAACTCTTTTATCACAGCCTGATCTCAAAAAGTTCAAAATGGACAAACTAGACAAAGACATTGTCGGTTTACTATCCAGAAGAGCTTATGACATCGCTGGAGCATCTAAAGGAGTGAAAGTCTTCTTGAATGGGCAGAGGTTGCCGGTAGGTTTTCTACAGCTTTACCAAATGCCAAAATTTTCTGGATTACACCCAATATTTTAGAAAAACTGTTCGGGGCTCCCGAAGTATGCGAACCAAGATGGCAGACATCGGAATGTAATATGTGTACTAGGTTAGGGTTAGGCCATAATTTTAGGTACAAATACTACGGTAGGCTCTTGGCTAGTCTTCGAACTGATAATAGGACTAAAATAAGGAAAATTGGAAAAAAATTATTGCCTAACCCTAACCTGTTACGTTCCGATGTCCGCCATCTTGGTTCGCATACTTCGGGATCACCAACTGTTCACTATCTCATCTAATGTCAAATCATTTTCACATGGTATGTTCTGAACTGGATTTTTTTTTGTGAAAGCATAGAAGGCCCACATGTACAATACTTGCATTTTATAATTTTTCAGGTAAAAAATTTTCTCGACTACGTCCAACTTTACACAAAGAATGTTACAGATGAGAATGGGGATCCGTACAAGATTATTCACGACCAAGTGAACCCTAGATGGGAGGTAAAGTTATCCTCTATGTCAGAGGTCGGCAACCTACGGCCCGTGGGTCGGATCCGGATCCGAGTAATATAATGCTTCACTGAATTATAGTAACAAAACAGCTGTTTTGACGATTATATTCTTTACGAAACTGAATTTATTGTGAGACACGTGTAGACTAAATGATATTATAATCTAACAAGTATAAAATTCACAGTTACTCGTTTAATGAGCCTATAATTTAATAATAATTTAACAAATGGCAACGAAACGCGGAAAAGTGTATCCTAAGGGCAAAGAGTTCAATGACGCCGAAAATATTCAAATAGAATTTTTTGAGATGCAATGCAATGAGGAAATAAATCTATATTCTATTTGAGAGATGTATCACTGCTCAATTTTTAATATAAAAAGTATCATCCGTTCGGTTCCCAACTTTCTAAAAATATGTGCGGCCCGTCAATGACTTGCAACCCTTAATTTTGGCCCGCGAGCGACAAAAGGTTGCCGACCCCTGCTCTATGCCTTGTAAAGCTTGTCAGTCATTTTTAAAATATGAATTTAAAATGCATTTAAATAGTAAATTATTCAGTTGTGGCCATCCCTAGCCCAAACTTTTCTGATTCATTTCCCCACTCAAAGACTTAATATTATTACTCCGTGGTCTTCAATAAAAAAATGGTGATGGGTTCCTTTAAGGCAGGGGTTCTCAACCTTTTTTATGTCCCGTACCCCCGAGTCACCAAACAATCAACGCGAACCCTCGTAATCAGGCATCGAACTAAGTTGTGATATATTGAATAACAATTTGTTGCAACAACAATTTATTGACCATAATATAAGTATGTAACTAAATTTAATATTCGCCTTGATATTATTGCCCTTGTCGTCTGCCTAGCTAACGAATTCTTAAAATCTTACCCAAGTTTCAATAAGCATAATAACTTTCTCGAATGCTCGCAGCACGCTGTCTTAGAGATTTCAGTTTGCTTGCAAAGCCGTGAATTTCACATTCTTGCGTCACAATCACAACAACGCAAGATCATGGAAAATCGACGTTTTTCAATTGGCGCGCATTTTCTTCTGGTTGTAATAAAGGATAAACAGCAACACAAAAAAATTCGCCTGCCTTCCAAGTACCCCTGGAAATCTTTTCGTGAACCCCTGGGGGTTCGCAAACCCCAGGTTGAGAACCCCTGTTTTAAGGGGTTAGCCAAGAATTTTCAATGGGGGAGGTAGGGGGGGGGGTCAAGAATCTTAAGGTCATAAAATGTATTTTAATCTTTGAAAAATTGATAATTATGATACAGAAAAAGGCTTTTGATGACATTCCGACTTGAACCCTCCGTCCCTGGTTCTCATCATTTATTTTAAGGGTAGCCAACATGTCGACGCGACCGGTCGATCGCCACGTCTCAAGTAGTCTGACGCGTCTGATGATGAGTGAATTTAATAACATACCCTAAAAAATGCCTTAACCAGTTTTATTGGATCTGAATTGTATGATTCGAATAAATCCTAGATAGAAGATGAAGATTTACTTCGGGTCTGATTTCATAATCAAATCAGCAATTTAGATGGAACCAAAAAAATGCAAATTTTCGTAGCGATTTCATGAAAATGCACCCACAGAGCCACCGAGCTTATTGGCAGAGGTGGAATTTTATTATATGCGTGTAGTTATCTGCTTATTCAGGACTCATTTGGTTTTGTGTAGGACCTTATTGCCAATGAGTCGATCGCGAGCTATTTTTGAAGATTTTAATCGATCGCGAGCTATTTTGGGGGTTTTAGTCGATCGCCGTCAAAAGTAGATTGGCCACCCCTGATCAATATTATTTTTCGTATTCATTAATGAAGGCCAGTAAACGTTAGCAAAAGAATAAATGCATTACAGTCAAGGTGTTAAAAAAAGCACAATCAATTTATTTAAATCAGTCATGACTAATGGTGCGTATGTAGGCTTTTGCTCACGCCTCCCAGTGAACCAAAGTTGTCACCTCTAGTCAGTGGTTCCCAGCCTTTTATGGCTCGTGGCACCCTTTCGGGGGTTTCCAGCACACATGGCCCCCTGTTTATCATTCCAGTGGTATTCATAGTGCTATTTCGATTGGTATATTCCAAATTCTATCATATCCAAACAATTAATGCTCAATAAATTGAAAACACCCTGTGAAATAACCTTATCAAGCAGGGGTCTCCAACTTAAAACATGTCGCTGGCCACTTTTTGAAAATTATTGACCATGCGGGCCGCAAACCGAGAAATTAGGTACAAAAATGGGTATCTGAATGTATTGTGTTCAAATTACACTTGAATCTTACAGCAAACTAGACGTGAAACATATTCATTCACTTGTGCTGGATATTTGGTCTCGATGTTTGGCCTTATTTTGCGTTGCTGTGCTAGTCTTAAGACAACATGCAAATGCTCGTCCGTTAGTCGTGTGCGGAGGGCTGATTTGCTAACTTTCATAGTCGAAAAAAACTGCTCGCAAATATAAGAACTGCCAAAAATCGCAGGTATGCCAAGTAAATGTGCAATTAGCTTTGCAAACCTTTCTTCGGGCACAATAGACTGACCGAAACTCGTTTATTTCATCACAATGAACATAATCGCATTCACAATTGCATAATATAAGAAAACATGAACTTAGACAGCAGGGGGAATTTTGCTTCACTTTTTACAGTTTGTCGGACCAGATTCTTGATGATAAATGACACGATAAAACTTACTAATAGTTGACATCGTACTATTTCAGTTTTTTGTGGAAAAATCCCAACCATGACGTGGGCCGCAAAAAATGGCTGGCGGGCCGCATGTTGGAGACCCCTGTTATCAAGTATTGAAACTGGGAATAACAGGGATTCTCCTTGTAAAGGGAAAAATCAAATCTGTTTCTCGTCCAGCATTGTGGCCCTCTCCAAATGCCCTGTGACCCCCTCAGTGGTCCCAGGGCCCCAGATTCGGAACCCCTAAACCCGGTTTTAATTTTTCATTTTTTTTTCTACAGATCTGCATCACAACTTCAGACAAAGGATTCCAACAACTCTCATTCGTCAACAGCATTGCAACGACAAAAGGAGGGAGACATGTTGACTACGTCATGGACCAAGTAATCAAAAAATTAACAGAAGTCGTTAAAAAGAAGAATGGTAAAGGAGGGATCGATGTCAAACCTTTTCAAGTCAGTCTTTCTTATCTTAATACAACCAAATACACCTGTCATCTTAATACAACCAAATACCCTTATCATTTTGATACAACCAAATACCTCTGTCATCTTAATACAACCAAATACCTCTGTCATCTTAATACAACCAAATACCTCTGTCATCTTAATACAACCAAATACCCCTGTCATCTTAATACAACCAAATACCCCTGTCATCTTAATACAACCAAATACCCCTGTCATCTTAATACAACCAAATTCCCCTGTCATCTTAATACAACCAAATTCCCCTGTCATCTTAATACAACCAAATACCCCTGTCATCTTAATACAACCAAATACCTCTGTCATCTTAATACAACCAAATACCCCTGTCATCTTAATACAACCAAATATCCCTGTCATCTTAATACAACCAAATACCCCTGTCATCTTAATACAACCAAATACCTCTGTCATCTTAATACAACCAAATACCCCTGTCATCTTAATACAACCAAATACCTCTGTCATCTTAATACAACCAAATACCCCTGTCATCTTAATACAACCAAATACCCTTGTCATTTTGATACAACCGAATACCTCTGTCATCTTAATACAACCAAATACCTCTGTCATCTTAATACAACCAAATACCCTTGTCATTTTGATACAACCAAATACCTCTGTCATCTTAATACAACCAAATACCCTTGTCATTTTGATACAACCAAATGCCTCTGTCATCTTAATACAACCAAATACCTTGTCATCTTAATACAACCAAATACCTTGTCATCTTAATACAACCAAATACCCTTACCATCTTAATACAACCAAATACCTCTGTCATCTTAATACAACCAAATACCCGTACCATCTTAATACAACCAAATACCCGTACCATCTTAATACAACCAAATACCCGTACCATCTTAATACAACCAAATACCTTGTCATCTTAATACAACCAAATACCTCTGTCATCTTAATACAACCAAACACCTCTATCATCTTAATACAACCAAGAACCTCTGCTATCTTAATACAACCAAATACCCGTACCATCTTAATACAACCAAATACCTCTGTCATCTTAATACAACCAAATACCCGTACCATCTTAATACAACCAAATACCTCTGTCATCTTAATACAACCAAGAACCCATGCCATCTTAATACAACCAAATACCCGTACCATCTTAATACAACCAAATACCTCTGTCATCTTAATACAACCAAGAACCTCTACCATCTTAATACAACCAAATACCCTTGTCATTTTAATACAACCAAATACCCCTGCCATCTTAGTACAACCAAATACCTTGTCATCTTAATACAACCAAATACCCGTACCATCTTAATACAACCAAATACCTCTGTCATCTTAATACAACCAAACACCCTTGTCATTTTGATACAACCAAATAACTCTGTCATCTTAATACAACCAAATAACTCTGTCATCTTAATACAACCAAATACCCTGTTATCTTGATACAACCAAATACCTCTGGCATCTTAATACAACCAAACACCTCTGTCATCTTAATACAACCAAATACCTCTGTCATCTTAATACAACCAAATACTTTGTCATCTTGATACAACCAAATACCTCTCTCATCTTAATACAACCAAATACCTCTGTCATCTTAATACAACCAAATATCCTGTTATCTTGATACAACCAAATACCTCTGTCATCTTAATACAACCAAATACCTCTGTCATCTTAATACAACCAAATACCTCTCTCATTCTTATACATCAAATACCTCTGTCATCTTAATACAACCAAACACCTCTGTCATCTTAATACAACCAAACACCCTTGTCATTTTGATACAACCAAATACCTCTGTCATCTTAATACAACCAAATAACTCTGTCATCTTGATACAACCAAATACCTCTGGCATCTTAATACAACCAAACACCTCTGTCATCTTAATACAACCAAATACCTCTGTCATCTTAATACAACCAAATACTTTTGTCATCTTGATACAACCAAATACCTCTCTCATCTTAATACAACCAAATACCTCTGTCATCTTAATACAACCAAATATCCTGTTATCTTGATACAACCAAATACCTCTGTCATCTTAATACAACCAAATACCTCTGTCATCTTAATACAACCAAATACCTCTCTCATCTTAATACAACCAAATACTCTGTCATCTTAATACAACCAAATACCTCTGTCATCTTAATACAACCAAATACCTCTGTCATCTTAATACAACCAAGAACCTCTGTCATCTTAATACAACCAAACACCCCTGTCATCTTAATACAACCAAATACCTCTGTCATCTTAATACAACCAAGAACCTCTGTCATCTTAATACAACCAAATACCTCTCTCATCTTAATACAACCAAATACCTCTGTCATCTTAATACAACCAAGAACCTCTGTCATCTTAATACAACCAAATACCTCTCTCATCTTAATACAACCAAATACCTCTCTCATCTTAATACAACCAAATACCTCTGTCATCTTAATACAACCAAGAACCCATACCATCTTAATACAAGCAAATACCCCTGTCATCTTAATACAACCAAATACCTCTGTCATCTTAATACAACCAAGAACCTCTGTCATCTTAATACAACCAAATACCCTGTCATCTTAATACAACCAAATACCCTGTCATCTTAATACAACCAAATACCTCTCTCATCTTAATACAACCAAATACCCTATCATCTTAATACAACCAAAGAACCCTTGTCATTTTAATACAACCAAATACCTCTATCATTCATTTGATATTCTTCTTTTTAGATAAAGAACCACTGCTGGGTATTTGTCAATTGTTTGATCGAAAACCCAACGTTCGATTCCCAAACGAAAGAAAATATGACATTGCAAGCCAAGAAGTTTGGGTCAAAGTGTAGCCTTACGGACAAATTCTTGAAATCGGTGAGATTCAACCTTTGTGATCTCTTTTTTGTGCAGCATGTTTAAGTGCTGTTTGCCCCGAGCAAGGCTCGGCACACATAGCCATTGTTAGGTAAAGAGCTGCTTCATTTTGAAAGGACCGAAATCTTGTTGATTCGGCATAGCCATGTTAGAGTTTGATCATTAGGCCACAGCAAACACTTTGTATGTCGTTCAAAAGCCATCCATCACACTTCAACAAATTTTATCCTGTATCATTGTAATTGGGACTTTGAAAATTTGAAAAAAAAGAGTTGATTTCAGGGATGTCCAAAAAGAATCAAAAATTTCAGAATACAATCGATATTCATTATATTCCACTTGAGGGATTTTTGAATTTAGGAATAATTACAATATTTTTATTTAAAAATTAGGGATTTTGAGCCGAGAGACAAGTAGATTGAAACGCATGGTATCTCTACTAATAACAAACACCACAGAGAAAATGACGACTTTTTTATTTATGTCGTGTGATCGATGTCGATGTGATCAACATAAATTTATAGTGATTTATGTGATTTCAGAATGTATTCGATATTTCATATGAAAAAAATTTCTCAAGTCCGAATGTATTCGGAATAGTGAAATATTCGGTTTTGGCCATCTGTGGTCGATCTTCAGTAGCTGAATACAACCTTTTTATATCAGTACTTTTTTTCGGTACTACCGTAGTATGTGTACCAGGTTACGATAGGCCATCTTTAATTCCGATTTTCCATATTTTAGTTCTACTACGATTTCGGGGACTTTCTGTGTTAGCCAAGTGAATATACCCCCTGCCCATAGGTTTCAGTCCCTTTACACAACTTGTAAAGTAGGCGAACAAAATTAGTTACCTCCATATTGGTACACATACTTCTGGAACGAATTTTTATACTAATTTTTTCCTCGTTTTTCCAATTCAGGCCTCAACCAGTGGCATCGTGGATAACATTATGAACTGGGTAAAGTTTAAAGCACAAACACAGCTGAATAAAAAGTTCACAGCAGCAAAGTCGTCTAAATTGAAAGGTAAGTTTTCATCAATAAATCGATGCATCTGAAACTAATTACATGGCTAACTAACTATCCATATAGACCAGACATGGGCAAACTACATCTTGTGGGCCAAATCCCTGTGTGGGCCTGTTGGGTAATTCAATCTGGCCCACTCGAAGCTGCCAAAGACGAAGTAAAACCAAGTTTTGATGTTGCAGCTGAAAAAAATGGCTCAAAGAATTTGTTGAGACCGCGAATAAATTTAGCTTATTGTTTTCTACTTTTGTGCTTTTGTAACACTGTAAATAAAAATATGTTCATAAAATGTAACTTTTTACGTCACACTTACATGGTCCGCCAGTCTAGGTGGGCAGAGTATTTGGCCCCTGATATAGACGGACCGGTAACCAAACAAGAGCCAACATACCGACTTTCTCAGCCTCTACACCTGTTGCCCTCTTGTAGTGATTTTTCATGAGAAATTCTGTAAATCTGAAGCAAGTTACTGGTTACTAATCCATGCCTGACATGGACTGGTAATCAGGCAATAGGCTGTGGTTCACCATATGATTAAGCCGTGCTTATCGTCTTTATCAGTTTCAACACGTGTGGCCTCATTCTCTAATAAAAATGATTAGATTTGTTTAAAATGAGTTTTTAGTACTTATTTTATTTGCCATGTTTGATAACAAAAAAGCTAACAAACTAAAGTAGGATAATAAATGCATCACAAAATTAAACAAATCAGTCAGTTTAATCTAAATTAATTTAGTTATCACGAATGTTACCTATTGGGAGGCCTCTGTTTATCATTCCCAGCGAACCACTCCAGGGGCCGCCACTTGTTTTATTTGCCATGTTTAATAACAAAAAAAGCCAATGAATGCATTACAGCAGGGGTCGGCAAACTTTTGTCGCTCGTGGGCCAAAATTAAGGGTTGCCGGTCATTGGCGGGCCGCACATGGCGGGCTGCACATATTTTTAGAAAGTTGAAAACCCAACGGATGATACTTTTTATAATAAAAATCAAGCTATGATACTTCTCTCGAATAGAATATAGATTTATTTCCTCATTGCATCTCATAAAATTCTCATAAATTATATGCTCATTAAACGAGTAATTGTGATTTATATACTTTTTAGGTCATAATACAATTCAGTCTAAAGAATATAATCGTCAAAACAGCTGTTTGGTTACTATAATTTAGTGAAGCGTCGCGTGCCGGATTATATTACCCGCGGGTCGTAGGTTGCCAACCCCTGCATTACAGTCAAAAAATGACACGAATGAGCCAGTTTACTTTGAAATATTGTAGCCATCTTGGCTGGTACCTAGTGGAGACCGTTTTTCGTTAGCCCGAAGAGAACTGCTCCATGGACCCTTGGGGTGGCGAAGTGAAGTTTGGGGAATCTTGAATTAGAACATAAATTTTCTTAATACAGGTATCACTAAACTTGACACTGGTATCTCCCTATAAATTCACTGATAACTGAACGAGAGTCATCTCACTGGCTTTCTCAGTCTCAACATTTTAGCTCTCTGCTTTTTATTGAAAATGGCTAGTTTTGCCTGAAATGTGTTTCTACTACTCATTTTATTTGCAATGTTTAATTGACCAGTTTATTTGTTGATGCATGGACTTGATGGTGGAATAAGTCGTAAACAACCAGCGGTTACGTGAACCACCCTACGACGGCGAGGAGTCCAGCGATCCTCTCGCAAACGACTATCCCCGCATGGGATTTGAACCTGCAAACCGACGCAGAGTAATCAGAGGTGTGATGGTGACTGGAACCCACTGATGTTTTTTTCCTCATGATCCCAGAAAACCACTCAATGGTTACTTGGGGTAAGGGGGTGCTAGTTTGGTAAATTTAAAATATAAATTTCTTCTTTATACAGGTGTCCCCAAACTTGACGATGCAAATGACGCTGGTACTCGAAACTCTGCGGATTGTACTCTCATTCTCACTGAGGGAGATTCAGCCAAAACACTCGCTGTGTCTGGGTTATCAGTAGTTGGAAGAGACAAATACGGTGTTTTTCCGCTTCGTGGTAAAATGTTGAACGTCAGGGATGCAAGTCATAAGCAGGTAACGATCGGAGGGTTTTGTTCTAGATCAGCAGTTCTGAAACTTTTTAAGCCGCACCCTCTTTTAAGAATTTGTCAAGTCTCCCACCTCAAAAATAACTAGCTAACAATAAGCTACAAACGAGAATATCGGTTGGAAACCGAAGACTTATCGATCGATAGTTAGGGGATCCCCCAAAACAGAAACTGCAGTTTCGATTCATCCGCTCTTGTAACTTGCGCACTGCGCATCGCACACACACACTCGGCGGGTTTCAAAATTCTCTCGCTTTACAAAAATCTAGATCACTATATCAATAATTGATTGATAACTCGCTAATTATACGACATATTTCGCCCAAAATCAATAGGCTTCTGGTCCGAGATAAGATAATGCACTTGCAAAATCTGGAGCAGATTCAATCTCGCTTTCGTGAGATATCGCGTGCATCTAACAGACACACACACAGACAGACAGACATACATACACACAGACAAATACCTATCAATATACTTACCGATCTTAAGATCGATAAGTAATAACAGATAGTAATGCGAAAGTATATTTTATTGAAAAACATTGGAAATAAGTGGATGGAGTCACAATCTCTGAACTCTAAACAATAAATAAATGTAAATTCCAAAATAAGATGGGCAAGATCAAATCTAACACATATTTTTATTTTAAACTAGCTCGCACCCCCTCAAAACATTGTCTACCCCCCCCCCCCCCCCCCCCCCCTGTGGGAAGCACCTCACCGTTTGAGAACCACTTTACTAGATTTTTAAATGTATTTTCTTGTGGGGGGCTCCCGAAGTATGCGAACCAAGATGGCGGACATCGGAATGTAATATGTGTACTAGGTACCGCCATCTTGGTTCGCATACTTCGGGAGCACCTCTTGTGGTTCGTGCATGGACTGGTAGGGGGATAAAAAGCCAGTTTTCTGTATGTTTAAAATCCTCTCCTAGATCAGTTTCCCAAAAATATTGCAACGACAAGCTACATTAGGTCGTGCTTTTTTCGGCTCATTTATTGCTCTCCCTAATACAGTATGTTATGTTTTTACAGATTATGGACAATGCAGAAATTAACAATGTGATTAAAATTATGGGGCTTCAGTACAGCAAGAAGTACGGAGACGAAAACGACTTGAAGTCACTGAGATATGGGAAGCTTATGATAATGACAGATCAGGTTTGCTGTGAATATAGATGGTCTTTAAAGTCTTAAATTTTTTAAAAATTACAAACGGAATTTATCGATATCATATATTGTTTTGTCCCTCACACATGTATTAAATGAAGTAAAAATACTTAAACAATTACTGATAAAAATACAACAAACCTGGTTTGATATATTTACAACTGACTTCATAACAAAATTGAAATTGTTAGGGACTTTATAGACACCCTGTATGTAGCAGTGTTAGCAAAACAAGAGAATTTTTTCTCATTTTTGATCCAGAAAAGTGGGGCTTGAACTTTGAACTCACTTTTCTGAATATTACACACTTTTTTTGTAATACCACATTGTTTGACAAACTCTAAAAATCCCTTCTACCTATTCCTTCTTTGTCCGTCTTTGTTAACTCAATGGTGCATTGACACAAAGCAGTAAGGCCCTTCACAAGTTGTGGCCATGATTTTTAATCATATACACTTTCTTCACACTTCTGTGACTCAAAAGTTTATTACCTGAACTTTTCTCTTGTCACAGGACCACGACGGTTCTCATATCAAAGGTCTGCTGATCAACTTCATTCATGCTAACTGGCCTAAGTTACTACACAGAAGGTAAGAGGTTTTGTGTGGCATATTTCAACTTCACTCCAAACTAAGATTTGTTAAAGTAACTACTAATATATATGGGCTTTGCAAGGTTCTGACATTTTTAATTGTCGAGTTAGACCGTAACAACTAGCGGGTCCAGTTGGAGAGCTAAAGCCATTGTCAGTCATATAAAGCCATTGTATGCCACATAAGCCATTGCGAGTCATATAAATCCATTGCAAGTCATATAAAGCCATTGCAAGTCATATAAAGCCATTGCGAGTCATATAAAGCCATTGTATGCCATATAAAGCCATTGTATGCCATATAAAGCCATTGTATGCCACATACCGCCATTGTATGCCACATAACGCCATTGTATGCCACATAAAGCCATTGTATGTCACATAAAGCCATTGCGAGTCATATAAAGCCATTGTATGCCATATAAAGCCATTGTAAGTCATATAAAGCCATTGCGAGTCATATAAAGCCATTGTATGCCATATAAAGCAATTGTATGCTATATAAAGCCATTGTAAGTCAACTAAATCCATTGCAAGTCATATAAAGTCATTGCAAGTCATATAAAGCCATTGCGAGTCATATAAAGCCATTGCGAGTCATATAAAGCCATTGCGAGTCATATAAAGCCATTGTATGCCATATAAAGCCATTATATGCCATATTATAAAGCCATTGTATGCCATATAAATCCATTGTATGCCATATTATAAAGCCATTGTATGCCATATAAAGCCATTGTATGCATTATAAAGCCATTGTATGCCATATAAAGTCATTGCAAATCATATAAAGCCTCCGTTGTTAGCCTATAAAGCCATTGTAAGTCGTATAGATCCATGGTGAGCCATATAAATCCATTGCAAATCATATTAAGCCTCCATTGTTAGCCATATAGAGCCATTGTATGCCATATAGAGCCATTGTATGCCATATACAGCCATTGTAAGCCATATAAAGCCATTGCAAATCATATAAAGCCTGCATTGTTAGCCATATAGAGCCATTGTATGCCATATACAGCCATTGTAAGTCATATAAAGCCATTGTATGCCATATACAACCATTGTAAGTCATATAAAGCCATTGTAAGCCATATAAAGCCATTGCAAATCATATAAAGCCTGCATTGTTAGCCATATAGAGCCATTGTAAGTTGTATAGATCCATGGTATGCCATATACAGCCATTGTAAGTCATATAAATCCATTGTAAGCCATATAAAGCCATTGCAAATCATATAAAGCCTGCATTGTTAGCCATATAGAGCCATTGTATGCCATATACAGCCATTGTAAGTCATATAAAGCCATTGTAGGCCATATACAGCCATTGTAAGTCATATAAAGCCATTGTAAGCCATATAAAGCCATTGCAAATCATATAAAGCCTGCATTGTTAGCCATATAGAGCCATTGTATGCCATATACAGCCATTGTAAGTCATATAAAGCCATTGTATGCCATATACAGCCATTGTAAGTCATATAAAGCCATTGTATGCCATATACAGCCATTGTAAGTCATATAAAGCCATTGCAAATCATATAAAGCCTCCATTGTTAGCCATATGAAGCCATGGTATGCCATATAAAGCCATTGTAAGTCATATAAAGCCATTGTAAGCCATACAAAGACAGTGTAAGCCATATAAAAGACAGTGTAAGCTATATAAAGCCATTGTAAACCATATGAAAATCACGAAATTTCTCCTTTTTCTAGAGTTATGGAAGAATTTATCACTCCAATTGTCAAAGTTTCCAAAGGAAGCCAAGTCCTGTCTTTCTACTCGATTCCAGAGTACGAAGATTGGGAAAAATCAACTGCAAACTCAAAATCATGGAAAGTAAAGTACTACAAAGGTTTGAATTCAAAGTTTATGGACTTTGTCGTTTTCAGCTCGTTTTAAACCAGTGTTCCCATGTTTGCTCGACAAAATTTAGTTTAATTTAGAAAGTTTGAAATATAACTTCTGGACAGACGAATCTTTCTCCTGTGGCTTCTCATATCAAACAGACCAGCTTTAGATCGATTTTTGTTTTATTATGAAAATTTGCATTTCTTACTTGAGGAACTTAAACGTTTAAACGTCATTTTAAAGCAGTGTTCCCAATAGAAGACTTTTTCCCTGTCTTTAAAGCTTCGCTCCCCCATGTTTGCTTGAGTGAATTTAGTATTACCTTGAAGTCTAGATTCCACAAGTTTAGGGACCTTTTGTCACTCGCGGGCCAAAATTAAGGGTTGCAAGTCATTGACGGGCCGCAAATATTTTTAGAAAGTTGAAAAATGAACTTTTTATATTAAAAATCAAGCAGTGATACATCTCTCGAATAGAATATAGATTTATTTCCTCATTGTATTTCAGAATATTGACAACCCTTTGCACTTAGCATCAACTTTTCTGCGTTTTGTTGTCATTTGTCTAATTATAATTAAATTATGGGCACATTTAACAAGTAATTGTTAATTATATAATTATAATATAATTTAGTCTAAAGAATATAATCGTCAAAACGGCTGTTTTGTTACTGTACTTCAGTGAAGCGCCGTGGGCCGAATTATATTACCCCGCGGGTCGTAGGTTGCCGACCCCTGTTCTAAAGACTGCTTGAATAAGTCTGGATTTGGAATTAATCTGCAGATATTTTTTTTCCCGCATCCCACTGTAAATTAGCCTCTTCTTCATCTTTCTTTGAAATAGTGTTCCTCACAATTCCCCTCAAAATAATGTTCCTAAACTCAATTTAAAATAGTGTTCCCACCTGTGGAATGATTGTAAATTAAGATCAGAATGTCGAAGTTTGACAAATGATTGATCGAGTATTCATACTGTATGACCACGGTGAATGATGATCAAACGAGAATATCGCTCAGAGACCAAAGACTTATCGATCGAAAGTTAGGGGATCCCCCAAAACAGCACTCTTACTCCATAGTGACACCTTGTGTCCCATCACTAATTGAATAATAACTCGCTAATTATTCGATATAATTCGCCCGAAATCAATAGGCTTCTGGTCCGACATATGTTGAATGCACATGCAAAATTTGGAGCAGATTCAATCTCGCTTTCGTGAGATATTGCGTGCATCTAACAGACAAACAGACAAATACCTATCAACATACTTATCGATTAAAATCGATAAAAATCGATAAGTAATGATACTCTGCTGCCCCAGCACAAAAAAATGGGAGTGGAGTGATAGCCAGTTAGGGTTGGAACCCGCCCTTTTGAAATTTGAAAAAAAAAAAGCATTTTTCTATGTCATACATAGGAATTTTGGACCTCCTGAAGTATGCGCACCAAGTTGGCGCACGACCTGAACTCAGGTTGTGTACCAGGTTAGGGTTCAGGTTGTGCGACATCTTGGTGTGCATACTTCAGGAGTACCGGAATTTTTATACCTTTAAACACTTATCAGACCCTCAATACTAAAAATCCACATTTTCCAGACCTGTTAGATGTTACAAGGTTGCAATCAGAAATTTCATAATCCCCCCTTTGAAAATTCCGTGCCACGCCCCTGCTACGCCCCCCCCCCAAATATCTTTCCTTTTCCCTATGCACTTAGCATCAACTTTTCTGCGTTTTGTTGCCATTTGCTCAATTATAATTAAGTTATATCCTCATTAAGCGAGTAATTGTGAATTATATAATTGTTAGGTTATAATATAATTTAGTCTAAAGAATATATTCGTCAAAACGCATGTTTTGTTACTATAATTTAGTGAAGCATCGCGGGCTGGAGTACAGTGCTATAGGGCCGTAGGTTGCCAACTCCTGCACTAAGCCATCACTTTCTTCCTAGGTTTGGGAACCTCTACTGCAAAGGAGGCAAAAGAATATTTCGCTGATATGAATCGTCATCGCATACCTTTCAAGTACAGCGGACCAGATGATGATGGAAACATAGATTTGGTAAGTTTTAACATTGTTACTTATCGATTTTAATCGGTACGTATGTTGATAGGTATTTGTCTGTTTGTCTGTCTGTTAGATGCACGCGATATCTCATGAAAGCGAGATTGGATCTGCTCCAGATTTTGCATGTGCATTCATCATATGTCGTACCAGAAGCCTATTGATTTTGGATGAAATATGTCGTATAATTACCGAGTTATTAATTAATTAGTGATGAGACACAAGGTGTCACTATGGAGTAAGAGCGCTGTTTTGGGAGATCCCCTAACTTTCGATCGATAAGTCTTCGGTCTCTGACCGATATTCTCGTTTACTCCTTGCTGAGTGACTATGTTATCCTGCTTTTTCCTGGGAATGATTATAACTTTGAAACTGATGCTTCAAGCAAATGAATCTCCAGTATTCATACTGTATGACCCAGGTTAAAGCAAGAATCTTCATTTTGTAAAATATTTGCTCAATGTCTCACTTTTGAATCGTGGATTTTTTTGCCTGATAATTTGGCACGGTATGACAAAAAATTTGGAAGCCACTGGTCTAGTCACTCTTCACGGCGCAAGTCTATATAGCTGACATGAGCAAACTACGGCGTGTGGGCCAAGTCAGTCTGGCCCGTCTGATGCTGCCAGAACCAAATTAAAATCAAATTTCAATATTTTAGCTTAAAAATAGCTCAAGTAATTCGTTGAGATTGCGATGAAATTTAGTTTTGACTCGAGGCTTATTGTTTTCCACTTTCATGCTTCTGTAACACTTCGTATTCATAAAATGTAACGATAACTTATTATGTCTAGGGCTGGGCATTTTCGAATACCTTATGATTTCAGAATCGAATCGAATCTCGAATACTTGAAAATATAAAATTGTAAGCGACTTTATTATAGTAATTGGTCCTCTCAACAAATGAATTACTGAAGACATAGAATAAATCACCCAGATAGATTACTGAGCGCTCACACAGAATAACAAACACGTTTTAACAATAACTCACTACAGAAAATAGTCATATGTTAGAATTTCGTTGAAAAAATATAACTCCAATGAGGAAAAAATTGGGGAATTCACCTCGACCATTTGCGGAAAGATAAAAACAAGATGGCGGCGATTCGAAATTTAGCTCTGAACCGATTCGAATAATTTACTATTCGATTCGAAATGCCAGCCCTAATTATGTCACACTTAACATGGCCCGTCAATCTATGTGGGCAAAATTTTTGGTCGCTGATCCAAACACCTTGCCCACTCCTGTTATGTAGCCTTGTTGTTTTCCAGTTTTTTCAATTTTTGCACTTAGAATTGTTGGCTTAATTCTTGAGTAAAATTTTACCAGCTTCAAAAATTTTTCTCAGATGTTCCACTGCTTTCTCTACTTCAAATAGAAACATTTTTTAAACCCAATATTTCTCAATTCAGGCTTTCAACAAGAAAAGAGCTGATGACCGCAAAGAATGGCTGACCAACTTCATGGATTCGAGACGTCGACGTCGAGAGGATGGGCGACCAGATTCTGATATTTTATACAATGCGAACGTGAAATCTCTCTCGTACAGTGACTTTGTCAATAAAGAGCTGATCTTGTTCTCATGTGCTGATTTGGAAAGATCGGTCCCTTCACTGGTTGATGGTAAGCTTGTTGCAAGACAATAAACTCAAATAAAATCCCCTACAATGTTCTGGTCACAAAATACGGGGCTCCCGAAGTATGCGAACCAAGATGGCGGACATCGGAATGTAACATGTGTACTAGGTTAGGGTTGGCCATAATTTTAGGTATAAATACTACGGGAGGCTCTTGGCTAGTCTTCGAACTGATAATAGGACTAAAATAAGGAAAATTGGAAAAAAACCATCGCCTAACCCTGACCTGTTACCCATGTTACGTTCCGATGTCCGCCATCTTGGTTCGCATACTTCGGGAGCACCCAAAATACTGTAACTGCATGGTTTGATATTATAAGAGATACGTCCTTTTCTATCTTTCCCCATCTCAGATTTTGCCTTTGGCGTGCACGCCAGTCAGCCCACTTTAGTGAAGCAGCCAACTAAGGCCAAATACTTGAACTAGAATGTAACAAATTGGGTACGCAGGGCCTTTACTGTTTTATTTTGATGGTTAGTGACTGGTATTCCACATAGGGTGTAAGAAATTAATTACCGTAGGCGTTGCTTCCACCCTCTTTTCCTGGGAATGATTATATTTTTGAAACTGATGCTCCGAGCAAATGACTATCTAGTATTCATACTGTATGACCCAGGTTTGAGCATAAACATTATTTTTTTTGGTGCTCCCGAAGTATGCGAACCAAGATGGCGGACATCGGAACGTAACAGGTTAGGGTTAGGCGATAATTTTTTTCCAATTTTCCTTATTTTAGTCCTATTATCAGTTCGATGACTAGCCAAGAGTCTCCTGTAGTATTTATACCTAAAATTATGGCCTAACCCTAACCTAGTACACATATAACATTCCGATGTCCGCCATCTTGGTTCGCATACTGGAGCCCCCTTTTTTTTTATAAATATCCTTCTATTGGGTAAGCGGGTTTATGTGACCGTTGGTCAGTTACGGCTTCATCCACCATCAAGTCCATGCCTCTGAAAACAAATACCTAACTAATCCCATACCCGACATGGACTGGTAACCGGACGAGAGGCCGTGCATCGCCATATGGTTGTCTGTCTTATTGGGTTTTCTCTTCCTGGGATAAATATGTAAAATCCTCTCCTATGTCTATATTTTACAGAGTGCAGCAGGTCATATGAAAATAGGTTATATTATTTAATCTTATTTTTCCTTTCTTTTGGTCAGTAATGTGCCTTGCAAAGAAAGTAAATATGCTGCGAATTTAAAGAGTTTGGCCTATGAATTTCAATATTAAAAAACCTATTCGTCGGCCATTCTCTAACTGTTCGAACAATCAATAATTTTCACTTCACAGGATTAAAACCAGGGCAACGTAAGGTTCTTTACACTTGTATGAAGAGAAACGACAAAAGAGAAGTCAAAGTAGCCCAACTCGCTGGTTCTGTCGCTGAGTTATCTGCCTATCATCATGGAGAAGTGAGTGGAGATTTGATAGAATAGTGGTTTTTGAATTTCATGATCCGCGCCTCCTCTGATTACCCTGCAAGGGTTTGAATTCTGTAAGGGATGAATATGAGCGAGAGGATTGTTTGACTCCTTGTCGCCGTAGGGTGGTTCACGTAACCGTTGGTCGCTTACGGCTTCCTCTGTCCAGGCATCTGAAACAAATAACTGGCTAACTAATCCCATACCTGACATGGAATGGTACCCGGACGAGAAGCCGTGGTTCGTTATAGGATTAAGCCGTCTTAGCAATTTTCGCCAAGGATAAATATGTATATCTTATTCCAGGGTGGTCCAAGATTGGCAGCTCCGCGGGCCACAAAATTACTTTTGCATTGTTTGCGGGCCACAATAGTGTCAAGAACTTCGCTCGTTTAACTTCGCTGGTTGCCTCAGCAAGCCATACCACCAGTCAATTCAGTGACATTAATGATGCAACAATATGTCGGAATATTTTTTGGTTGGTTTTATGACGAAACAACAGGAAATGCGATTTTTTAAATTCCTCTTCGAATGCGACGCGGGCCACAGATAATGGTGGCCCGTGGGCCTGGGTTTGGACCACCCTGTCCTGTTCTCCGTCCTCAGCTCGTCATTCTGTCACAGTAGTTTGAATTTAGAAACAATCTATAAATTTCACCAGGTTTCACTGATGTCAACCATTATCAATATGGCTCAGAACTTTGTTGGATCGAATAATTTGAATTTACTACAGCCGATTGGTCAATTTGGGACACGCCTCCATGGAGGGAAGGATGCCGCCTCCCCTCGTTATATTTTCACAATGCTAAGGTTAGTGGTAGAACAAGCTTTTCAAAGTTGTATCATCGTTGCTAAGAGTCTATTTAAAGAAGGCTTGCATAGAGTGGCGTAATGGGGGATCGAGTGAACCCTCTTGAAATGTAAAAAAAGCTTTTTCTGTATAATGCCTAGCAACAAATAGTTTGCGGAGCCTTTAGCAACAGGTGGGCCGCAACCTATCCCGTCAAGCCCTTTAATGTGGCCCTTGTCAACACTCCTCAATTTATCATAAATTCCTGGTTCGACAGTTTATGTTTAGAAAAGCGCCCACATGGGAAAAATACATAACGACATTTGCTCTTGCCGCTGTGGTAATTCTTTCAGCGTTCACCCTGTGCCTTTATTACCAGGAGGCTAAGCAATAGCGGCATTCAATATTTTTGTATTGTCCACTAGATGTCTTAGAGTTGGTTATAATATGACCCGCCAACAAATCTCTGCTCCAGAACAGGGCTACTCAACTATTTTTATCGAAGGTCCGCAAACAAAACTTCAAAATTATTTGGTTCCGGTCTTTCCAGAATTGATATTTCGGCATCCTTAAACGAGCACTTCCTCGACCGACTAATGATTAGTAGCAAATTAAAAGTGTTTATTATGGTGTTATAGTTCTTTTCGTATACATTCAAAACTATGAAAGTCATTTTATAATAGAAAATTCAAAAAGTGGGGCTAATGATCCAAAATAAATAATTAGGTGCGGTCCAAATCCAATACTCGAAAGGTCCAGATTCGGACCGCGGTCCGCCAGTTGAGTAGCCCTGATCTAGAGGATTACTTGAGCCCGATATCCGTGCTATTAGAGTACACTGCATTTTCTAGTCTGGGAATGATTTTAAATTTGTTCAGTATTTTCATCTTGTGGTGAAATGTGACTGTTTATACTGAAAATATGACCCAGATATGAAATAAGTCTGCTTCTAATTTGGGAAAAGTACGTATTTTACGGATCATTAGTGCGCTTGAAATATATTTTTCTCAAAAATCCATTGTGCACCTTATAAGCCTCTGCATCTAATGTTCGGATTAGGTAAAGCTTTCTCCTTTATCGCCTAAAACCAGTACCGGTTGCGCCTCCTAGCCTGATGCGTGTCTTATGCGCTTCGAATATATTTTTCTCAAAAAATGAGCCATATAAGCTGGCGTGGCTGATGTATTGATCAGGTAGTGCTTCATACTTTATCGCCTGCACTCAAAGTCAGTACCAGGCGCACCTTATGTGTGAATAATACCCAATTTATTGGACTTCAATCGATATGAAACCTTTTTTTCCGACGGTTATGAGCGACTTTTCATACCCCTTTTATAATATGTCATATCTAGTTAATCAAACGTGCGAGAAACTTACTCGAAGTCATGTTGAAAGCTTGTTTATAATCTCCCTTTCCTTTCCAGTCCACTGACTCGTCTCTTATTTCCTGCGATTGATGACAACACATTGACTTGGTGTTACGATGATAATCAGAGAGTCGAGCCAGAATGGTGAGTTTGCTGTCTTTAAATTTTTTTTTTTCACATGTGGGGGGGGGCTTACCCGAGGTGGTTTGTGGGCCAGACCCTCTACTTTTGAAAATTTTAAAAAATGGCATTTTCTATATCATACCTAAGTGATTCAAGAGTCTTGCTGCACACTAACACAAATATATTTCTGTAACGTTTCGTCTGACCGAAGTCAGACTTCTTCAGACATACACAGTTCAACTGCTTTTCTTGTTAGAGATAGAATGTATGTCTGGAGAAGTCTGACCTTGGTCAGACGAAACGTTACAGAAATATATTTGTGTTAGTGTGCAACAAGACTCTTGAATAACTTAGGATAGTTATCTTTACTCTTACTACGGCATAATTGCAATATATGCATACGTATCCGCCGACTCAAAAGTATAGAAGAAGGATAAGTAGTTAGTTTCGCAGGCATCAAATAATCAGCGCAAGTTTCTGTATCTTACATATCATTTTCCGTAACTTAAGACGCTTTTTCAACACCAATCCCCAAAATTGCTCATGTAACAGAAGTCTGAGTAATACCAAAAAATTTTATTAAAAAAGCACTGGTTACTTGTGTGGAGCCTTCTTAATAGCAAATAGTGAAATATTTTCTGAAAAAAAAAAACAGCCAGCAGAAAAGACTAAGTTTCAGTTCCATTACCGTGGTCTGAATCTTTAAACCATTCTGCAAAAGTAAAATATGGTCTTCATGGAAATTTGGGTGAATTCTGCAGCTTAACTCAAATTTCATAATAGAGCAACAACTAGCATAACTGATATCTTTTTCCCTTTTGTGGGTGTGATTGGAGTGATTGTGATTGAAGCTTTGAACACATTTAGGTATGTATCGTGGCGCAGGTTATATATTTCCGGTTCAAACCTCTACTATTCAGTGTTGCAGCCAGAGGGGGTGGGGTCAGAATCTACGTGTCCCCCCTTTTAGTGAGACTTTACAAATGTAACTCCCGATCCATCAGTGAGAGCGCTGTAGATTCCTGGTGATTTCTTGTTCCAATTTGTCCAGAATATGAGATTGGGGCTAAAAGATAAATTGAAACGATATTTATATGGAAGAAGCTTTGTTTCGAAAGAAATCAAAATCAGATATTAACCTGCAAAACGAACATTGTTATATCGAACTGCCAGGCCATCGTGCTGCCTATATTACCGTATATACTCACAGATAAGCTACTGTATATGCTTGTTTTACCACCCGATCTTGATTAAGGGCCCGTTTGAATGGCCGCCCGTATGAACAGAACATAAAAGTAAATAAGGGATGGTGCTTGAATACCCGCCTAATGTAAAAGCTGATTTTTCAGTGGTAGAGAACAATAGGAAATAAGAAGCGCTTTTGTCACAGCTTTGTTGAATTTTAAGCGCTGGTAGATAACACTCACCCCTTAGGCATCCCAATTACATAACAGATAGTATTGATTACGTAACACCATGGTTCTCAAACTGGGCGTCGCGACGACCAAGTGCGTCGTTTCAATATTGATAGGGCGTCACAAAACTTCTTTTTTTGCGGATTTGTACCTGCGGTGCGTAGAAAAAGTCAAAATTTTCGTTATTCTCCTCTCAATCATAATTGAGAACTGGAAATGACAATATACTAATTATTGTAACGATTGATCTTATCTATGTGTGACTTGACAAACATCACGGATCGTAATTTTGTGTATAATTTTACTTTAAAAATAACAAGCGCCCCGGGAATCTTAAATTACCATGCAATGCCTTTTGAGCGGTTGCCGCGTTTGCGCATTGGTTAAAATAGCCTATAATGACGTTTTCTTGTAGCATAATATTCAATTTGTAATAACTACAGGAATTCAAACCGCTTCTAAATTTTAATCTAATTGTGTTCAACTCGCGATTGCTTCTACCATATTACCCTACATTACCCAATACATAATGAGGCGACACCAAAAAAAAAAAGAAAATTATCATACTTACCTAATAAGACGACTCTCCCCAAATCAGGCCAAAAATTTGGGTCTAGAAAAGCGACTTATTCGCCGGGATATACGATTTTTATTTTTATAGATTATCAAATTTAATATACATTAGATCCTTCTCAACAAAGAACACACAGGAGTCTGTACATAATAGAAAATAAACAAAGTTGATATAAGTCGAGATTTCGTGTTTCGGACCCCATGGTCACCTCATCATCCAGATTTTAATGAATTTGGTTTACAAAGCTCAAACGAAAGCTTCCTAAAACCATAATATTTGAATATTTAGCTTAATTGAATACATTCATTATTCTTGTCAGGTATTGTCCCATCATTCCAATGATATTGGTAAACGGTTCTCAGGGTATCGGCACAGGATGGTCTACGTCAATTCCAAATCACGACATCCGAGATATCGTTGAAAACTGCAGAAGAATGATTGACGGCGATGAACCTAAACCGATGGTCAGTGGAATATTTAAACACTTTTATGCTGATTTCTCAGTCAAAATATCTTTCCTTATTTATCTTTTTATATAATTTGATATATATAATAATGTCACGGTTCTGTATTGAAAAAAGGGAGGAAGAAAAGACAGTGTCTATCGAGCAGTGACACTCAAGGTTTTAATATCTAATAAAAAAGATTGGGCAGTTCTGTATATAAAATTCCTTATTTTTTGAAATTACATATTTGAACCCTGGGTGTCGCTGCTCAAATGCTTCAAATGCCAGCTTTGGCCGCGGCTTCCATTCCCCCAGTGTAACTGCATGATTAAAAAAAATTTCGATCATTGTATATGATTGATTTTTTACAAGTTGAAAAAAAAATACACTTGACACTCGTGTCCATATATTTAAGCATTTTTCTCTTATTTTTATATGTCAATTTCAAACTTAAGCTTAATTCACTTTTTAGAAAGTATCATCATTAATTTTAACCATTATTTATCTAATTAACTAGTTTTTTTCATGATAAAATATGTAAAGATAAGATACTTGCTTTTGCCTTACAGAAAGTGAGTTACAAGAATTTCAAAGGCACGATCGAAGAGATTGAACCGAACCGATACGTCTGCAGCGGTGAAATTGCAGTGTTGGACGATGACAGTGTTGAAATTACTGAACTGCCAATCAAAACTTGGACCCAGGTAGATTAAGAGGGCAGGATGATAGAATAGAATTTACATATTTATCCTGGAGGAGAGAAAAATTGCCAATACGGCTTAATCATGTGGCGAACCACGGCCTCTCGTCCGGTTACTGGGATTAGTTGGTTAGTGACTTAGTGGTAGAGGAAGCCGTAACCGACCAGAGGTTACGTGAACCACCCAACGACGATGAGGAGTCCAGTAATCCTCTCGCACACAACCTGCATGGGATTCGAACTTTTGAACCCGTGCAGGGTAATTAGAGGTTAGGTTATCTTTCTCCTAATTATGCGCCCAGTGCAAGGTTTCTTAAACTGGGTTCTTGTCTAACCAAGGTGGACACTGGTGGATTTCTGGTTGCCACAAGCAAAGGGTGTCTTAGGTCAGGGCTACTCAACTATTTTCATCAAAGGTTCATACACAAACTTTTAAAATCACCGGGGTCCGGATATATATACACTACAGAAACAAGCTAATGTTCACCACCATGTCTAAAAATCAGTGAAAAATGTATGAAGAAGCTACTGCAACTTCAGTTTTTATGCCAGCATTGAAATTATCTTGAGCAGTGAGTGAGACGATGATCTGAGAAACTTGTATTGCAATTTTCCACTGCGGTTTAGCGAAAAATGCTTTACATCACGTCAAGAAGTAGCCGCGATCCAAATTTAGCTTTCGAAAGGTTCAGATGCGAACCGCGGTCGCCAGTTGAAGAGCCCTGTCCTAGGTATCATTTGCTATGACTGCATTAGTTTGGTTAGTTGGAAAGTTTCTTTGATTCGGTAATGAGCAATCCTGAAAAGGGAATATGAAAATTAGATTCTCTGTTTGTTTGACTTAACTATGTTGCCAGCCCCAGGTTACAAATCTTGGGGTCGAATCCCGTCCCCACCTCCTCAGCCTGGATGTTGTAAATTGTGTACACCAGTGTGTCTTAAAACCCGTCTTTCGGGGCCAAAGAGGTAGTTTGGGTTGGGGTCATCTACGTTTTTACTAGGGCTGGGCATTCAAATCGAATATGAAATTATTCGAATCGGTTCAGAGCAAAATTTCAAATCGCCGCCATCTTGTTTTTTTTCCATTCGCCAATGGTCGAGCTAAATTTCTCTTATTTTTTTTATTGAAGCCATATTTTTTCAACGCAATTCTGACATGTGACTTTTTTCTGTAGCGAGTTATTGATGAAAATGTGTTTTTTATTGTGTGTGAAGTTGAACGCTCCACAATCTGCCTGAGTGATATATATTCTATGTTTTCAGTACCTTATGTGTCTGTAGGACCTAAAATAATAGGAAAGTTACATACAATTTTATATCTCCAAAATATTCGAGATTCGATTCGATTATTTGATTCGATTCTGAAATCATCAAGTATTCGAAAATGCCCATCCCAAGTTGTTACCCACTGTTACAAATCTTACTCGGCAATACGCCCTCGACCTGGGGTTTGGACCCATAATACCTTAACTACGACATGGTTACGTTTAGTAGTGAGATTCAGCCGGTTCGCACCGGTTCTATAGAACCGTTTCACGGAATTTTATGAGATCAACGAACCGGTTAGCATTACATGACTTTTTGTAACAGAACCGCCTGAAAATTTGGGTCTAGTATAGTTTAGTACCACAAGTACTTCCAGTGGGCGTAGCATAACGATTTTTGCATATGTTATTCCTAACCCCCACCTGACTACGTCATCCAAATATTACGTCACTACGACGTCACCATCACGTCATAGGGATCGCCAAAGTATAATTACGATCGCCCGAAATGGCATCTGCGCCGCCGATTACGAACTCGCTAACGCCGGCGATCTCTCTCTTATCGTGATCGTTATGACGGGAAAACGAGAGAAATAGCTTGCTCGATTTGGGGTGATCATCTGCGCGTTTTGGACGACCATCCGCATACTTTGGCGGGCCTTATTACGCCAATGGGTAGTCGAAATGACATAATTTTTCGGTGACGTAGTCAGGTGGGGGTTAGGAATTACATATGCAGAAATTGTTGAGCCAGGCCAACTAGAAGTGGATGTGGTACTAAACTATACCAGACCCAAAAATTCGACATTTGTATGGTGGAACCGGCTGACAAAAAATGTAAATCTTACCACTGGTTACGTTCATCGCGTAAATCACGTGTTCACTTAGATGTACTTCTTAATAAACTGTCTTTATCCTCTTCCAGGCGTACAAAGAGTCTACATTGGAGCCGATGTTCCTTGGAACAGACAAAGTGCCGCAGAAAATATTAGAATACAAAGACTACAATACTGATACTACTGTCAAGTAAGTTGGACACGTGCGAGGTGGATTTTTGTTTTTTTTAAGGTTTTGCTCAAAGTTTGATATTCAGTCACTCGGTGCCCGACCATTCACCTAGGTATGGACCTTTCCCCGAACATCGACTTCCTTGTTTACTTCATGACATTGGCCAATTAGCAAGATGCAAAAAGTGACGCAGCAATGCTCCCTTTTCGCATCGGCTCAGACACTTTTCTCACCCAGACAGAATTTCAAGCGTGGTCGTAAACGTTACCTCAGTTTTGCGTTTTTGAACTATTCGTTAGTTTTTAGTTGTGTCTCGGAAACCTAAATATAAATCAGATAATTCAATGATCAATCTGTCTTCCTAGGAGTTTTAATTTAATTGCAGTAATCAAAATTAGTGTATAAATAGCTGTGATAGACTAGGCTAAAATTCTTTACCGGTACTTTTAAAAAACAGATAGTTGTATGCGATGAATCATAATGATGGTTTGAAACACATACCCATTTTACAGGCGCCAACTCGCAAAAGCACTCTTAAAATAGCCCCGAAAATTTTGCCATGGTAAAGTATAGGAAGAATTTTCCGGGGGTCAGAGGTCGGGGAAAGGTCCATAACAGTTAACATGAGGTTTCAAGAGTCTTATTAAGGATCTGAAAATCGTTTCAAGCTACCAAAAATTCCTATGTTTGATACAGAGTAATGCTTTTTTACTTTTAAAATTGGGGGGGGGGGGGATATTGTTCCTAAAAATCCTGCCTCCCCCCTTGGCTACACTGCTCTCTAGACTCCATAACTTCACAACTATGATCAGATAAACCAGCAGGAAAGACTAAGATATAAAGTCTCACTTTACTTTGCATCTTTAAACCATCCTGCGATATTAAATATCTCTTGAACTACGTAACATTATGTGAATGATTGTTCCACATATTGATAGTTGTGAGATGACACCTTATTTGTTGGCCACAAAACAGGGCGCTCCAGAAGTGTGTTTACCAATATGGAGGTAACTATTTTTTTTCGCCTACTTTACATCAAGTTGTGTAAAGGGACTGAAACCTATGGGCAGGGGGTATATTCACTTGACTAACACAGACAATCCCCGAACTCGTAATAAAACTAAAATGAGAAAATCGGAATGAAATTATGCCCTAACCTGGTACACACACCACGGGAGTACTCAAAGTATACCTATGCATCGTTTTCTAAATTGATTTTCTCTGCAATTATTTGACCAATTCTGACCAATAATGCTCAAGAGGCAACTGAGATGTGCGCATTTGGGGTGACGTTATCTCACTCGGCGCCGCCTTCGGGTGTTCGATCATCGAATTTCTGTCACTGCGTCATTTCTGACTAGATTTTTTGGTTGACATTGAATTGTTAAAGTATCGAGTCGTTTGACTACCGGTGTCACTGTAATTACAGTTGATTCTGGCTGCCGGGTTAGAAATAAAATGAAAGTTTGTAACAAAAAAGTTTCGGTGCTCCCGAAGTATGCGAACCAAGATGGCGGACATCGGAACGTAACAGGTTAGGGTTAGGCGATAATTTTTTCCAATTTCCCTTATTTTAGTCCTATTATCAGTTCGAAGACTAGCCAGGAGCATCCCGTAATATTCATACCTAAAATTATGGCCTAACCCTAACCTAGTACACATATTACATTCCGATGTCCGTCATCTTGGTTCGCATACTTCGGGAGCCCCCCCAAATGTATACCGGACCATAAGGAGGGTAAACAACTGATAAAGGGTGTACAGCCTAAGTCAGGGATGCTAAACTCTAATATAATAAGTTATAAAATATTCAAGCGGACAATGCAAACGCGGCGCACATGAAATATAAAATGTCGTTTACGCAAAGAATCGACGTGAGCACATTGTTTCATCACAAATTATATAGATAATGCGGGCACGTGTCTGGGTTGGTGATTTTGGCTGCCATGCACTTCATTTAATTTATGTTGAACATTATTCCTGTTGACGTTAAAGCCGTCAGTCAAATTTATAACTTAAAGACACTAGCCTATTAGATTGTGTGATGAGATATTGCAGTACAATGCGCACTTAAAATTAGATGTTTATTCGAGCCTTAACTCTTTTGTTCCGTATGACATATATATTCGTACTACCATCCTTGGTCATAATAGTTATTTTCGGACTATTTTACGTTTATGTTCATGTTTTGTGAAGTATTCCGCACTAACTAAATCATTTTGAGCATCCAACTATGATCCGTGCTTGATCTGTCAACATTTTGTTTTTTTGTAAATTTTTTATTTTACTACTAAGTGAATTTTATTTGTGTAGGTATTTCAAAGCTTAAGAGATACACGAAAGTATTTGTCATTACTTCAAAAATAAGTCATTTGAACGAGCGGGAAACAATTTCGCGCACATAATAAACAAACAAAGATTCCAGACAACCATCGTGGACATGCTCTCACATATCATTGATTATTTCGCGTTTCGCTTCGCTTGCGAAGCTGAGTCTGGTTTTTCTGCAAAGGTGACGTAACTCTCTTTCAGAAGAGCGCTTGGAATTTCGTTTCTTTGTAACACGTGTTCATCGAAGCGATAAGAGTGTGAAACGTTCTCTCAAAATTTTTTGAAATTTCTCTCTTCTTACACGCGTAGGGTCGAACGGTTTCGCCTACGTCATTTGGGCGCGTTTTAGTAGGAAGACGCGAAAATAAGCTTTTTAAAGAGATATTGGGGGTGTTTCTTGTACGTTTGGTTAACTCGTCATTACATATTATAAAATGGTACATAAAGTCGATTGTATACAGCGGAAAAAAAGGGTTAAATAAACATCGGTATTTGCAAGGTATACAGAGTGCTTGAAAAATTATAAAAGGTATACCAAGATAAAAAATGTTGAAGAACACTGTTTTAAACCCCCGACACTATTGAGAACCCACAACCCCCCCCCCCTCTTTAAAAATTTCTGACTATGCCCCTGTTGAAAACACAGGTCAGACTTTTGTTAAAACACAACGAACTCACCATACCAAAGCATCATCTCAATCAAATCCTTACATTCAGATTTAAAGTGAAGATGTCATTAGCTACACTTCGTCAGAATGAAGACACAATTCACAAGTTCTTCAACTTACAGAATACTATGACATTCGCCAACACATTGGTAAGGGTTACAGTTACGTATTTATTTAACTTAGAGAGAGTGTTTCCCAAAGCTGTTCGACTCTGGGCCAAAAGTAGAAACGGGGATATTCGCGGGCCTGCAGAGTAGAGAGAGTAGAGAATTTTATTTTCTGCCTTTGTCTTTTCACACAATCTTTTCATGTCTTTATTATAAACTAACAATGTTGTTTGTAAATTCCAATGACACGAAGAAAATGCTTTTCTGTCAAGTTGTCTTTTTTTCTGGTAAATTTTATTTTTGATGAGTTGATTCTGCAAGGGCTACTGAAACTGTTTAAATTAATAAATTAACGTTTGTTGAATGCATTTTTATTTAAAACCAGCAAGAAAGACTAAGATACAAAGTCACTTTACTTTGCATCTTTAAACCATCCTGCGATATTAAATGTCTCTTGAACTACGTAACATTATTTGGATGGTTGTTCCATATATTGATAGTTGTGAGACAACAAAACGAGAGATAGATAGTGATTTATTTCCGAATATATTGCTTAAGTACACGTTGCAGCTAATAGAATAAACAATATGGATTCAGGATAGGATTTACATATTTATCCCGGGGAAAAAGAAAGCCGATAAGACGGCTTATCCATATGGCGAACCACGGCCTCTCGTCCGGTTACCATTCCATGTCGGGTATGGGATTAGTTATTTGTTTTCGAAAGCATGGACTTGGTGGTGGAGGAAGCCGTAACCGATCAGCGTTATGTGAACCACCCTACGACGGCGAGGAGTCCAGCAATCCTCTCGCACATAATCATCCCTGTATGGGATTCCAACCTGCAAATTTACGCAGAGTAATTAGGTGCGATGGCGAGCGTGTTCTTAAAGCTTAACATGATGAGCCACACCGCCGCTGTAAATGAAATATAACCGGAACATCTGGCATTTTCTAACACAGTAATTCTATTCAGGTTATGTTTGACGAGTTCGGTTGTCTCAAGAAATACAACACAACGCTCGATATTTTGAAAGATTTTTATAAAATCAGACTCAAGAAATATCACGACAGAAAAGAGTTCCTAATGGGTAAGTTAGCGTTTCAGATAAATAACTAAACGGAACGCATTGAAAACAAACAGTTAGATATCACTTGTTGAGAGCGAATGTTGCACCTTATCAAAATAGCAAGTTATTGTGTTTTGAGGACTACTGGATGAAATACAACAAAACAGAGGTTTATCCTCAAATCCAAAATTATGGCCAACTCCTATTGGGTAAGTTAGCGATTAAAATTGAGGGCTTTAAACCCAAAAGTTTAAAACATGAAAAAAAGTGACTTCATGAATATGACAAAAATGTATATTGTAACTTTATATTAAAATACTTTGGTGTAATGCAGGGGTCGGCAACCTTTTGTCGCTCGCGGGCCAAAATTAAGGTTGCAAGTCATTGCACATATTTTTAGAAAGTTGAAAAACCGAACGGATGGTACTTTTTATAATAAAAATCAAGCAGTGATACTTCTCTCGAATAGAATATAGATTCATTTCCTCATTGCATCTCCTAAAATTCCATTTGAATATTTTCAGCGTCAGTGAACTCTTTGCACTCAGCATCTACTTTTCTGCGTTTCGTTGTCATTTGCTTAATTATAATTAAATTATATGCTCATTAAACGAGTAATTGTGAATTATATAATTGTTCGGTTATAATATAATTTAGTCTAAAGAATCGTCAAAACGAATGTTTTGTTACTATAATTTAGTGAAGCGTCGCGGGCGGGATTATGATGCTCCGCAGGCCGTAGGTTGCCGACCCCTGGTGTAATGTAAAAATGTAATATAAAACGCAGCAAGGGGATTGGGCCCATTACTTAAAATAAACCTGCTAGCTGTAACGGTCTAACTTAGCAAATAGAAATCCCACAACCTTTCCTTTGCAATGGCTACGTCCCCGATTACAGATGATATTAATTTACTTTAAATTAATGTGTCATCATAAATGGCTTCTAGTGTGGGCTTTTCTCATTGCCCCCACCCAACTAACCTTTCCATTGCCCCATAAGAGGGAAAGAGGACCCAGTATGAGAAACCCCGGTGTACACAATTTATTACTTCCTGGGTAATGTAATAATGACCTTGGGATTTCACCCCGAGAGCTATTTCAGTTTTTAGCATAGTTTCGGGGTCCAAGCCCACCAACCACCCTCGAGTGTATATTTAAAACATCACTTAGCTTATGAATTATTAGAATTGTTCGGTGATGTTTACTCGAATGCGGTACTGCGGAAAAAAAACTATAGTCCTTAGCGCAGCCAATCGAATAATTACCGGTACTCTTGGTTGGTTATTCAATGATCTGCCTTTGCCATGGTTACCGCGACTTGTCGTGTCTTGAGTCGCTTTCTTAAATAGAGTGACACTGGGATATCGGGTCGCTTGAATGTGTTTTAACAGTCGACTTTTATTAGTATATTATGTTCGCCTCCTTTCTTAGTATGATTTAATGTAGGACTCACTCCCTCATAGGTAAAGCTGCTAGATAACCTTTACTGGTTTTCACACTGAAATGCATTTTTTTATTTCTCTTAATTATGTTTGTCCAATGTGTTACTCTCGGTTAGTGATAAAATAAACTACCGACTAACTTTTATGCGACGTATTTATACTTCACTCAGAACAAGACTCTGTACGAGCAGTGACTGATGTGCAGGGAGACTATATTTGAGTGTATATTTAAAACTCACTTAGCTTATGAATTATTAGAATTGTTCGGTGATGTCTACTCGAATGCGGTACTGCGGAAAAAAAAACTATAGTCCTTAGCGCAGCCAATCGAATAATTACCGGTACTCTTGGTTGGTTATTCAATGATCTGCCTTTGCCATGGTTACCGCGACTTGTCGTGTCTTGAGTCGCTTTCTTAAATAGAGTGACACCGGGATATCGGGTCGCTTGAATGTGTTTTAACGTTCGACTTTTATTAGTATTTTATGTTCGCCTCTTTTCTCAGTATGATTTAATGTAGGACTCACTCCCTCATAGGTAACGCTGCTCGATAACCTTACTGGTTCATCGCGTCTCCTTTCACAATGAAATGCATTTTTTTATTTCTCCTAATTATGTTTGTTCAATGTGTTACTTTCGGTTAGTGATAAAATAAACTACCGACTGACTTTTATGCGGCGTATTTATACTTCACTCAGAACAAGACTCTGTACAAGCAGTGACTGATGTGCAGGGAGACTAGATGTTGAAAAGGCTGTAATCTTTCCCGTTAGGCATCGCTTAATTAATTTAATACAACCTGGATTAGGCAGGGCAGGGGTCGGGAACCTTTTTGGTCAAGAGATCCATAAAAGGTACATATTTTCAATTGCACTTCTGAGCGAGCCATATATAGCATTTCTTCGCTTAATCAGGCTCACACGCAGCACAAATTGAAATCTACGCTACTCATCACCATTCTTTCGTTCAGGCATCTCCGTAGTATTTTACTAGCTAGCTTTGCTAGTCCGATCTAAATATGACAAATACTGTAACCAGTATGCACAAACGAACAAAAATCGTTTCTCCATTGCTCCGTGATGTCAAAAAATATGTTTCAGAATCCCCTAGTTTTGTCACAATGCCTGTCTGGTAATTCCCTTACATAACATAAACATGCGCGTTCTCGAACAAATTGGCAAATTTGGCTATAAAAGAGTTTGAAATCTTGTAACAATAGTAATCTTAGCCTTAGAATATTAGATTTTTCTGGGAGCCATATGCCGTCACCAAAAGAGCCATATATGGCTCGCGAGCCATGGGTTCCCGATCCCTGAGGTAGGGAGATGGGTACTTCCGTAGTATGAGCAACAAGCTGGGGGACACCGGAACCTGGTATGTGTATCAGGTTAGGGTTAGGCCATAATTTTATTCCTATTTCCTTATTTCAGTGCTATTACAAGTTCGGGGACTGTCTGTGTTAACCAAGTGAATATACCCCTGCTCATAGGTTTCAGCCCCTTCAGCTTTCTAAATTTGGTACTCCCGGAGTATGTGAACCAAGATGGCGGACACCGGAACGTAGTATGTGTACCAGGTTAAAGTTAAACCATAATTTCTGGTACAAATACTATGGGAGTCACTTGGCTAGTCCCAGAACTCGTAATATAACTATAATTGGAATAAAATTATGGCCTAACCCTAACCTGGTACACATACTACGTTCAGGTTCCCTTCATCTTGTTGCACATACTACGGAAGTGGCGGGGATGGCATTTGAACCCAAGATTCTTAACCCGAGAATTTCAATATTGTTAAGTCTAACATACAGAGATGGATTATTTCATATAATTTCCATATTTTTTGCCAGGCTTGCTCACTGCAGAAGCAAAGAAACTTTCAAACCAAGCTCGATTCATCGTTGAAAAGATTGACGGCGTAATCTCAATATTTAACAAACCGAAGAAAGAACTGATCAAGTTATTGCTTGATCGGGGATATGATTCAGATCCTGTTAAAGCCTGGAAAGCAAGCTTAGCGAAAAAGGTTGGTTTTGTAACTACACCAATGGTCACAGTCGCACCATGCTTTTACCAGACACATTCCACTTTTACTGGTACAACCAATACTACAATTGCCACAGCATGATCATACCAACTTGTACATCAATCGCATCGCCTTGGCCATAATCGTACCAATCTTATCAGAAACCTGTTCCACTTCCTGAGCTGGTTGGTTTGCTTGTACAGTGGCCAGTTTGGGTGTTATGTGGCACCTGTACATTTTCCACCACTTGTTGCACTCGCACCCACATCAGTCCCTGCTCGTACAGAGTCTTGTTCTGAGTGAGGTATAAATACGCCTCATAAAAAAATATGCTAGAAACTGAAATAGCTCTCGGGGTCAAATCCCAAGGTCATTATTAACTTACCCAGGATGTAATAAATTGTGGGGGCTCCCGAAGTATGCGAACCAAGATGGCGGACATCGGAATGTAATATGTGTACTAGGTTAGGGTTAGGCCGTAATTTTAGGTATAAATACTACGGGAGGCTCTTGGCTAGTCTTCGAACTGATAATAGGACTAAAATAAGGAAAATTGGAAAAAAAATATCGCCTAACCCTAACCTGTTACCCATGTTACGTTCCGATGTCCGCCATCTTGGTTCGCATACTTCAGGAGCACCAAATTGTGTACACCAGGGTTTCTCAAACTGGGTACTCTTCCCCTTTTATGGGGCAATGGAGAGGTTAGTTGGGTTGGGGCAACGAGAAATGCACCCGCATTTTTTCTACTTGTACCATCCCTACCAATCGCACCACATTATCCCGCTGGTACCACAATTTCCTAACTTGTATCACTCGTTAATGTTAAAACTTTCACTTCATCTCTATGATTTAGAAAATTCCATCTTCAATTTGAGATCTCCTAAATTCTGAGAAAACCAAATCACTCAACAATTCTTATGTAATTGCCTGCTAAGAGTTCTTTTTTAGTCATCGTTAAAAATTTTGAAACTGATCTGGCTGTTATAAATAATTATTGTGTGCATTACTGGCCCTGTATGATGCTCATATATTATCTAAATGTGGTTCTTCGCCTATTACATCAATATTTGCACCAACTTCAAGATCCCATCAAATGTTTCGAAATATTTTTTGAACTGCCAATTTTGATGGTTTCTGAAAGAATTTCACGCAAATAAAACCGTATCTATTCTTTCAGGACGTGGTTTTGACTGAAGACGCTAACGAAAGTGACACTGAAGAATCTGATCCGTCAGCTGATTTCAACTATATATTAGGAATGCCTCTGTGGAGTTTGTCTAGAGAGAAGAAAGATGATCTACTGAAACAGGTTGGGTGATGTTATGACAGTTTATTTTTTATAACCAAAATTATGGCTTTAGGAAACTAAAAACGCGTCTTAACTTAAACACAAGAACATGCAACATAATTACATTGAGTCACTAAGTATAGCCAAACTTAATCGGACTTCCGTCTAATACACATAACGGCACGTAACTAATGCAGTAAGGCAAATGCAGTCCGTTGTCGCTTTACGATAATCATTAATCACAACGCAAAGAACGTTAATGTAATAATGACGGAATATAAACAAAGTGGAGCACACTGCAACAGGAATAACTAAACTTAATTCTCATAACAGGTGACATTATATTTTCATCAACATTTTTTTACCCGTTCAAATTATTACACCCTTGGTTATGTGGTGGCAGGGACGTGTCAAACTTTCCTGCTGCCCTGAACGAGGTTTTTGATAATGATGCTCCTTACACCCAACTTCAAAAACGAGAATATCGGCCGGAGACCGAAGACTTATCGATCTTAGATCGGTAATTAGTTAATAACTCGCTAATTATACGACATAATTAACCCAAAATCGATAGGCGTCTGGTCCGAGGTAAGGTGCATGCACATGCAAAATTTGGAGCAGATTCAACCACGCGTTCGTGAGATATCGCGTTCATCTAACAGACACACACACACACACAGACATACAAATACCTATCAATATACTTACCGATCTTAAGATCGATAAGTAATAATTTGGGGGATAAACAAATTATAGATGTTGTCATACATGAGAATAAATAAATTGACAGTCAAGTAAGAGTTAAATGTTTGTATTATTATCTCAATCACCAAAGTAAGCAACAAACTCACTCCTATAACATGCTGCCGGCGGCGGCTGCCACTTTGAACCCCCTTTAGACACGTCACTGAGTGGTGGGCATGGGATTGAGATGTGTAACATATAAGGTGTCCATAAATTTTTAAAAAAAATTTAAATTGCAAATGGAATTTATTGATACCATATATTGTTTTGGCCATCATTGATGTATTAGAGGAAGTAAAAATAACATGATCTCTTTCAACGGAATATCATGTTATTTTTACTTATCACGTCAATACTATCTCGTTCAAGCATCCTTGTGGTGAGTACCACATACGATTCCAAAGTAGAAAGTAAACAAGGAGAAAGGACCTGCAGTTCAATACACAATATCCAAGTTCCCGAAGTAAAAATACTTTACTGATTAAAAAACAACAAACCTGGTTAAGATATATTGAGAACTGACTTCATAACAAAATTGAAACTGAAAAGGGATTGTTATGGACACTGTATATACACCCGATAGTAGTGTGACGTAAAGCAAGAGAATATTTTTACTTTCTCAGCTTTTAAAACAATCTCTTACCTTTTTCACAGCGTGACGCCAAACAGAAAGAATTGGATGACCTGACAAGGAAGACGCCTTCTAAATTATGGCAAGATGATCTCGACAGATTTATGGAAGAATTAGAAGTAAGTATTGTAGCTTGCCGATAAAAAATTCAGTATTTATTCGCTTGGAGTGTGGTGGGATGCACTAATGTACTGGTTCCCTACCTTTTATGGTTTAAAGACTCTTCAGTAGCTTTTAGCACTCCTGGCCCCTGTTTATCATTCCAGTGGTATTCATAGTGTTATTTTGATTGGTAGATTCTGAATCCCATTATGTTCAAACAATTCATGCTCAACAAAGTGGAATCACCCTGTGAAATAAACTTATCCAACAATGAAACTAAGAAAAACAGTTTTCTTGTCAAGTGAAAAAACAAGAATATCGGTTGGTAACCGAAGACTTATCGATCGATAGTTAGGGGATCCCCCAAAACAGAAACTGCAATTTCGATTCATCCGCTCTTGTAACTTGCGCACTGCGCATCGCACACACTCGGCGGGTCTCAAAATTCTCTCGCTTTACAAAAATCTAGATCACCTCATCAATAATTGATTGATAACTCGCTAATTATACGACATAATTCGCCCAAAATCAATAGGCTTCTGGTCCGACATAAGATGAATGCACATGCAAAATCTGGCGCAGATTCAATCTCGCTTTCGTGAGATATCGCGTGCATCCAACAGACAGACAAATACCTATCAACATACTTACCGATTAAAATCGATAAGTAATCACTTCTGCGCCTGGCATTGTGGCCCCCCAAACTGCTTTATGGCACTTCGATGCACCTCATCAATGAGCGAAAGACCCCTAAACATTGAAACTTGAAAACTTCTGAATACAGCTATAATACATCTTGAAGTTATTTGCAAATATGGCCTTGTTTAAAGTAAAAAGTATGATAATTGGGCGCTCCAGAAGTGTATGCAACAATATGGAGATAACTAATTTTGTTTGCCTACTTTACATCAAGTTGTGTAAATGGACTGAAGCCTATGAGCAGGGGGTATGGTATATTCACTTGGCTAACACAGACAGTCCTCGAGCTCGTAGTAGAACTAAAATGAAGAGGTACACACACTACTGTAGTACCAATAATGGAGCCCCCGAAGTATGTGAACCAAGATGACGCACAACCTGAACACAGTATGTGTATTCAGGTTGTGAGCCATCTTGGTACACATACTTTGGGAGCGCCCCGATAATTGCCTAAGAAAATATTTTGATTTCAGAAAGTGGAAAAAGCTGAACGGGAAGAAGCAGAAGCTGAAATAGTGAAAAGCAAGAATAGAGGATTATTCGGGGCCAAAGGTCGCGGAAAAGCTTTAAAAGGAGTCAAAATGGAGACGATGCCTTCCCCACACGGAATTCGATGCATTCCACGAATCGATACGGCTTTGAAAACCAAAATCTCGACGCAAGCTCGTAAAAAGAAGGAAGATAGCACAGCGAGAAAATTGGAATCTTTCTTCAAAACTGAGGACGGGACAAAGGTCAAAGTTGAATCTGATGGACATGGTATGTTTTTACTTATCGATTTTAATCGGTAAGTATGTTGATAGGTATTTGTCTGTCTGTTAGATGCACGCGATATCTCACGAAAGCGAGATTGAATCTGCTCCAGATTTGGCATGTGCATTCACCATATGTCGTACCAGAAGCCTGTTGATTTTGGATGAATTATGTTGTATAATTAGCGATTTATTAATTAATTAGTGATGGGACACAAGGTGTCACTATTGAGTAAGAGCGCTGTTTTGGGGTATCCCCTAACTTTCGATCGATAAGACTTCGGTCTCTGACCGATATTCTCGTTTTTATACTTGAAGGATTGGGATTGAGTAAGTTTGTCTTGAGGACCAATTACAGTAGGAAAATTGCATACAATTACATATATTCCAAGTATTCAAGATTTGATTCGAAGAAAGTATTTGAATCAATTCTGAAATCACCGGGTATTCGAAATGCCCATCCCCAGTAATGTTATCAACTTTCAAGCTTAAATTCAGATTCAGATTTTTATTTTCGTCGTGCATGAAATATTGTACAAACAAAATTGATCAAAATATATAACAAAACATCAATTAAAATATACTGGAATACAATATTTGCGCAATTGACAATACAGATGTATAAATTCACAGATGTACCATATTACTGATTTTTTATGTGACATATTTAATTCCATAATTGCAGCCAAAGAAGCAGTGGGTAAGGATGGTAATTGTTGTGGACGGTGACCTTACATTTGAACCCATGTGTATATCCACGAGTTCAATCTATATGTGGGTGCTAAAACCCATGGGTTAGGGTTAGTATGGGTTTAACTATCCGTGAAACAAAAAAAATTCCATAGGTGCAATAGCATACAGGTGCAATTGTCATGGGTTCAAATGTACGTGGGTTCAAATATAATGGAACCGTTGTGGACTTGTGGTGATAGTTCACTTTTAATTGTTGATTTAAAAACTACACGATTTGAAGTGTTGCAAATTTCTTAACTTTCTGCTACACTGAAGACTGAACCAAAGTTTTTTTGATTTTTGCTGTAATAAGTAAACTTCTTGTAAAAGCCTCTTTTAGCGCTAAACTCGCCGAATAAACTCAATCATGCTCTTTTGAATCACTATGATTCCTTCTTTGTAGGGGAGACCTTGTCCTACCCAGAGATGACCTGAACTGAATATTTTACTATTTTGAATACATTCTGAAAAAAGATTTTTGAATATGGCATATCGAATAAATTTTAAATTGGGGGCAAGTTTATGTGGAAAATTACATGAAGTCCTATATCTTCATGTCGATCACATCTCAAACGACATAAATATAAAAAAGTCATCATTTTCTCTATGTTGTTTGTTATCAGTCGAGATATCGTACATTTTGATTTGTTTTTCTGACAGCTGGAAACCAAAGTTATAAATTATTCTCAAATACAAAAATTTTGGGGCTCCCGAAGTATGCAAACCAAGATGGCGGACATCGGAATCTAATATGTGTACTAGGTTAGGGTTAGGCCATAATTTTAGGTATAAATACTACGGGAGGCTCTTGGCTAGTCTTCGAACTGATAATAGGACTAAAATAAGGAAAATTGAAAAGAAATTATCGTCTAACCCTAACCTGTTACCCATGTTACGTTCCGATGTCCGCCATCTTGGTTCGCATACTTCGGGAGCACCAAAATTTTTTATGTTGAATATATTGGAATTTAAATATTCAATTCGTTTTGATCATTATTTCTAGGCTATCAAACTATTTTTTGGTAAACGATGGCATTTTCAAATCTAGATATAAAAACGAAGTTAGTACTTCATAAACGAAGCAGATGTTTCCAAAGAATTAACATCAAGACATGGAAAGTTAAATAGAGCATTGTGAAGCAATAATAATTTTTGCATAACCATTTGGGATATTAGAAAATTTTAAAGATGAATGAACACTGTTTTTCCTTCCTGGAACACTTATTTTTTTGTGCGCACAATCCACTTTAAGTCTCCAATCACGTGTTTTCAACTTGGATGTTGTATGTTGATCACAAAGCTTTTCTGAAATTTTAGCTACCTTAATAAATTAATGTTTTTCAAAATGAAATTTTTGAAATGGGGTCCTTTTGTTTCCATGGTCATTCTATATTGTTACTTATCGATTTTAAAATGTTAGTATGTTGATAGGTATTTGTCTGTTTGTTTGTCTGTGTGTTAGATGCACACGATATCTCACGAAAGCGAGGTTCAATCTGCTCCAAATTTTGCATGTGCATTCATCTTAGCTCGGATCAGGAACCTATTGATTTTGGATGGATTATGCCGTATAATTAGCGAGTTATTAATTAATTAGTGATGGGACACACGGTGTCACTATGGAGTAAGACCACTGTTTTGGGGATTCCCTAACCTTCGATCGATGATTCTTTGGTTTCCAACCGAATTCTAGTTTGTTTCCTTAATGTGTCAGGGAGTATACCAAATTTTTCACCAAATAGATGAATTATATTTGATACTAGAAAATTTAAAAATAAAATCAAAAAATGGAAACCTATCTATTACGGGGTTTCCCAATCTGGTGTCCGCGGACCTCTGTGGGTCTGTGACGACTACACAGGGGGTCCGCAGCGATATTAAGAGTCTGAAATAATACATTTAACGTATATCCACTGTTACATAGTCATTCATAAACGAGATGAAGTCGTAAGTTGATGCAATCGCAAATGGTAATTGTTACAAGGCCTTAACAATGGGAGTGAAAAAGTTGTTGTAAATGTAGACGATCGTCTGGGAGGTAGATCTTTGTCACAGAGTTACGTCGTCGGTAATAATTGATTGTATGCGTTATTGAGTTATCACCAGTCAAGAACTTGTGCGACTTTGCCAAGGTCATTTGAGCCCTGTTGATGCAAGAAAGTGGCGTGAAACACAGTTATGTTAATTGTGAGAGACTATCCAAGAACACACAAATTAGTTTGTTGTCATAGAGTTGGGCCTACAAGTTCGCTTGTCAGAAATTGATCCGTCACATTAATGTCGTTTGTGTTGTTGTGTTCTAAATCCAAATGGAACATTAACCTTCCTCCTTGGTTACGCACATGATTTGGTATAGAATGGGTGTCTGTAAAAAATAATATCCGCAAACAGGGGCGGTTCACTGCTCAAAAAGTTTTGGAAACTCTGATCTAGTAGGTATATGCAAACTTTGAACATTTTAATTGAAACATGTTTTCTTCATAGATTTTTGCAACCCGTTTCTACTTTTTCTAAATAATGTTAAAATCTTTTCACAGTTGCTGGCATGGATATAGATGACGACGTAGACAAACCATTATCACTGGCTCAACGTCTGAGTATTAAAAATTCAACGAAGGAAAAGCCAAAACCAGGTAAGCTCTCGTTAAGCTAATTCAGTGGGTCGATGGCCCACTTTTGGGCCACAAACCCATCAAAAATTTCTAGAGTTAGTGATAAATTCGTTCGTAACTTTGATTGTAGTAGCAATGAATGATGATTCTTTTTTTACTACTTAGTGATTACTCTCATATTAATTATTAAGTTGTGAGCAAACTTGCAATTTGCAATTCTTCTATCGCAGGCGTGGGTAAGTATGTGTTTCTTGGTCTCTATTTTTTGTTAAGTTTAAACTTTACTTCAAACACGATTTATAACTTTCTTTCTTGCAATAGCTAATAAATATGTGATTAAGATATTAGATACTATTCATGTTATAATCCTGCCCGCCGAGGACTTCATTTTTCCACATCTGGCCGCCGACTAGAGAAGTTACCCACCCCTGTTTTATCGGTGCTCTTCCAGCTTTTTTTAGTCAAGTACTCTGGAACTTTACCTTGAGCAAACACATATGGAACCAGACCAGTGCATCTTATCACCTTTCTTTCCTCTTCCCAAAATAAATCTGAACATCCTTTTCCAAGATACATTTTTATCTTAACAACAGTCAAACCAGCCACCAAGCAGACAACATTAAGCTTTAAGCCAAAAAGCAAACCGTCTGGAGGAGCAGGAGGAACTAAGGGTAAGAAGAAGAAAAATCCTTGGGATTCTGACTCTGATGTTTCTGAGGGGTTTAGCTCAGATGAAGATTCTGAAGAATATGTTCCTAAAAAAAGCACAAAGAGAACTGCAAAAAGTGGGTTTAAATTTGTGGAATTTGGTACTCCTGTAATATGTGAACCAAGATATTGGACACCGGAATGTAGTATGTGTACCAGGTTAGGGTTAGGCCATAATCTCAGGTACAAATACTACGGGAGTCACTTGGCTGGTCCACGAACTCGTAATAGAACTAAAATATAGAGAATTGGAATAAAATTATGGTCTAACCCTAACCTGGTACACATACTACGTTCAGGTTTGGCCATCTTGTTGCACATACGTGTGAGCGCCCATTTTAGTGCACTGCGAGACTCTTAAATTACATAGAATGTTAAACTTTACTCTTGTTCCAACATTCTTGTGTAAAGCGTTGAAGTATATTGACAGTCAATGTTCCCTCTAATTTGGCGCAGAAATTTTGGTGTGTGCGCACTTTTTTGTAAATGACCAATATTTGTGCAAAAATCAATGTAGAAATTTTGGCGTTCTAACCGGGTAATAAGTGGGCCAACAACAAACTTTCTCAACCTGCAAACCGAGAACATTGTTACATTACATCGAAATACGTCTGTGCGCAGTAAATCTATACGTGTGCGCAGCCTGTGAAAGCTGTGTGCGCGCGCACACCTTAGAGCAGTGTTTCCCAACCTTTATCCGCCCACGTACCATTTCGGGATTTAGTGCAGTGCTCGCGTACCACCTACACAAATAATGCGCACGAAAAGCTATTTCTTACCGTTTGTGACGTCATAATAACGTATTTGATTCATGCAAAGTGTAACAACAAATTCTGTTAAACTAGGCCGCATCAGCCAAGATTGATGTGGTGCATGTTATTGTTTTTCCGCCACTATTCAAAAGAAGAACAACATAATAAAATAACAACAAAACAATCAATTCATTCAATGCGATGGCTGCATTTATTTATTTTCTACGAGCTGGTCGATGCGTAGCATACATTTGCTCACAGCTAATCGGAAGTCATGCATTGGCTCAAGGAGTCTGTTTCGTTTCTTAGATTTGATAGTCAGAAGGAATGAAAACCCTTGCTCGCACTCCCACGTCGAAGGAAAAATTAACAGCTGGGGAATAGCGCGAAAAGCAAGCGTCACATATGAGGAAGCCATGCTAAGCCAGAAGTTGATTGGAGAACATTCTTTGTGTTTCGTCTTTGCAGTCTGGTCAGCCTGGATATCTATGAGCTCCTTGCTCCCCAGTCCCGACAGGCAGGTCGGCTGGATCAATAGAAAATGGATCGGTTATGTAGGCACAACATATAACATCCGGAAAGTAATGCCTCAATTCGGCATTGAGCAGTGACAGGTGATCAACGATTTCATGGGAGACTTCATCATTGGGCGCGCTGGGAAGGGTTGTCAAGGATGTAAACATTCCATATTGCTTGCTTTCTACGTTATTTTTCCAGAGGTCCAACTTCCGGACAAACGCTCTCAGTTTTGAAATGAACTCTACGATAGTACAGTTTGGTCCTTGAAATGACAAATTTAAACGGTTGATGGTTTCAAAAATGTCTGCCTAGTAAGCCAATCTTATGACAAATCCCTCATCCTCCAGATATTTCTGAAACTTGTGATCTTTCTCCTGTAAAAAACACAAGTAGTTCATTCCTCAATTGAAAAAGACGTTTTGTTGTATTTCCCCTGGAGAGCCAGCGCACTTCTGTGTGATAGAGAAGACAAGTGTGATCGGAACCGAGATCTTCGCAGATCAGCTTAAACAGGCGACTATTTAGAGTTGACGCTTTAACAAATTTACAATTTTAATAATTCGGTTCAAGCACGATAACAACTTGGCGCTAAAGACGAATTTGTGTATAAAACAGTGTACACCGGTGACGTTTGATGATACGGCTTTCACATGGGCTTGAAACCCAGACTTTCGACCAAGCATGGACGGAGCCCCATCTGTCGTGCATCCGATTACTGCAGTTCGAAACATTTGTAGATTCGTCGACCTGTATTGCAAACCCAAATTTTGAAGCTCTTACTCCCGGAGTAACTTGATCGGCTGTGTCAACTGACATCTCCTCGATACGGCGCTTTACAGTATTGTTAGAGAGGGACACACTGTCCAACTTTGCCACGGACTCCTCTCTCATCACACGTCTGACCAAAATCTTTGCCGCCGGCATTATGAGAGACTCTGCAATGGTATGAGCTGTCATGCTTTTAGCCACCAAGAAAGCGACTTCATACGACGCTTTGACAATCTCTGTCCCCTTCTGGTGGAATAAGCCAGTTCTGTCCAAACGCTGCCGCTTCATTTGCTCCGCAAGTAGCTCTGATCTCGATTCTTCCTATCAGCGTGGTTCGTTCTAAGATGACGTGGAAGCAGGCTGGGTTTCATGGACGCGTTGGAAAGGGTCTTCATGCAGACCACGCATTGCGGTAGAACTTCTCCTTTGTGTTCGATCGTGATGAAACCGTATTTTAAATAATCTGGATCATAATTTCGCTTGGACATGGTATAAAGTCAAATGAAAAATACTATTTATCGCAATAATAAATGAAAATTTGTCAGTTACAAACCTTCCTTATTAAACAAACCACCACGTTAGACTAGCTCCTAGTATGTTACCAGTACCATCCAGCGTTCGCGATGCGCACATGCAATTTAGACATTCTATGACGTCATAATGGCTAGAAGTAAAAAAAAGACGTCCCTTACCACGACGCCTTCAAAAAAGCACCGCAAGAACTTAATTAAGAACTATCGTCGATTGAAAAAAAAAAACAGAATGTGCTCGCGTACCACCTGGAAGACCTTCGCGTACCACTAGTGGTACGCGTACCACAGGTTGGGAATCACTGCCTTAGAGGGAACACTGTTGACAGTCATTCTCTTGTATTCCCAACTTATATTTTAAATTTAATGTAATGTATGAATTTCAGTGACTTATTCTTGGCAGCAAGATTATTGGATGACATTTAATAGTTATCTACATTCTTGCTATAGCAATACTTGGATTGTATACGGATTGGTCCACTAGTGCATAAGTATAGAATAAAGATATGTAGTTGGTCATTTGCACTCCTAACTGGTATCTCTCAAATTTGCTTCACTCTGTAACATGAATGACCTTTGACCCCTATTTTTCAGCAAAGAAAGATAAATCTGATGACAGCGACGATGACATTCTTGCCGCGAAGATGAAAAGGTAGGTTTGTTTATTATTGGGGTTCGGCTGCACCAAAAATATTGAAACCACAAGATTAAACATTTATTATTACTTATCGATTTTAATCGGTAAGTATGTTGATAGGTATTTGTCTGTCTGTATGTATGTCTGTTAGATGCACGCGATATGTCACGAAAGCGAGATTGAATCTGCTCCAGATTTTGCATGTGCATTCATCTTATCTCGGACCAGAAGCCTATTGATTTTGGGCGAATTATGTCGAGTGATGGGACACAAGGTGTCACTATGGAGTAAGAGCGCTGTTTTGAGAGATCCCCTAACTTTCGATCGATAAGTCTTCGGTCTCTGACCGATATTCTTGTTACTTGTTTGTTGATGGTTGGCCTTTCATGCCAAGATAGGACTACTCTTGCCATTCCTGATTGCGTGTTGAATCCTGTAAGAAATAATTAGGTGTGCTGTTTCTCTTCTCCCATCAGGTAAATTTCTTGGTACCCCGAAGTATGTGAACCAAAATGGCGGACACCGGAACATAGTATGTGTACCAGGTTAGGGTTAGGCCATAATTTCAGGTACAAATACTGCGGGAGTCACTTGGCTAGTCCCCGAACTCGTAGTAGAACAAAAATAAGGAAAATTGGAATAAAATGATGGCCGCCATCTTGTATCACATACTTCATATTTTTAATTTCAGTTCAAACAATAAATTGTCAGATGACGACAGTGAAGATGACATAGCTTTGACAAAGAAGAAAAACAAACAAAAGTAAGTAATGAAAAGATGAAAATAGGATGAAAACTTTTATCCATGCCACAAATCACTTTCCGATGTGTGTCCCGATTTCCAGATCAGATGATTAGATTGTCTTATTAACTATCCTCTTCCATTAGATAAACATGAAATATTTTAATTTCAGTTATTTTAATTTCAGTTCAAACAATAAATGGTCAGATGACGACAGTGAAGATGACATTGCTTTGACAAAGAAGAAAAACAAACGGGAGTAAGTGTTATGTGGGCAACCCTTCTCCGACATTAAATACCGTAATTCCTCAAGCATTATCCAGATCTGAATATGATGTGTAAAACGAACCACATGTACCTCAAACTCACAGATTCAAATCACAGGGAGCCCTCGGGTTACGACGGTTGCAACTTATGCTGTTTTGAGGTTACGAACGTGCACTCTATAACGATGTTTCGAGGTTACGAACGCACTCCATAAAAATATAAAAGATAATACTGTACTGTAATATCTAAGCCCTTAAACTTGATCATTGTGATCAAGAAAATCAGTGCTATGGGCTCACAATTGCGAACTATTACGATTATGAACGAATAATCACTAAGCTTCAGTCACATGGTACACAGTTTCAGTGATACTGTACGTCAGTTTGGTTGTTTGAGCCGTTTTGTTCGGAACTTTGATCTTAACTTTTTTTTTAACTTTTTGCCCTTTATTATGGACTCAAAGCGTAAAATAGATGTTCTTGATACAGTATGATATGCTCAGCGAAATTATTGTTGTGTACAGCAGGGCTACTCAACTATTTTTATCAAAGGTCCGCAAACAAAACTTCAAAATTATTTGGGTCCGGTCTTTCCAGAACTGATATTTCGGCATCCTTAAACGAGCATTTCCTCGACCGACTAATGATTAGTAGCATATTAAAATTGTTTATTATGGTGTCATATTTCTTTTCCTATATATTCAAAACTATGAAAGTCATTTTATAAAAGGAAACTTCAAAAGTGGGGCTAATGATCCAAAATAAATAATTAGGTGCGGTCCAAATCCAATACTCGAGAGGTCCGGATTCGGACCGCGGTCCGCCAGTTGAGTAGCCCTGGTGTACAGTATAATGTTCCGACTTACACTGAAATTCGGGTTACACCACGTCTCAAGAAAGGAACAACGTAAGTCGAGGATTCCCTGTATTTATGTCCTTCTAAAACTCAGCGTCTCTGCCAATACTAGCGCCTAATATATAAGCGTTTGGGCCTGCAAATTACGTTTTTGAGAGAGCTACCTTCAAGGACTTATTTAGGCGCGCGGCGGTGTGGCTCAACGGGCTAAGCGTTAGGAATATGCTCGCCACCGCACCTCTAATTACTCTGCGTGGGTTCGCAGGTTCGAATCCCATGCAGGGATGGTTATGTGCGAGAGGATTGCTGGACTCCTCGCCGTCGCCGGTTCACGTAACCGCTGGTCGGTTACGGCTTCCTCCACCACCAAGTCCATGCTTCCGAAAACAAACAATATAACTAATCCCATACCCGACTTGGAATGGTAACCGGACGAGAGGCCGTGGTTCGCCATATGGATAAGCTGTCTTATCGGCTTTCCTCTCCCCCAGGATAAATATGTAAATCCTATCCTATCTAGTATATCAATTTCAGTTCTTATATCCAATTATACCGTCTGTAGTCACGTCACTCTCCTGCAACGAATACCCAATGAATCACATCAGTAAAACGAGACGGCAGGCGATTATTAGCCAACCCAGTATTTGTAAATAAACTATTGTCATTCATAGTTTCAAATTGAGTTTTTAGCCGACGACCTGCGACCCAGTAACCAAGTCTATTATCTGTAACTGGTTCATTTAGGAAAGTAATTGCCCCTGCTTCAAATAATCTTTAATGGAACCATTCTTACTTCTAGCTTGCTGTTTCTTTTCTCCTTTTCCACACACCATCCGTCATTCCTCTTACAGATTTCTGTTGGATATATCTAATAATTACTTATCGATTTTAATCGGTAAGTATGTTGATAGGTATTTGTCTGTCTGTTTGTTTGTCTGTTAGATGCACGCGATATCTCACAAAAGCGAGTCTGCTCCAGATTTTGCATGTGCATTCATCATATGTCGTACCAGATGCCTATTGATTTTGGATGAAATATGCCGTATAATTAGCGAGTTATTAATTACTTAGTGATGGGACACAAGGTGTCACTATGGAGTAAGAGCGCTGTTTTGGGGGATCCCCTAACTTACGATCGGTAAGTCTTCGGTCTCTGACCGATATTCTCGTTTTCTAATTTGTTGAATTTTGATACTGAAAATTTGATGAAAGGCTGTATGTTGAAGCCATCCTATTGGCTTTTCTCCTTCCTGGGATAAATATGTAAATCCTATCCAATTCATGTGTTGTGAGCCTTCCTTTTTCACACTCTTAGGAACACTCAACATGTTGCTGAGGGGCGGGCAAATTGGGACCTGCTGGCTGGATCCAACCCATTTGTGTCGGCTGAAATTAAAACTATAGTTTCTATTGATACGAATTTCAGTTGAAAATATTGATGAAAATAACGTCATATTGACCGCGATTGTTACATTGTGCATTTCATTATTATATAAACGTTAGCCTAGCTGTTGGATAAGCTTTTGTAAAGCGTTTTTTTTATTCAAAGTTTTTCATATCAAGTTTGAGCCTTCGTCCCAGAGCCAAGTCTATTATCTGTAAGTGGTCCATTTAGGAAAGTTATTGCCCTCTGCTCTTTTTCAATCTTACGTACCCTTTTCACACACCATTCGACATGCCTCTCACACATTTCTGTTAGATAAATCTGATAAGATGTTGAATTTTCAGTTCAGGACGAACTGATAATTGGATGAAAAGTTGCAGTTTGCCATACGATTAAGCCGTCTTATGAGCTTATATGAAAATTCTATCCATGTGCTGGCCTTCCTTAAGAACACCCAACACGATGCTCATTATTATATAAACGTTATCCTAGTTGTTGGACTAGCTTTTGTAAATAAACTGTTTTTTTTATTGATAATTTTTCATATTGAGCCGATGGTCCAGTGACCAAGTCTATTATCTGTAACTGGCCCACGCAGAAAAGTAATTGTCCACCGCTGTTCTAACATATCGGTTTTCATTTCAGCATGATTGACCTTGATGACATTGATGAAGACTCAGAACCTCCTGCAAAGAAAGCCGATCTTTCATGGGATGAAATCAAGGAGTTAGAACCGCCCCCTCCTGCTAAGGTAAACTTTCATGTGGCATTTTTCTGGGCCTTCATCCAGACTGGGCCCAAATCCCCTAATTTCCCTGTTTCTGAGGGGCGAATTAGCCCCCATAAGACTCTGGCCTCCTGCCCCTAAGAAAGCCGATCTTTCATGGGATGAAATCAAGGAATTAGAACCGCCCCTCCGGCTAAAGTAAGAAACTTTTATATGGTGTTTCTCAAACTGGGCCCAACCCCCTAATTTCCCAGTTTGTGAGGGGTCAGTGGCGCAACCAGCGGGGGGGTTACGGGGGTCGTGTCCCCCCCGTTTGAATTTCGTTTTTTCTTATTATTGTTCTACGTTAAAACAGCGTCGTTCCACGGTCATAACAATCCGGTGAAAACTACTTTTTTCCAGTGCTTCATCACCTCGACGTAATTTAACACCGCCCGACTTCAATCATACCTTTTTGCTGATAGTTACGTAATAATCGCTAACCCCGCGTATATGTTTGTATTCGAAAATGAGATATGTTATCTCAAAAAAGTAGAAATCGCGCGCTGTCGATGCGAATTGAAAGCGACAATAGCATAATGCTATCTCTCTCTCTCTTGTGACGAATACTCTCGTGCTTCATCATCTTGACGCAATGTAACGCCGCCCGTCTTCATGTTATAATAATGCAGTAGAAACTCTGAAAATCTGGATACGAAAATTATTTTCGGAAAAATATTGCTTCGAATAACCTAAGATTTTCTACATATGAAAGGCCGAAAACCGAAAACATCCTACCGCCCCCGTCCATGTTCTGATTTAAAAACATTCCACAATTATTTCATTTTTTATCGCAATCGAAAGCAGCCATGTCTGGCACGGCAATAACTAACAGTCGTCGTGGAAGGTTTTCAATAAACTTGAAGTGCTTATAAGACGTCGAGGACGTTTTTGGTTGAAAATTTTTTACATTTGTCATCGTATATTTCAATTTAGTCAAGATATGTTGTGCGTCTCGGCAATAAACTTAAAAGCAAATCCTGTCCTAATTAATTGTTTTCATCCTCATATTCGATAGTTATCGAACTTAACGGGAAATTTTTTAATTTCTTGCAATCTATAAAATAGCTTCTAAATATTATTTGGTTTCTATCGGAGATTTTATCGTTATCCCGAGTCCTGACGTCGTTGATAACAATATCGTTCATTTTAAGTTGGAGGTATTGGTTTATAATCAAAAAATTATAACACATAACATGAAAAATTTAAATCAACGCTGACTCAAAAAGTAAAACACGTTTTTCCATCTTCATTCTCCATTATTGGCGGACGGAAATTTGGGAATCGGGTTTAACTAATTTGTTATGATGACGATGGTAAACAAAAGTACACAAACATACCATACCGTTCTTAGTTTTTAGTCGTTATTTCTCTGTCCTTTCTTCTTTCTATGTGCATATTAAGACCATAAAACGTGTTTTATTATTGAATTCTGCGCTGATTTGAATATTTCATGTCGGCTGTTATGTATTTTTGTTTGTAAATGAATACCGCTAACTTTAACTGAACTGATGTTGTTATCAATGCCGGATGCCGACGAAATCCGCGATAGATATTAAATACTATTTAAGAGCTATTTTATACGCGCTAAATTAGAAGAAATGAAAAAATTTCCTGTTATGTTCGGTCACTATCGAAACTGAGGATGAAAACAACTAATTAAGACACAATTTGCCGAGGACGCCTAAACCATCTCGACTAAGTTAAAATACCCGATAAGAAAATATTTTCAATCAAAAACGTCCTCGAAGTCTTATAAGTTCTTCAAGTCGGCGTTTATCGAAATTCTTTCATGTCAGCTGTAATATATTGCCGAACCACACATGGACGACGACGCCTAGGATATGTGCGCCATATTTGGGATTATTATAAACACGAAAAAACAGTATTTGAAGTTTGCGATATTTGAATTTAAATTCGATTTGGACATCCCTGCATTAAATTAGTCAGTTTTTAGTTGTGTTTCCAAAAATTAGTTGTAAATCAATTATTTTAATTGTCATTATGTCTTCCGGTGAGCTTCAGTTTAGTTTAGAATTTTTCCGGGGTTAGGGTCGGGAAAAGGTCCATTCGCAAGAAGTGCATTTTGTTTTTAGTCTTGACGAATTCACCCAACGAGCAAGGCGCGGCACGAGGGAAACAATGGAATTTTTTCAAGCCGTGTTTCACTATCCACGAGGCGCAAAGCGAGGAAAACGTTGAAAATAATTAACAGCTTTTCGTTAGCAATTCGCTGGAATGTAATGAACGGCGTTTTGCTACCCACGAGGTGCAAGACATAGCGAAGCGCCGTTAATGAACGAGTGCAAGGTAAGCGAAAGGCTGGGATTTAATCGATGGCGTTTCCCTTTTAACCATGAGCAATTTATCGTGGTCAGCGGGGCGACACCTAGTGGCGTTGCGACTTACGTCGTGGTTGCACTGTGTAAATTCCGGTCGGACCCCCCCGTTGAAAACGGCCTGGTTGCGCCACTGTGAGGGGTGGATATGCCCCAAGACACTAAGACTCCGAACTTCCTGCCGCTAAGAAAGCCGATCTTTCATGGGATGAAATCAAGGAGTTAGAACCCCCCCCTTCCACTAAGGTTAAAAAGTCCGATGCAAAGATTTTCAAACTGTCCAAACCCCCCAGTTTTAAGTTTTTGGGGGGTAAAGTATTCTGGTGTGTGATTCACCTTCATTATTCTATAATTGTTTCAGTACGTTTTAATATTTTATTAGTCGCCCGTATTTTCTTTTAAGAGATGAGTCTCCATTACTATTGATTTTTCAAAATTGCTACTTTTTCAGAAAACAGCCGTCAAACGCAAGAAACTAAACGACTTCGGTGCATCCAGCAGTGAAGACTTATTGAAGACTAAACCACCTAAAAGTATGTTCGTTTTATATTTCTTCTTAGTCGTGTTAGAACTATAGGATTCATTATCCAAGCGCTAAGAGAATGCTTATGCTCTCTTGCTCCCCCACGCCGGTGGTTCCGAAACAACAGCCCAATTACCGCTTGCGTAACGGTTTAATATGGCCCGCCGAACTCGAGTGAAATACTTTTAACACTGTATATTTTTACCGTTTTGAGTTCTAGAAGCCAATAATTGTTACGTCATTATCACAGTTTTAGCATGTTCGTCACAATTCAATTGTACCGTTGCCGTATCGACCATTGCAGGTAATCCTCTCTCTTGGCCCGCAATTATCCTTTTGCTTTCAATTTTGGCCTCAGCTTTAGGTCGCGGCAACTGCTTATCTGCCTGAATTATTGTTGATAATTTTGTAGAAATACTGTAGAAAACTTTGTGCAGAATTTATTGTATTGCTTAACAACTGTTTCAATTCTGTCAAATAATGTCATAAAAAGATTCCAAATTTTGACAAAATTTTTGTTCAACCAATTCTACAATATTTTTCCAATTTCTTTGACAGAGCAAGCTAAAAAGACAGAGCCAAAGAAGCCAGCAGCATCTAAGGTATGTGAAAGTTTATTTTCCTGCTAACTTGATGATAGAATTTATTGATACCATATATTGTTTTGGGCCTCACAGATGTATTAAATGAAGTAAAAATACTTGAACAATTACTGATTAAAAAACAACAAACCTGGTTAAGATATACTGAGAACTGACTTCATACAAAAATAAAAATTGTAAAGAGACTTTATGGACTTTATCATGTATTTCTTTGATTAGTACTGTGGTTCTCAAACAAAGTAGTGTCGGGAATTTTCAAAAGGAGGGAGGAGGGGGGGTTCCGAAACTCAAAATTGCCAAGTTGATCTTAACAGCAAGCGGGTCTGTTTTTGAAACAGTTCTGAGGGTCGAAAAAGTGTTTTAAACTACGAAGAATGATACAGACATTTTTTTATTTTAAAAAGTGGGGTACCGACGCCCACGTCCCCAGGGAGTGAGAGCCCTATTTTAGGGGCTAGAGCAGGGGTTCCCAAGCTGTTTTCAGGACGACCCCAGAGACAACTTTCAAGTGTCCAGTGCGACCCCAGGTCAATATATATATTTTTCATGAAACTTTAGAGCTTCTTTCACTGGACTTTTGAGTTTGGTCATGTGGTGATATTAAGTAAAATAAGCTAAAACCAAACAGTGATGTCACAATAATCACCTACATTTTCTAAAGCATAAGCATAGAGCGATGTCTATGGTAAGCCATGATACAAAATGCTAAATTTAACATGGTTTGTCAAATCTTAGATGTTTTGTACATCCAACCTCTACCATATCTCACCGACCCCTCATGACCTGTTTGCGACCCTACCTACTTATCACTCCGACCCAATTTGGGGCGCGACCCCTGGTTTGGGAACCTCTTGGGCTAGAGACTACTACTCCATGGCCCCCGGGAAGGGAGTGAAGACCCAGTTTAAGACACCTTGCCTTAGCATTTTTACCCAGTAGAAATAAAAGAAATCTTGTTTTTAGTCGAAGAGTGCACCTAAGAAAGGAAAGAAGATAGATCAGTGGGATTCAGGTTCAGATTTTTCTGGCGGGAATTCCGGCAGTGACGACGACGAAAAACTACGTTCCTCAGATTCTGAGTTTGTTCCGAAGCGTTCCACCGCACGCCGGGGGGCCGCGGCACAGAAGAAATATAATTTCGACGACTCAGATGACAGCGATTTCTGATTATTGAAAAAGTTGCCGTGGGAAAAATTCAAAAAGTCGTCTCCATTGGAGGGCTTTTTAGAAAGAGGAAAGTTGATGAGATTGTATGTTCTTGCCTGAACTGGTTTATGAATAGTTAATTATCAGTTACTGAGCGCTTCATGAAACACTCATTCCTTCATTTGAACTAGACTTTAGAGTCTTTAATGGGCTAATTGCGAATGTTTAACGGGTGGAGTGGGAAGCTGACATTTATTCAGGCTAATATATGTATAGTTTATCGTTCTAGTTGCATGGACTACACTTTATAAAAACCTTTTCAATCCAACTAAGGGTTTTGAGACAAAATGTCGAATGGTTAAATTTAAAAAAAAAAATAGCTTGAAACCATATTGCAATAAAAATAAACATTTTCCTGGAACTTTTTTTCAAGTTTTGCTCTTTTGTTTTTAAATCTTGCAAATGTTATCATACTGAAACGTAAAGGTCAGAATATTCTCAACCCAACAAGGCAATATAAATTCTGTCAGAACACGCTTCAAAGCTTTAAGAATAAATTACACAAGACCTAACTCATGGAAGACTGTTTGAATGTTCATTTTGCAAGTTTTCATGTTTTTTTTTCATTTTTGTTAGTTCTTTCTTGTACAGCTTTCTTTATTGTTCTATCCTTAAAATTGCCAGGCTCAAAAAATTCATTCTGCTACTTGTTTTACTTGTATGTTCTCTTCTAGGAAACTACGACAGACACTGAGCTGTCTTTGTGTGTTTGGCAGTTTCAAACTTCAACCTGAATCGATGGTTCCCGACCTTTTCGATAATATGTCATTCGTTATTGATCCGTTTGAATTAAACCAGTTTGTTATATGTATGGCTGTGTATTCTGAAACATTCCGAACTTGAAAAATCAAATTTACGTGATCATCGGTTTCAAACCTTTTTAATGCCGTGGACCTTCGCGACAACGGCTCCAAACATACAATCCTCTAAAACTTTTGGTAACTTTTAGTAAACTTAATGTTATTTAATTTCGGGGTACTCCTGAAGTATGTGCACCAAGATGGCGCACAACCTGAACTTAGGATTAGGAAACTCTGACTTCATTCGCAATAGACACCAAGTTGTAAAAAAAATTCTGAACTCGTAAGAATCATATTTTGTCATACGCAATTCTCCTCTAAAACTATTAGAAACTTTTAGTAAACGTAATAATATAGACATCGAGTTCTAAATAATTTCGACTTCAGCCACCTCTGAACTCGTAACAATCAAATTTTGACAAAAGTATTGGCATATGTAAGCCTTCTTTAAAACTTTTGGTAACCCTTGGTAAATGATGTTATTTAGTCTCGAACATTTTGAAATTGAAAGCATGAAAATATTTTCATTTAGGATAGACATTGGCGTATTCAAGACTCCGGCCTATCAAGAATGCACAGTAAACTCGCTTTTTCATTTTTGTTAGTTCTTTGTACAGCTTTATTTACTGTTCTACCCTAAAAATTGCCGACCCCTAAAAGTTTGCCCTGCCAATTGTATGCTCTCTCTTATGTCTAAGGAAGGATTCAGACAAACTATTGCGGCCACTGAGACATCTTATGTGTGCTTGGCAGTTTTTAAACTATGAACATTTTGAAACCATGGAAATATTTTCATTCAAGATAGACTTTGGGGCGTATCCAAGACAGTAAACTCTCTGGCTTTCTGGTTAGGAACCAATGTCCTTATGATACTTTTCTCTATTGAAATATGTATGCCTTATTTAATAGACTATTAAATACGCTTAGTTAATTTTTGGCTCCTTGTTAGGAACCAATGCCCCTAATGATGCTTTTCTCTATCCGAAAGTGCATGTCTTATTCAACACACTAATATGAATGCTAGCAAACTTACTGGGCTCTACGTTGAAACCACTGCCTTTGGCTTTAATGATGCTGTCCTCTATTGGAATATTTTTGCGTTGGATTCAAATTTTGATACAAAAACTTGCACAATTGTAAACGCTAGTAAACTGACTGAGGCTCTCGTTTGGAAACAATGTCCTCAATGATGCTTTCGCTTTTTGGAGCATTTCTCAAACTTATTTTACCCTGGAACACCTACACCTAGATACAGCAGATATCGCCATGGCAACGAACTTCATCACAATTTCGATCCCTGTCCTGTGGAACACTCCAAAAAAGCGCGTGGAACAGCAGTCTTCCGCGAAACACAGATTGAGAAACGCTGGTTCATTGGAATATTTTTACCTAGTTTTGTAGTCGTTTTACTAGATCAGTTTACTGTTTAGACAATTTTATCATTTTTGTACCAAGAATTCTAAAAATTGAAAATATTTTTGAAAATTGTTGATCTAAACTTATGTCACAGTTGCATTTATTCCATTGTTGTCTCTTAATGATCTCAAACTTTATTATGTTGTAACGGTTTATTTATACTGATAGGATTGTGACATATTAGTTATTATTGTGATGTAATATACTGCCATCTTATTTCCACTGACGATTGTCGATTTTTTTCTATTGTTATTATAGCACGTGTTGTATTGTTGAGCTGCTTCATTTTAATTTTTTGAGTATTGGGGGGGGGGGGGGGGGTAGGGAGGGAATGCAGGTGTAAAACTTATCTCCGTACGCAAATCTCCATCGGTTGGAACATCTGTAAGCCTAAAGAGAAGAGTAGGGCGAAAATCAAAATTTCTGTGGCAAAATGGTTAATATCAGGTAGAGTAATTTTTTTCCAAAGATTAAAAAATGAGTACTCAATACAGCCATACCCAATACGGCATGTGTTGTGTTATCTGAAAGCCCGATTGGTATTTGGACAGGTAGAGTTGAAAAGAAATGCTGGGCATCTGGAAATAAGAATGTATTGGTGTCTACTTCGAATAGCACCGGTTGAAATACAGAAAACTGAATTTTCCCCGACCTTTGGCAACCCTCTATCGTCGTTTGGTATAACTTATCTCAATCGTGCGAATACCGCGATATCGGAGCCTGTAGTGTCAACGTTGATTAGATCGACTGAACAAATGAGGCGACAACAAAATGAGTGTTAACGATGTGACACTTTTTGGCGGCCCATCCGTGCTGTCGAATATATAAGTCGGTGAATCGCCGCTTAGAAAAAGAAACTGAAGGAAAAGAAGACCAATATACTGTTAATAAATATCTTAGGACTGTGGGCACTATATCTGACTCAAAAGACTTGAAGAAAGTATAGCACACCGTACTAAGACGTAGGAAAAGGAAAGAAGACGAGAGCCGTCGGTACGTTCCCTGCATTTGGTCATCCCGAATTTATTTTTAACTCGTTAGTACGACATACAAAGCCTTTCATCATAATGGCCGATTCTGAAAGTGCGCCTCGCAAGATGACACACCAGCGCAAACAGCAGCTGAAGTCTCTCATGCTGAACAAGGCACGCGAAGATTTGAAAAGAGAAGCAGAACAAAAAGCCGAGGAAAAGAAGAATGTATTGAATAAGAGAATTGAACCAATGGCTGATATTGGCAGCATGTCACAACAGGAACTTATGGACCTGTGTCGTGAATTGCATGCTAAGATTGACAAAGTTGATGAAGCAAGATATGAGATAGAAGCCAAAGTGAAAAAGAATGATACAGAGATTGAAGAACTAAACCAGAAGATCTTTGATCTTAGAGGTAAATTCAAGCGCCCACCACTAAGACGTGTACGTATGTCTGCTGACCAAATGTTGAGGGCTCTTCTTGGATCGAAACACAAAGTGACCATGGATCTCCGATCAAACTTGAAAAGCTCCAAGAACGAGGGGAAGAAATAGATTTTCTAGACGATGTTAACAATCAAACAGAAGAAACTCCTCTATTTATCATTTCACCATTAGATTTGATAATATACTGCCATCTTATTTCCACTGACGATTGTCGATTGTTCTCTATTGTTATTATAGCACGTGTTGAATTGTTAAGTTCATTTATATTTCATACTGAGCCCGACTCGGTTATGGCGATCTGTAATGTACTAGATCACAATGTAGCACTGGTATTATATATATTTTACACATGTCCTCTAAACTCTATCACAATGTGCTTTTAGTGTTGAATCGTGGAACTAAAATATCTGCCGACTCATTCTCCGTCTTTTTTATATTTATATTGTGACAATTAATTCCGACTTCTTAATCAATAACAGTGTTAAATTGGTCCGGAGCCTTGATGACCTTCAACGGTCTTGCATACTGGCCAACACAAAACAATGTGTAAATTGGACTACTTCTATAAAACTCATCGATATTGTTTTATACTGTTTTTCATTGTTTTCATTATAGTCTAACTCTCTAAAAATTATCGATATTATTTAATATTGTTTTTTCATTGTTTGTGGAAATAAATCTCTCTCTCTGCTTCATTCTGATTTTTTTTTGGAGTATTGGTGGAGGGAGGGGATAAGAGGATATACAGATGTAAAACATATCTCCGTACTCGAGTCTCTATTGGAAAAACGCCTGTAAAGCGTAAAAAGAAAGGGTTAAGTGGAAATCGACATTTCTGGGGCAAAATTATTAATTCCAGGTTTAAGTGAATTTTTTCCAACCATTAAAAAAATCAATCTTATGCAAATTGAAGGAAAAAGATGAATACACAGTACAGCGATGCCAAATATGATACTGGTTTGTGTTATCTGGAAACTTTTGGACAGGTATAGTTGAAGAGAAATGCTGGACATCTGGAGATGAGCATGTATCGGTGGCTACTTCGAATCGCTGAATAGCATTGAAAGAAAAAACCCGTGAAATACAAAAAAGGAAATTTCCCTTGACCTTTGGCCCCAGTCAAATTCTTCTCGTTCTTTCACAATGCAAATACATCCATGATTATTTTCCGAAGGCTTTTGGCGTTTGTATGTTTTTATGCGATACATTTAATCAATTGCCATTAATAACAAGGGACATCTATCTAGCTCGAGTATTGCCGACCTCAGCTTTTCAACGCTGATCCCGTCTTGAATTGAAATGAGAAATTTACTGCTAAGTTACTTGACTTACGCACAACTAAAACCGACAAAAAGGAGTAAAAATTTGAGTGAATGGTTACAAACCATCCTCAAAAATCCGCGGGGAAATACGACATCTGAAAATCAGATATATGCATCTGAAAACAAGTAACTGGCTAAAATAACATAACAAGCAATAAAATAATTCATAAAAACTGATTATAAAATCAGAAAAGCAAACGAAATCTTGAGCAAGGAACTGTATATATAAAACGCACAGAATTTATGAAAAGAGGTTTTGCCAAAATAAGTAGCACGCGTCCATCCATGTTTTAAACCCTATTGGGAGCTTCGGCAAATTTCTCTAAATTTCCGTGCTGTGTTCGTCTTAAGCATCGTTATTATTTTGCACCCTGGCGAGTTTAAAAAACAAATTTTAATCTAATCTTTTTAACACGTAATATTTTTTATGGCTGACTGCAGACAGTCTTTTGTTGACATCACGTGGTCACGATTACGTCATTGACCAAAATACATCACATGATCAAGAAAACAATCTCGCTGTACCAAAAGGGGAAACATTTGAAGGGGACAGTTTTTTTTTAAATTTATCTTTATAATATAACCGGTGTGACGTGTCTTATAGCAGTTGCAATTTATTTCGAAATTTTGATGATTTATTGTTGAATATACGTAAGTTGATTGAGGTACAGTAATTTGGGTATATGACACTGACAGACTGGCGTTTGCGCATTCGATTTTTGTGTTCTTTCGGCTTTGACGGTTCTTTGCGGTAGCGATCCGCCTTTGTTATTAGATTATACCGATAGTTTGAAAGTGCGGCGGACGTAGGTTTGAATTTCTACAAGTATGATATACCTATCCAATCAGAATTAAGTGATAAAACAATTATTTTATTTTTCTCATCACCACCAAAATTCCCAAAACTGAAAGCTGGAAAGAGCTAGAAGAGGAAACTAGAAAGATGAGCAGGTGGCTGACAAACTTGAAATTGCAGAACTGATATTTTCGTACCCTATGCTTATACTAGTTTATCTTACAGTTTAATTTTCAATTGGGGTCTTGTGTGGTTTCGTACCTAACGTACTTCTAGTTGGCGTAGCATAATAATTTTTTGATATGTCAATCCTAACCCCCATTTGATTACGCCATCCAAAAATTAAATCGCTACGACATCACAATCACGTCATACAGCTTGCCAAATATACACACGATCGACCGAAATGGCATTGGCGCCGGCGATAAAGAACTGACTGACGTTATCGGTCTCTTTCCTATTGGAATCGTTGCGACGCGAAAACGAGAGAAATAACTGTTCGAAATCGGGTGCTCGATTGCGCGTCTTAGATGGCAGTTTGTATAGTTTGAAGGGCTCTATTACGTCGCTGTGACGTTGTAATGACGTAATTTTTGGATGGTGTAGTCAGGTGGGGGTTAGGATTGATACGTGAAAAAATTGTCATGCTACGCCCACTAGAAGTATGTTAGGTAAGAAACTACATGAGACCCTTCAATTGTACCAGATGCACAAATTGGCTCAATTAGATAGTGTAAGACTGTAAGAAGCCGACCATTGACTTCTCTCTTGTGACTGTGTAAAGGGGGGGGGGGCACTCACTGTTAATATTGATGTCTTTTGATGTTGGGGGTATTCTTGCAATCTGAAATCTGTGTCGTATAATGTAAATTAGAAGTAGGTACTATATGTAATGATTCGGATGTATTTATTGCTTCTTTGGGCAATTACAGAATTACAAAATTTGCCAAGTTAGCATTTTAATAATAAGTATTAAGTCTGTATGTAGCACTTTAAAAACCCATGCAATTTGGAGTCTGGTTGAGTGAACGCCATATCTGCTCAAATATCGCCAAACAAAAATGTGATGTGAAACCTAATGTAAAAAGGTCGAAATTACACACGTAATATTAAAGACTGACAACCCAGCAGTAATCTTGGTAGTCAGGTTGTCTCTGATGAGTTGTCCGTGTAGTCGAGTTGTCTGCCTCCCTATGTCCCATGCTGTTTAATTACTTATCGATCTTGATTGGTAAGTATGTTGATAGGTATTTGTCTGTCTGTTAGGCGCACGCGATATTTCATGAAAGCGAGGTTGCATCTGCTCCTAATTTTGCATGTGCATTCATCATAGCTCGGATCAGAAGCCTATTGATTTTGGATGAATTATGTCGTGTAATTAGCGAGTTATTAATTAATCAGTGACGAAGAGATTTTTGAGAGAACGTGTATGACCTAGATTTTTGAGGCAAGAAAATGCATGTGCTGAGTGTGTGTGTGATGCGCAAGTTTCCATCGAGAAAGTTTACACGCTATTGAGTCAAAGCGAAGGATATTTGCCACTATATTGATAAGTGGGTGGTGACTATCTCGTTATGAATGTTTATCTACATTGTATTTATGTTTTCAGGAAATACATGTCAAGCTTTATTGATAACATTTTAACCAGTTTAAATTCGACCTCTGGTCGGAGGTCAGAAGACACTGAGATGTCTAAGCCTTGTTATACATTGTTTATTCATAATGAAAATGATACACTCAGTGACCTTGAAATCGACGATGACCTTGAAGAACCAACAGCATTTCAGATTCCTGTCGACATGGAATGGAATGACCTGCAAGATCTGGTATGTATTTGGTGATCCAAAAGATTGCATAAGTTTATTTCAACTCTATAATCAGCAAAACAATAAAATGATTGATAAAAACAAATAAATACAACCGAATATGAAATCAGGAGAGCAAACCAAACCTCAAGGAAGGGTTCAAAACGTTCATAATATAAGATTGGAATGTTTTGCGAAGAAGAAGTGATACGTGGAGGAATTCCATTCAACGCTTCTTTTTGTGTACGATCTTACCCAAAGTTTCAGTATTCTAGGACGCTTTGCACAATGTGGTTTTCTCGGGTCTGGTATAGTTTAGTATCAATGCACTTCTAGTTGGCCTGGCTCAACAATTTTTACATATGTTAATTCTAATCCCCACCTGACTACGTCACCAAAAAATTACGTCATTCCGACGTCACAGTGGCGTAATAAGACCCACCAAAGTATGAGGAAGGTCGTCCAAAACGCGCAGACGATCACCCGAAATCGAGCAATCTAGTTCTCTCGTTTTTTCGTCACAATGATCACCATAGGAGAGAGATCGCCGGGGTTAGCGAGTTCGTTATCGGCGGCGCAGATGCCATTTCGGGCGATTGTAATTATACTCTGGCAAGCCATATCACGTGATGGTGACGTCCTAGTGACGTAATTTTTTGGTGACGTAGTCAGGTGGGGGTTAGGAATAACATATGCAAAATTTGTTATGCTACGCCCACCAGAAGTACTTGTGGTAATAAACTATACTGGACCCGTTTTCTCTAAAATATGTTCCAATTGACCTGGGGTTTGGGAAGGATGTTTCTGAAACTTTAATTTCCAAGTCGGACCAAAACAGCTAGCGAATCCGACTAGAGGCCGGAAAACATGGGTTTTCAATAGTTTGAAGGGTCTAAATAGCGTTTCAACCTATGAAAAATTTCAAGTTATGATACAGGAAATTTTTTTTTTCAATTACCCCCTCCCCACCCTGGCTATGCCCCTGATCATATAAATAGTTGGATTGTATATATGGATCATGCTGTATTTTTCCAAGATCTACTTGGCTAATCCATTTCAAAAGGACTCTATATAAGATATAGTTTACCATTTCTTCAGAATAAAATATCTTCTTTTTTTTAGATTGTCACAGAAGTGAAAAGTCCAACGAAACTCAAATTTACTTACAGAGATGATGAGAATGACAGTATTCGGATTGATTCGCAAGGTATGGTTACGAAGCGATACACTTAACAATGTTAGTGTCACAGATTGTGAATTTTGACTTCATCTAGAGCAGCAGTGCCCAACATGGGGCCCCGGGCCCACCAACAGGGGCACAGGGCATTTGGAGGGGGCCCACAATGCTAAACGAAAAACTGATTTTACTTTTTACGGGAAACTCCCCGTTATTTCTAGTTTCATTCCTTAAAAAAGTACGAGTATGAATTGTTTGAACAAAATGTGGGTGGTCAAGTTAGAGTAAAATATTTGTATTATTATTACATAAATCATTAAACTAAACAATAAACTTAACCATATAAATAATGTGCTACCCCATTCTCCCCTCCCCCCCCCCCTCTAAAACACCTCCCTGTGTGAATAAATCCATTTAACATCACAGATGAGTATCAAACAGCATTGAGTCTTTGTCGAAAAATGCATCGAGATTTACATATTTACGCTGTGAAACCAGACAGTCGGCAACAGTCGTCACACAGACAACATCATACAAGAAGGTCAGAGGAAATGAATAGAACACAGGTATGTAATGATTAGCAGGTGCTCCCATAGTATGTGTACCAGGTTAGGGTTAGGCCATGATTTTATTCCGATTTTCTTTATTTTAGTTCTATTGCGAGTTCGGGGACTGTCGGTGTTAGCCAGGTGAATATACCCCCTGCTCATAGGTTCCAGTCCTTTTACACAACTTGATGTAAAGTAGGCGAACAAAATTAGTTACCTCCATATTGGTACACACACTTCTGGATTAGCAAGCTATGGTGTTGAAATGTTTAAAATTTTGAGTTTTTGATTCGAATTAGAGCTTCATATTTGAGATAAATTTTTTATTTTTCAAAGCAGAGTCACACGCACTCACTCAGAAGAATAGGGGGACCTGTTTTCGAACCTTTTATGGCTCAGAGGGAAAAATGAACAAAAATCATTATGTAATTACCGTATGTAATTTCCACGTGTGAATTATTCCCAATTTTAAATTATTTTATTGAAACATTGTATATGAAGGTATTTGCCCTGATACACATACTACGGGAGTAGCTGTAAAACAGTTCACTAAACAATTGTTTAAACTGATTTTACTGTTCCCAGGACCCAGACGAAGACAAGTCAGAAGAGGAGGTTGAGATATTTCGACCTCCTGCACAAGATGTTGAGGAAAGAGAACCCACAGTTGTTGAAAGGTAACAGAATTTATTTATTCTTGATCAGTTTTAATTGGGAAATATTAACATACCAAATATTTGCGCAAATAAGCCGACCGACCGACTGGTGGTGAACTGTTGTCAGAGCGCACTGGAACTTTGTTTTGATTGCTAATTATCTTATTGCTTTTGCGTTCCTGTTGTTGAAATAAAATTATGTCACGGAAAGTTTGGTTTCTCAGGTAAACTTAGTTATTAACTGTACGTTTTGTAGCGTCATAATTATATTTACATCGCAGCAGACAAATAATGTAAATATAATTGCGAATTGGTTTCTTTCCGGTTGTCACGAGTTTTCCAACCCATCATTGAAGCCGACTCCCTGAAACAATTAATTTATAAAAATTCGCATATAAGCCGCAAGCGATCATGTGTATGAATGACAACCGATCACAGACTGTTATTGCTGTCATAGCGATACGGAAATAAAAATTTCAATGCGCCCAAGAATAAGAATTTATCGATTACATGTTTGTTGGGAAGTCGGAAGTGCAACTGTTAGAAAGAAACCTCAATATAACCGAATACTCCAAATCAGTTAAATTTGAAAATAGGATAAAAGAAATGGCATAACCCAATAATAACAGAATAGAATTTCTCTTTCTAAAGGAGGGTGGGGGGGGGGGGGGGGTGTTGGATTACTAAATTGCGACTTATGTCACAATTGGTATATATTGGTAATTCTCATGTGAAGGCAAATCATCTGTTGGTATGTTTAGGTAGTTCTTCACACAATACAAAATATCCTTCCTCCGTTAGGCAAGCATTTTTCAATATTGTTTGTCTGAAGAAGTCTGACCTCAGACGAAACAATACTGAGATATATTTGTGTCAGTTTGCAGCAGGACTTTTGAATCAATTAGTATAGTTAACTTTATTCTTGCTACAGCATCCTTGTGTTACACACATACAGGTCCACTTCGCAAAGGCAAGCAAGTTGTTAGTCTTGCGAGACCCCAACTGGTAGTAATTAAAGGAAGACTGCAATTTTTTAGCGCTGGGAGGTATTTTTTACATCGTAATATAATTTGCATCAATTTTTTTAGAATTCCAACACCTGAACCTACTGTTATCAGTGATCCTGCTATAACTCCTCCTGAAGAGCTTGGAGCAACATCCGCTCCCCAAGAAAAAGATGAAGAGCCCTTTGAAACGCCGATAAGTTCTGTCGAAACTAACCCGGAAGATCTTGAATCTCAGGAAACCAAACCTATGCCGGCTGGAAACTCAATAATTAATATAATACGAAAAGTAAGTTTGGTTTGGTTTAGAATTGATGAAATAAAAAGAAATGCTGACATGTGGGGCTAATATATAATATATATCAAGGTTTATGGTGTGAGGGGAGAGGAAAGCTGGTAAGACATCTCAATGGTGGTGAACCATTATAATATGACAAAGGCTGGGCATTTTCGAATACCTTGTGATTTCAGAATCGAATCGAATATTTTTTTCGAATCGAATCTCGAATACTTGTAAATATATAATTGTAAGCGACTTTTTTGTTGTAATTGGTCCTCTCAACAAATGAATTACTGAATACATAGAATACATCACTCAGATAGATTACTTAGCGTTCACACAGAATAACAAACACGTTTTATCAATAACTCACTACAGGAAATAGCCATGTGAGAATTTCGTTGAAAAATATGACTTCAATGAAAATAAAATCTGGAATTCACCTCGACCATTGGCGGAAAGAATAAAAACAAAATGGCGGCGATTCGAAATCCCCTGCCTTTCATATAACGCATTGTAATGTCATAGACATAGATAATAAATATATGGAAACTACTCACGCATACCATGTTTAAATAAATTGGAAACTTGTTTCCGCACACCATCAAGATTGGCATTTCTTCAAGCCACACAATTTTTCCATGCGGGCCGCATATGGCCCTCGGGCCGCAGGTTGCGCACTCTTGGCCCAAATAGTCCACAATGTATGTATAAATTAGCCCAGTTAGACAACTGCTTCGATATTTAAAATATATTTTCGAATATTTAGGAAGTACGAGAAGTCGTAGCAACAGAACTGGACGATATTTGGAGATTTGTAAACGCTTTGAAACGAGATATTAACAATGAATTGGACGTCATTGGTAAGTAAAGTCACTTTGATTTCAATTTGTTGCACTGTCTCCCTGAACAATGCACCATAAAAATCTCGGAAGAAATATAGTGATTTTACTTTGTATTCAGTGTAGTTTTAACAATACTGTTTAATTAGTATTATTGAGATACATGTTTATCCAAACTTTAAAAATATTCAAGTGCGAGTAGTGGTATCTGTGATATGGCAGCCATGAGGCAAAGAGATCGAAGAGTTCCAATCGTAAAATATTTCAATAAAGTAATTTAAATAATTAATAACATACTTTAAATATTTTAATTCAACAACATTTGTTAAAATTTTTCAAGCAATGATCATTGGGGCACATTTTTATATTTCACCACACCATGGGTGCCATTTTATGTAGATACGCCACTGAGTTGTGTTTGAAATTAGCTAAGTATTCTTGATTATTATTGCTGTTTGTTTAAGTTATATCTTGTATTTTCTGAAGAAATTAGACTATGATCTAACGAAAGCTCACAAATATACTTATTATTTCGTTAAAAGAGATCATGCTATTTTTATTTATTCTTTAAAGATCGAATATTATACGGAAGTATGTATAGTGAGAGGGAATAAAGAGATATAAAATAGCAAAGCGAGAAATATATCGAAAGGCCCTAAATATAATCAGATTCCAACGAACTAAATCCCTAACAATATCTGTCTGAGGATTCATAATTTCGGAACTTATCTAAATTTTTGTTCATTTCGCCCTCTGCGTTTCAGGTGAACAGTTGAATGCTCAAGGTCATCAACAGGTCCAGCTGCAACAAAACGCAACTGAGGATGTACAGACTGAAGGAAATCAGGAATATGGATCTCCGCAAGAAAGGTAATGAATGAATTTTTAACATACCATATTTGCCCGGGCCCATATTTTTTTCAACCAACTCACTAACCGGGCCCTTATTCAAACCGGCCCTTATTCGAGCATGGGCGCTTGTTATTTTCGTTACAATAATTAATATATTGTTATTTCCATTTCTCAAGTATGAATTGAACGAGTATAACGAAAATTTTGACTTATTCTACGCAAAGCAGGTACAAATCCGCCAAAGAAACAAAGTTTAATAATATTGAAACGACGCCCAGTTTGAGAACCATGGTGTTACGTAATCAATGCTATCTGTTATGTACTTGGACGCGTAAGGCGTGAGTGTTATCTACCGGCGCTTAAAATTCAACAGCGTTGTGTGACAAAAGTGCTTCCTATTTCCTATTGTTCTCTACCACTGAAAAATCAGCTTTTCCATCGGGCGGGTTTTCAAGCACCGGCCCTTATTTATTTTTATGTTCTGTTCACACGGGCGGCTATTCAAACGGGCTCTTAATCAAGATCGGGCGGTAAAACGAGCATATTCGGTAAGGGAATGTTGTCATGTGCTTGAGAGAAAAATTGATAAGACTAGGCTACTCAATCATACACTGTGCCAGGGGTGGCCAAATTGTTTAGTATAAGAGCCACATGCAAGTCAGAAATATGTGAGAGCCGCATAATTTTTGAAATAAATAATATTAGAGTACCGTGTACTGGAAAAAACTTCACACAAACGTATAATAACAATATTGCAAAGTATATATTCTTCAACCGCTTAATGAGAAAAAAAAAAACTGTTACGCTACAGTTTCTCTTAGTTAAAATCGGATAATGTATAAAAATTGCCAGCGAGAAAAGACACATAAAAACTCCGACAAGCCACAGTTTGCCCATCGTTGCACTATTCTATCATGCTATGCGTTATGAATATACTTGCTCAGAACCTCTGATCACCAGGGTAATTATTGAAAAGATCGTTAAACTCCTCGGTGCGTAAGGTAGTTCACATAATCGCTAGTCGGTTACGAATTTCTAACATACCTATGTAAATGTTATATAGAGCTAGGTAGTGTGATGGGAGAAAAATTGGTAAGATGACTTGAACATGCGCAAAATTTCTGTCTTTAAATAGGACTATGAAATATTATGATTAGACTACATTTTTTGTTAATTGTCTACTTGTTATCTTTATGATAAAGCTGTAAAATCTACTATTTCAAATACGTCCTTGAATAATATTTTCGAAAATGAAATATCAAATAGATTTAACATGAAAAAACAGAAATCAATGCCAAGTAAAAATGAACAGATATTTGTTTCGTGTTCCGATTTTACAGTTTTCTAAAATAGATAGGTTTTTACCTAAAATGATAACTTTTAAAAAATAAATTTTGTCTATCGATTAATTAGGGAAAATATTTCTCTATTTATTCACGCAGTGTTTTTAAACTTATGGTGCAGTTTTCTCTTTTCAAAGAAATAATTTCTGGGGGAATACATGTTACCTAAAATGGATTACTTTATATGATTCATTTGAATTTGGTCATAAAATTACTACCCGTTTAGTATTTGAGCATATTATCCTTGGGTTGCGACATTACACAAAATCATTTTTTTTTAAATGTGTCGTTTGGTAAAAAGGTTGATAAAAAAGTGTTCTAAAGCTTGCAGATGTTAAATATAAGATTTTATATTCTTACTTCAATACTTGTACTTGTGTGATATGAAGTATCTGAATCGGTACTCCCGAAGTATGCATACCAGGTCAGGGTTAGGCAATAATTTTATTCCGTTTTTTTTTGTTTTAGTCCTATTACGAGTTCGGGGAGAGTCAGTGTTAGCCAAGTGAATACCCCATGCCCATAAGTTTGTCTCTTCACACAACTTGATGTAAAGTAGGCAAACAAAATTAGTTGCCTCCATATTGCTACTCATACTTCAGGAGCGCCTTTGAATCTATATCATGATGAATCATAATATCACAAGGCAGCCTTAGTTAATCATTGTCAGGCACATAAGGTTTATTAGTCAACATTTGTGGGCTTAGTATTGTATACTCAGCATAGCTATGTGTGACGTATGAAAGGGACAAATAACCTCCATGATATTTTGTATATGTATATAAAATGTATATAAAAAGGATATCGAAGATTTTCGTCAGGGTAGAATCTAATTATGAATGTCCAGTATGAACCGACTATTTTAATTTATTTAAATCAAATCATTTTAATATCCTTGATCTCTAATTTTTTTATCATTTTGGGCGATTCAAGTATCACATATTGTTATTACTTATCGATCTTAAGATCGGTATATTGATAGGTATTTGTCTGTATGTCTGTCTGTGTGTGTGTCTGTTAGATGCACGCGATATCTCACGAAAGCGAGATTGAATCTGCTCCAGATTTTGCATGTGCATTCATCTTATCTCGGACCAGAAGCCTACTGATTTTGGGCGAATTATGTCGTATAATTAGCGAGTTATCAATCAATTATTGATATAGTGATCTAGATTTTTGTAAAGCGAGAGAATTTTGAAACCCGCCAAGTGTGTGTGTGCGATGCGCAGTGCGCAAGTTACAAGAGCGGATGAATCGAAACTGCAGTTTCTGTTTTGGGGGATCCCCTAACTATCGATCGATAAGTCTTCGGTTTCCAACCGATATTCTCGTGTTTTACTTTTATTATTTTATTCTAGATCTTCAAACTTTTTTATCATTATGGTTGATCACATATTGTTATGTTTTACTTTTATTATTAACGGTGAGAAGTGTCTTAAAATTCATCCTCACCATCCCTGTTAAACTCCACAAAGAGATTATTCCAGTCCTGAGTTATGCGCGTATAAGACAAATTTTTAGTGCGATCAGAGTTACGTACCTATAAGCCAACTCCTTAGTTTGGCAACTTTTTTTGAGTTTAAAACTCGGATAATAGGCGAGAATATACGGTACTTTTCATCTGATATTTAAAAATCAAAACAAAATCATGGCCTAAAAAGTTCATACATCGAAATAAAATACCTAAATTGACTTTATGTTCAAACTTAGCTGTTTTGAGTATAAAAATACCTTTCCAAACCTATGGAAATGTAATTTGCATTGAGTGTTGCTACATGTTCCATGTAATAGGTTTATTCAAGTTTTTTTGCATCTTCATATGTCCACCATTAGTTGCACACAGCCCATCAAAGTTCGTTTACATAGTTCAACACAGTATTAATGACTTTATGTATTATATGCAATGTGTAAAATGGCAGTGATTCATCATAATACCTTATAGCCTATTTCCTTGTAATATAATGACTTAGTGACCTGATTCCACTCTTGAGTCATTGATTTATGCAAACAGTGAACTTTCTGTCATATTGTGTATGTAATGGCCATGAGGAATAATAGAAAATAGAATTTATAGTTTTGAGATAGAAAATCCTAAAAATATATTATCCATAAATCAACTGAAAATCTATTTATTTCAATTATAAAGGGTGACACTCAAAAAAACACAGCAAATAAATTTTTTAATTACTTCTATGGGAATGAATATTAACAATTGAACTTCTGTTTGTTTATGGTTATACCCAAAAATTTTAGTAATTTAGGACTTTTGCACAAAAGCTATTTTATCTCTGGAATATATTTTAAATAACTTGGCCATTTTTTTTTTTCGGGGGGGGGGGGGGGGTATTCTACATCTAATTCATATTGCTTGCTCATGAGTTATACAACAAAGCACACATATATTTTAACTTTTATCTGCAGTAGTGACAGCACAATTTGCACAAAAAGTTATGTTCCATCTAGAATATATTCTAAATAACCTGTTTATTTTGTTGGGCAGGGGGATCACCCTGCATTGCTGGTTTGCCGAATAATTTATAGTATTTTAATCCGAAAATTCTCTTTGGAATGTGTTTAGAATAAATAGTAAATTATCCGGTACTGTGTACAGCAGGGATGTGCAGCAGGCGGCTCGTGGGTGCTATCCAGCCCGTCAATACATTTAATGTCGTCCTTGTCAACACTTGAATTTTTCCCACCAAGCTTGAAATCCTAATCTGACAGTTTATGTTTAAAAAGTCGCTCACATGGGTAAAAATACATATATTTTTTGCTCTTGTTACTGCGTTAAATCTTTCGTCGTTTTGTTTGGTGCCCTTATTTACTGCAAGGCTAAGCAATAGCCACATTTTTTTCTCTTGTTTTTCCCACATGGGGAAACTAAATTATCATGTGTGTGGCCTGGCTATATGTCTGAAGTTGGTTAAAAAAAAATTGCACATCTCTAGCTTTGTAGAAGAAGACAATATAACAACATTTTTTGGTTTTTCCCCAAATCATTTTGTACAAATTTTGAGCCTAAAAATGAATTTTCAAATATAAACCACAGTTTATTACCTTCAATGAGTTCAAAATCCATATTATCGGATCACAATAAATAGACATTGCATCATACAGCCTGAGGCATTGTGACAGAACAAGTTCAACTTGGTTGAGTTCAGTGATGTCATAAAAACATTGCTGCAATCAGCTGTTTTTGCAGATTTTGAAAACCAACAAAAACTTTAAATTTTGTCAATGTGTCTGCTTATTTTATGCGTCAAAATTGGGTGCTGCAGAAGTATGTGTACCAATATGGAGATAACTAATTTTGTTTGCCTACTTTACATCAAGTTGTGTAAAGGGACTGAAACATATGGGCAGGCGGACATCACTTGGCCAAGGCAGACAGTCCCCATACTCGTAATAGAACTAAAATAAAGAAAATCGGAATAAAATTTAGGCTTAACTCTAACCTGGTACACACACTACGGGAGTGTCACGATTTTTCTTTTTGTCGTCATTTGTTCAAGTGTTGACTGAACACAATACCAGACATTTTCACAGTCTAGTGATTTTCTTTAGTCGCATATTTTATGTTTGGAATTGATTTCCTATTTTGAAGCAAGAGTTATACATTAGTCATTATTTTTATGCTTGAATAGTGATGTTTTTTCAGTATCTCGCCTTATTTCGGTCCTTATTCTTTTTTGATATTCAACATTAGAAAACTGAGGTATTGTTATGGAAGTGCCACAGACTTAGGACGGCCTCTTCTATTTCTTCATGATTACTTGTAAATTGCATGAAATCTGGTATCTTTGATGTTTTAATTTATTTAATTTAATTATATATGATTTTTTGCACAACAAAATAACGATATTGTTGAACCTTCCTACCCCCTTTTGAAATGTGAAAAAAAAAATTCTGTATCATACATCAATTTTTCGTTGCTTGAGACTAATTTTTAGACCTTCAACATCTACGTTTCCAGCTTTGGCAATTACAAATTTCAGAACACCCCCCCCCCATTTGGAAATTCCGGCTACGCACCTGTCATCAACATCTCCTCTTTTAACCTCTTTCAATGTAATCATATATTCTTTCAACAAAGTTTGGCATCAGATCATTTTAGGTCAATTTATCCGTTTCTGTCAGCGAGAATCAAAGTGAATCCTTTTAACTTTATTTTATTGTTTTTATTGTTTTTAGTGATTTGAAAGATTGCGAAGAAGGTAGAAAAGAAGATGAAACAGAGTGAGTCTACCCTGAATTCGCCTTTAACTTAGCTCAGAAATGAATCCCCATTTAATTAACATTCAAGCTTATTTTCTCATGAAATACTGTGTTAAATTAACTGTCCCATAGCGTTTTTACTTATCGATCGGTAAGTATATTGATAGGTATTTGTCTGTATGTCTGTTAGATGAACGCGATATCTCGCGAATGCGAGGTTGAATCTGCTCCAAATTTTGCATGTGCATTCATCTTATCTCGGACCAGAAACCTATTGATTTTGGGCGAATTATGTCGTATAATTAGCGAGTTATCAATCAATTATTGATATAGTGATCTAGATTTTTGTAAAGCGAGAGAATTTTGAAACCCGCCGAGTGTGTGTGTGCGATGCGCAGTGCGCAAGTTACAAGAGCGGATGAATCGAAACTGCAGTTTCTGTTTTGGGGGATCCCCTAACTATCGATCGATAAGTCTTCGGTTTCCAACCGATATTCTCGTTTCTGATCTTATTGAGTTTTTTGAGTTTTATTCCCACTGACCAGGAAGGCCAAAATCATATATTTTCATAAATCATATTAAAACATCCTGAGGGAATATTTCAAATATGAAATATCGAATACATTCTAATTTTGGGAGCAAATTCAATTTTGGACGCCAGAATACATAAAGGGCACTAAAATGTGTATGTTTTTTTTCACTGATTTATACCATTTCCTATTATTTTTAGCAAATTCGCTGCGACGTTTATTTGTGAAAGTCTGCTAGATGGCAGCATTGTGCACACTTGTGAGTCCTTCGAAAAACATTGGGTCTTTAGAAATGATGGAACCTCAGTGTGGGATGAAAATACCAAGGTATGTTGAGACAAATTGGAACATTAAACTTTTTCGTAAAATAACTTCACATATATCAAATTTTCTCTGCATAAATTTTACGAAACTTTTCAAAGTTTTTACGCCAAAATGAGTCCATGAACCTATTTTATCATTATTATGAGGTTCTTTCGTAGTATATGTACCAGGTCAGGGTTAGGCCATGATTTAATTCCAATTTTCCCTATTTTAGTTCTATTACTAGTTCGGGGACTGTCTGTGTTAGCCAAGTGAATATACCCCCTGCCCATAGTCTTCAGTCCCTTTACACAACTTGATGTAAAGTAGGCGAACAAAATTAGTTACCTTCATATTGGTACACACACTTTTGGAGCACCCAATTCAGGATACCCTGGATTAAGAGGTGAGCGTGGGCTTCGAACCTGAGGTATTCAACCCACAATTTGAGCATAGTAAGAAAAATCATACAATCCTGTATCAACCAGGCCACCGTACAACAATCATTCAATACTAAAGAATGATGTATTTTATTATAATAAAGAGAAAAATAATAAATATTTATCCATCTTTACAACATGATATTGCACCATTGATGTTTTTAAAGCAGGTGATTGTATGATTCAATGTTTCAATACGGTACTGTGACACAACAATGGTGTTGTTTTGTTATGTAACAATGGCTACACAAAGCCCACACATTCTATTTACATAGCTTAGCGTATTTCTGGGCTTGGTGATTACTGAATCTGGAGGTGTATATTAGGTAAATAGACCTCTAGTGACATCTACAGGATGTGGTTTTTGTGGCTTGGTGTAAATGTATCATGGCCATGGGGTTGGAATTGGGTTTATTTGGATATTAGAATAAAAGCTGGATTTTGAAAATTCCCTTCGCTCAAATTTTTTAATAGAAGTCCAGATTTTCTGCAGAAACTTTGAGTTGACAAAGTAATCTCATTAATAAACAATCACAGAAGGCTTGCATATGCATAAGTGTTTGCCAGTCTGGAGATTGAGTCAGACTCAAAAGTTAAGTTAATTAAGTTAAGTTAAAGTTAATCGACTCGAAAGTTTCAGTCTGATGAAAAATTTCCTGAACGAAGCAGCTACGGTTCATGGTCTTGACCTTCTCTTGTGATCCTGTTAATCGTGTTTTAAATTCCCAATTGAATGAGAGAGCGCTGCTTAAATATATGGACAAGTCTACATTTCGTTACTGGTATCAAATAGCCTCCAACTTTAACGTAGCACGAGTTCGCAAAATCAAAACAAAAGCTTGGCCGATTGTAAACCGTTTTCCCATGAATAAAAAATAATTCAGCAGAAAATTAGGTGCAATATTGAATGCAATATCAGATCACAAAGACCGAAGACTTATCGATCGAAAGTTAGGGCTTCCCCCCAAAACAGCGCTCTTACTCCATAGTGACATCTTGTGTCCTATCACTAATTAAATATTAACTCGCTAATTATACGATATAATACATCTAAAATCAATAGGCTTCTGGTCCAACATATGATGAATGCACATGCAAAATCTGGAGCAGATTCCATTTCACTTTCGTGAGATATCGCGTGCATCTAACAGACAGACAAACAGACAAATACCTATCAACATACTTACCGATTGAAATTGATAAGTAATAAATATATACTATATTGATATAGTGTTCTATCAAAAAATACGATCATTAACCGCTGAAAATTTCAAAGCAACTGGTCCAATAGTTTAAGAGAAAAGCTTTTTTTATAACAACAAGTACAACAACAACAACATCGAGTCCACAGAAAGTTTCGAAACAAATAAAAGTAATAGCGACAAATCGACAATGACAATCTTTAGCCACTGAAAAATTTCAAAGAAATTGGTTAATTTAAGTGAGAAACGTTTTTTTTTACAAGAAAAATACCAACATAATGAGGAACAACAAAACGATCCATATAGTAATAATAGTGTTCTGTAGTGAATGTTGCGCTGCAGACTACATTGTCTTTATTGGGAGAGATATCTGTTTTCAGAGCGCTCAACCATTCATTCCCATTTATTGTGTAACAAAGGTAAACAATAAGAACAAATTGTGACTTCGTAATCAGATGTCTGTTTGAATAGGTTTGATATTGCGTTCGATATAAAATAACTTTCAGCTGGTGTTTGTTTTCTTTATGACCTTTTGCTGCCATCTATTGGAATAAAAAATTAAATTTTCAAATCAAGTTTACTCTTATTTGAAGTAGCATATTATGTTTGATGCTTTACAACATTAATTAAACATGCTTTATCTACATGTGTCACTGATACCTATATGGTATGTTATTATCTATCTTATCTTATTAGATATTTATTTTTATGTACTTTTATTTGAATTATCAGTAAGGGGAGCAAAAACAGCATTCATAAAATGAATACAAATAAGATTTTAACCCAACAGTGCACAAACTGCGGCTCCGTGAAAAAATAATGCACATACAGCCGTCCACATACAAAATCCTATAAAAAAAAAGTTTAAAATATAGGATTTGGCGGCTATTCTGTTATAGAATAAATTCATTAAAATATTTGAACTTTATTATACTTTTGGGGACAAGAAAATGGGGGCGACTGTCCCTCCCCCCCAGACCCCCCCCCCCCCCCGACATTCGATTTTTTTTTCAAAATTGTGCAACCATTATGTAACTTGCTGCAATATATCTGCTCTAGAATAGGTCCACTGAAAAGAAAAATCCGTTCAAAATTCGAATATTATACTTTCAAGTAGTCATACATACTTCATAATTGGGCAGACTGCACCACGCATGGGTCTAATACGGGGTTATGACATCATAAAAGCCAAAAAACTTCGGGCGCCTTCGAGGCTCCTCATCGACCCTCTGGAAGCTGTATGGAATACAAATAAATGCAATGTGGCCACCAATAGCAAAATGGTTGTGCACCCCTGTTTTAACCTATAAAAAAAATTGAATTGAACATGCACAAGTATAACATGCAATATAAAGAAAAAGTACAGCTTATCTAATCGCTAACTATTGACTATTACACTTACGATATGCAGAACGCGTATTAAAACATTTTAGTTTATTTTGTATAATTTCCCTTTTTTAAATTTAGGACACTAAAGTTACTGTATTTTTAGTAAAGTTACCACTTTTATTTCTCCATTTTATGAGGCTTTTTAAGTCTTCAACTCTGAACGAGGCATGAGGGGTAGGCATATAATTTCAACCTTTGATGTTAAAATAGTTCGGTTATGCCTAGCAGCTGAACCAAGAAAGAAAGAAGTAGCGGCATTGAGACCTATACTTTTCAATGAGATTATTCCGACAAGTCGCGGCTCAATGATTACCATTAGTAATAGAGTCATTTTGTAACATATCTAATCTATTTCACAGCTTCATTTACTTGATGAAACTTGTGACCCCTCAGTGGCTACAGGCAGTAGTCTTTCAGAATGGGGTGCGAAGACAAAAAGCGTTCATGTACCGGCATTAAAACAAGGAGAAAGCGGGGTGCTTTGTGCCGAGCACGTCTCCCCCGCACATGGATGCAACTACAACTCTTCATGGAGATTGAGCCATAATAATAACCCATTTGGGCCAAGGTGAGTGAAATATGAGATTTTTTTTGTTTATTCAGAAAGATTGGGGGGGGGGAGTCGGGAATTTTCAGAGGGGGGGTTTGAAATTTCTAAGAACCAATATTGGTCTCTGACAAAGACAAAAAGTTTTTTTTTTTTTTTTTTTTTTTTTTTTTTATATATAAAAAAAAAAAAAAAATATAAAAAAAGACAAAAAGTTTTTATTTGTATTAGTATTTAATCTTGTTAAGTCATATCAGCTCTAGATAGTATTTGTTAAATAACCTACCATTTATGGTAAAATAATAATTCTTAATGTGAATGATCACCCTCGTAACTTAGTAAGTACAGCTATTTAATAAACTCAAGGTAGTGCAAAGGTTAAGTCATTATCTAGGGTAGAACTACTCAACTATTTTTACCGAAGATCCACATACAAAACTTCAAAAATATTTGGGTCCGGTCTTTCCTGCAATTATATTTCGGCATCCTTGAACATGCACTTACTCGGCCGACTAATGATAATCAAGATTGTTTGTTATGACGTTATAGTTCTTTTCATATATATATTCGAATCTCCAAAAGTGATTTTATAAAAAAAAAACTTTCAAAAAGTGGCTAACGATTCAAAATAAAGAATTTGACGCGGTCCGAATCGAATACCCAAAAGGTCCAGATTCGGACCCCAGGGGAGAGGAAAATGTTAAGACGGATTAGTCATATGGCGAACCACGGCCTCTCGTCCGGTTACCAGTCCATGTCGGGTATGGGATTAGTAGATAAGTATTTGTTTCAGATGCATGGACTTGTAATAATAGCCGCAAATAGTTCCATATTCATATAGGTATCACTGCCTGTTGAAGGACCAAACATATACGATGTTGCAAATAAAAGAGTAAACACAATTTAAAATTTGGATTTTTAATTCAATAGATGGTATTCAAATGCATGGACTTGATAGTTGAGAAAGCCCTAAACGACCAGCTGTTACGAACCACCATGCAGCGGCAAGGAATCGAGCAATCCCCTCGCACATAACTATCCCCGCGTGGGATTCAAATCCACGAAGGTTAATCAGAGGTGCTGTGGCTAGCGTATCCCTAACGCTTGGCATAATATGCAACACCGCCTAGCCGTCTATTTGGCATCGCATGAGGAAATAGAAGAACTTTAGAAAAAAGTCCTTAATTTAATTTTCAACGCTTCTTTTCCCATGGTCCTGAGCGACTTTTTATACCCTTCCTAAAAAAATTACATATCTTTTTGTTTAAATATGCAAGAAACTTCACTCAAGTATCGTTGAAAAGCTTGTTTTTGCCTCTTTCAACTAGCTCCTGAGACGTGGATCACATTTTCTCCACCACCTATGGCCTTGATAAAAGAGAAATTCCTAATATTTTTGAGAAAAGGTTTTCTAACTATGAGCACTGTTCATCTCGTATCAAGTTTTCATCAATAAAATAATAATTTATTTTTCCAGAGTGTGGTGTAATGTCCGTGTGGTGGATGAAACTGCGTCGCCTACCGATACGCACAATTTCGATTCCGCTAAGAATCTGGGAAGTTACGAAATGGTCGTGGATGATCAATCACAGAATAAGTCACTGGAGCAGAGCGAAACTGAAAGTTTAGGACAGTCCTTGGTACCACCAGAGAAAGTCAGCATTGGTGAGATATTATTTATGAAGCGTTTCACTCCGAAGTAAAGCTCTTTATTGACAGCCATTGATAATTAAAGGGATAACAGGGGTGTTCTGGGGGATCGGGGGGGGGGGGATTTGGGGCTTAGGGGGGAGGTGGGTCATTGGTTTTCAAGAGTCGTGGGGATATAAAAAGCATGTCAAGCTATAAAAAAGGGGGATCTTGATCCACAAACCTCCCAAGCCCCCCCCCCCCCCAGTTGGGCCACTGGTCACTACTATATATTGGAAGAACGCATCAACGCAAAGCGTTGCAAAGCGCAAGCTATATTTTCACATTTTCAGCTACATGGTTTGTTTCATTGTCCAATCAGTTGCTTTACTGAAGATGTAAAAAATTGCACAAAAGTTACACCCAAGTAGATACAAAAATATGGTAAAATATAGCGTGACACTACAGGACGGCAAATCCACCATGCACTAACAGTACGTCGTGTTGTGCTGTAAATTTTTGCGATGGTACAGCAGTAGCCCATAATATTTTTCTGGTGCCGTAGCTGAACGACCCCTCTATGTGTTACTCAAGTTACTTAATAAAACACTGTAAATCCATGCAAATGATGTGCATATTGTATGTGACACTACAGGACATTTTTCTGGGTGCAAAACTGAGTTCACTTTTCCTTTACAAGTAAACTCCTCGTTCTCCCTTATTCATTCCTTGATAAGGTTATTTCACAGGGTGTTTTCACTTTGTTTGAACATAATTGTATTTGGAATCTGCCAATCAAAGGAACACTATAAATACCAATAGAATGATAAACTTTGCATGAGTGCTGAAAGCTTCTGGATCGGAGCCACTGCCATAACAGATTAATCTCGCATAAACACAATTGATTTCATTAGTACCGCCGGAGAAAGTCAGCATTGGTGAGATATTTTTTATGAAGTGTTTCACTCCTAAGCAAAGCTTTTTGTGGTCAGCCACTGAAACGTAAGGAGCTGCCAGGGGAGCGGCCAGAAATTTTCAAACGGGGGGGGGGGGGATCCATATTGCCCAGTTAGACAGTAACAGCTCCGGGAAACCTGGGTTTTCTGGGGTCTTGGTGGGGTGCTCCCGAAGTATGCGAACCAAGATGGCGGACATCGGAACGTAACATGGGTAACAAGTTAGGGTTAGGCGATAATTTTTTTCCAATTTTCTTTATTTTAGTCCTATTATCAGTTCGAAGACTAGCCAAGAGCCTCCCGTAGTATTTATACCTAAAATTATGGCCTAACCCTAACTTAGTACACATATTACATTCCGATGTCCGCCATCTTGGTTCGCATACTTCGGGAGCCCCCTTGGTGGCTTAAAAAGCATTTCAAGGCACAAAAATTTGCTAAGTGCGATAGCAAATTCCTTTTTTTACATTTCAAAAGGGGAAAGGGGTTACGACCCACAATGAGTAGTTAGTTTCACGTAAACACAATTGATTTTAAACCATATTGCTTTTTTTTTCAGAGCTCGGAAGTCTGAAACACGATGATGGACTTCATAATGATAACAGTATCAGATCATTTGACATGCACGATATAAGTGGTGAGTGATTAAATAGTCAACCAGAGCTGTGTTGTTCGAGGTTTAGCATGTTTTGACTGGATCCAAAGCAAGGATATCGAAAAAGAATCTAATTTTAAATATATTCTAATTCCAGACCTCCTGAAGTATTCGCACCAAGATGGCGCACAACCTGAACACAGGTTGTGTACCAGGGTTAGGGATCAGGTTGTGTGACATCTTGGTGCGCATACTTCAGGAGTACCCTAATTTCTTTATATTCGATATAAAAATTTGAATTTAGGAGTCATTTAGAAATATTTTTATTCGAAAATTAGAGATTTTCAGTGTCAGACAAGTAGAACGATATCTCAACTAATAACAACCAATACGGAGAAAAAAGTGACTTTTATATTTGTGTCGTTTTAGATTTGATCAAAGTGAATATATAGTGATTTATGTAATTTTCCACATGAAGTTTTTCATACCCGAAACCCCAGTTCTATATTTTATATCCAAATATCATTTTTTAGAAGAAATATTTGGTTTTGGCCATCCCTGGACCCCAGTAGAATTTCCAAACTCTGAAAAATCTGAATTTCTGACTTCAAAACTTGATGATCATATATTTTAAGCAAAACTTTCCTCTGAAAAGGCAGAGATAGCGTTAATTTGACTCGCCTGGGAATTGGATTCCTTATTCTTTCCAAGTCGGAGTCAAATTTTTCAATCCGTTGTTGAATTCAATTGTGAATTTTGCTTATGGCTCTTCGTTGGGGTTTTAAGCACCATGAAACCTGACAGTAATATAAAACAGTTAGCAATTCGAAAATAAACAACAAAACATGCCAGACAGCAAAAGAGAGGCTGTGGTGAATGAAGCGGTAATATACACCAGGCTAGAGGTAAGATCGGGCCCAAAAATTCCAGCCCGGCCCGACCAAGGCCCGTGAGTATTAAACCCGATCCAGCCCGACTAATTAACTGTATTTGCAGGCCCGAGCCCGAAGCAAACCCAAAATTCAATATTTTGGTTAGGGTTTTATTAAAACGTGGCCGAAACACCTCATTTAAAATAAAAGTCACCGATAGAGAAGCCCAACCCGAACGTAATGATTGACATTTCGGCTCGGGCTTCAGATGTTAACTTTACGCCAGACTAGTATTGTTTAGAAACTATGCACAATAAATTCAAAAAAGCAGAATATGGTACCTTAAATGGGATTCCTCACACTAAAATAACGAGCATTCCATGTCCCTGATTCAAACTCTTTTTCTATGATTTCATGCCTTTCTCTTTCACAATCACAGATGGAGCAAAATACATTGAAACCACAGGACAAGAATCAGCTTCATACAATCCAGCAGTCACTTCTGTAGAAAATAAAGAAGAGGAGAGCCTGCATGGTGAACAAAAAGAGGAAAGCCAGCATGATAGTTTCAAACAAAATGAAAATGAAGGAGCTAGTGTGGATAGTGAAGGTATTGACTTTTCTGAAAAGAGATTCACTTTGAATATGGAATTGTGCAAGCAGCCATTGTACATTTGCTAGGGAGGACCAAAATTTTTATGTGAGGTAATGAGTATGGGGTCGAACCCCATTGGGGCGCAATCTTTTATGGCTCGTGGTCCCCTTTCGGAGGCGTTTTAGCACTTATGGCCCCTGTTCATTATTCCAGTGGTATTTATAGTGTTATTTTGATTGGTTGATTACAAATCCCATTATGATCGAACAATTCATGCTCAGCAAAGTGAAAAAACCCGTGAAATAACCTAAATCCGAATATCTTCAATCAATCTATGCTCGACAAAGTGAAATCACGTTGTGAAATAACCTTATCAAGCAATGAAACTAGGAAGAACAGGAGAGTTTTTTAGTGAAATCAGTTTTCCGCCTAGAAAAATGCACTCCTCCCCTTCCTCTGGGGCTCTTTGGCCCCTGGTTGGGACCTGCTGCCCTAGACTCAATGCCTTGATAGTTAAAACAGGATTAGTTTTTTAAACTCATTTACTTTCATGTTATAGGTACTTCATCGCCTGTGATGGTGTCACCAAATCCCGAAGTTGAGGCATGTCATGAAATGGAGGCACCGGCATTTACTCATGATGCCATGAATGAAAATGAGGAGCCACGAACTTTGGAAAATGAAGACAGTGAAGCGGAAGAAGATCTGTACAGTTCAAAGGTATTGTATGGCACTACTGCCTGTTCACTTCATTCTGTAGTTATTATTACATACACACGTAATTAACCTCACATTATAAACACAACAAACGACATCGTTTCCAAACTTTCAGTAGTTCAAAATTGATCTATCTCCTGGGAATGCACTGCTTTTTATTAGGCTTCCCGCTGCTTGTCAGCAGGGAACCTATTGTATTCCTGTGTTTTATTATTATTATTATTTATTTATTATTATTATTTATTTATTATTATTATTTATTTTTATTATTTTTTATTCAAATTGGTCCTACAAACTTGAATTTCACCTCAAATGTGCAGAAGTTCTCAGCTAGCAATAAAATGCAAATTTTATGCATGACTGACCACGCTTTCACGCTCCAGTGAGCAAAACGCGTTTTCAGTTTTTTTGCGATTTCTCAAAATTGATACATGCTATTGGGTTGAAATTCATCACAATGATTGATGGACATGTTCCGGATACGATATGTAAAGGATACGCATGAGTGACCTCGGCGATACGCTCCAGTGAGCAATATAGGATTTTACATTTTCATCTTCTTCTCGAGAACGACATTACTCAGAGACTTGAAATTTACATCACATGCAGATAATAAGTCCCCCATCATAAATTGCAAATTTTATGCATGACTGACCACGCTTTCACGCTCCAGTGAGCAAAACGCGTCTTCAGTTTTTTTTACGCGGGAAGCCTGTTAAAGCTGCACGCAGCTCTAGTTTTTTTTGTTTTTACAATTATGATCAAAAAATCAAGCCCTCAGTGGATGATATATGTCAGTGGCATATACTTAAGTAGTACAACCTGTTAATCCAGTTCAGTTCAAATAAATATTAAAGAAATGTCCAGTACTACTTTCGAGTGTACATATGAAAAAATTGGAACGATAATGAGAAGATTAGCATGCCCCTGCAAGGATGACACGCACAATTGTGAAGCCTTCTTCTATTTTGGCACGACGGTGTGGCTCAACGGGCTAAGCGTTAGGAATAGGCTCGCCACCGCATCTCTAATTACTCTGCGTGGGTTCGCAGGTTCGAATCCCATGCAGGGTTGGTTATGTGCGAGAGGATTGCTGGACTCCTCGCCGCTGTAGGGTGGTTCACGTAACCGCTGGTCGGTTACGACTTCCTCCACCACGAAGTCCATGCTTCCGAAAACAAAACAACATAACTAATCCCATACCCGACTTGGAATGGTAACCGGACAAGAGGCCGTTGTTCGCCATATGGATAAGCTGCCTTATCGGCTTTCCTCTCCCCCGGGATAAATATGTAAATCCTATCCTATCATTAACCAAAAAAAACCATAAGCAACACCAACTGGCCACTTCACCTTCACAGCTGGTCGGTCATGATCAGTCATATGTAACTGATGACATCACAGGTCATGCTCAGCCATCTGGGAAAATGCTAGTTGCCAGAAAAACAATGAAGATACAGTTAACATTTCTTTTTTCTTGTTTAACCAGATTGTAATTAACGATGACGCAGAACTCAGGGATGAAAACCACGTTGAAAATTTTACCGAGCCTCCCATGAGAATGCATGATCCTGATTCCAGCTCAGATGAGAATGAAGAGCCTGAAGAAGAAGAAGAAGAGCAGCAGGAGGAGGTTTGTGAATTTGGTATTAGACTAGGAAGTGCATTTTTATGTCAGCGTTTTCACCGCTTTTGTGTCGCAAGAAATTGAATTGAGTAGGTAATGCTTACCGAAAAATACTTATGAAAATACTGGCTTGGGTAATTTTGTAACTGTTCAAAGAAGCAATAACAGCAATAATAAAATTGGACTAACCTTATTACCTTAAGATCAAATATGACATTATCAATAAGTTCTAATAGATAATGCCATATTTTAATCACCGCCTAGTTGCCACATTTCGACACAACTTTATGAATATGTTTGTCGAGTGTCAAATTTTTTGGGCAAATTTATTGTGGGGCTCCTTGATTAATAGTCAACACCTTCACAGGCTCCATAATGCTTAAAGTTTGAGAACAAATTTGCTGGTTGCAAGTCATGAGCCATCGGATCGTCGCTAGTGATGCTTTCACTAGGTGAAGCCACAGCAAATTGGAGGCCGGGGAGGGTGCTCTCGATTTTGTTAGAATTACGGCCTCTCGTCTGGAATGGTAACCGGACGAGAGGCTGTGGTTCGCCATATGGATAAGCCGTCTTATCGGCTTTTCTCTCCCCCGGGATAAACGGCGCCAACCTTGATTAAATGGGGGGAAATATGGGGGTTCTTGGATTGCTCGAGCTATACTAAATATAAAAGGATCCAGTCCTCACAAAAACATAATAGCTTCCTGCCTGTTAGTAACTGCATGTCTTCAAGTTAAGTCTTGTTTGATATAACAATGTGAATAGTCACCTTACCAAATCGATATAAATTCATACCGATGGTCCACAAAACAAGAAAACAGGGTTGACAAACACTAATCTGGAGCATTATTTTGGGTAAGAATGATCCATGTTATCGAAGTTATATAAATTGTTTATAAACTTTTTAGGAACAACATGTCGAAGAACCAGAGGTTAAAGTTCATCGTCATGACAGCGAAAACGAAGATCTACACAGCGTTGATTTCAACCTGGTGGATGACAACATGTCCATGACATCTTATGATGTTAGTGACTTCGTTGTGGTGCCACTGCCAGACTGTTTTGATGTCAACAGACCATTGAATGTATCTGAACACGAGGATGTGGAAAGTATGTTTCAGTTTGACTCTTGCTGTGAGATTTGAAAAAGCTATTTTGTCACTAAAGTGGGGACTGTTAATTTTCCAATGCCCTATCTTGACTAGAAATCGGAGAAGACGTAGCGTTCAACCATATTGTACGCTTTCTTTTTACTGAATAAGTGAGGTCCTTCTTTTTTCACATTAGCTTCTCGCCTCGGTAACATGGGTTGTTCGGAACCTTCTAAGGAATCGAAATGAAAGCTTGGCGACTTGAGCTTTGTGTTTGCATTATTATTAACACATTCTTATAGGGTGGGTTTGCAGGTTCGAATCCCGTGTGGATAATTATGTGCGATATGATTACTGGACAGTAGGGTGGTTCATGTAAATGCTGGTCGGTTACGACTTCCATCACCATCATACTTCATGTACCTGAAATAGATAACATGTTACCAATTTCCAAACACGACATGGACCAAGCGAGAGGTCGTCGCTCACAATATGAAGATAAGGTCTTGTCAACCCCCCCCCCCCCCCCCCCCCCCCCCTTAGAATAAATAGGGAAATCCCCATCCCAAATGAAATATCAAATGTGTTTTTATACAGAAGAAGGAAGACCAGTGCTTAAAGAGCCTGAACAGCAAAGCATAACTTCTGAGCAAGCTCAGTCTGACGAGGAGTTGAATGAAGAAAACGAGGATTTTCAAGGACAAGCCAAGGTCGAGGAGGAAGAAAAAGAACCAGCGATGCCACCTAGTGACGATGAAACCTCTGATTCCGAAATTGAATCCCAGCCAGCATCAGCGACATACGTCAAAGAATATAGATCTGAAGATTCCCTCCCTATTGCACCTAGATCACCTCCTAGTGGTCGAAATACACCCCCCACTGCCCCAAAATCTAACCCCCCACCTGTTGTAGCTCAACCCCCAAAAGTAAACCTTGCCCCTACCTTTGTACCCCCTGAAAACGACCCCCAAAGTGACCCTGAAGACTCCATGGGCCCAGATTCAGTCGACAACGAATCGCTAACCGAAAGAATTACAAAAGATTTCAATGCATTTCTAATGAACCCCGTTCACCCAATTGAACCCCAACCTACACCCAAAATACCCATGAACCAAATGGCAACTAAAGTAGCCCCAGCACCCAAACCTGTACCCCAATCTGTACTTAACCAGGATCAGCCATATAATTTTGGGCCCCAAGAACCCCCATATTTTCCCCCATTTGAGCAAGGTTGGCGTCGTAACCCCATTCCTGTCCCACGTAGCGTGAATGACGCTACCCCATGGCAAAACCCAATACCCCAGTTGCCGAGATCTGAATTTACTTTGAATCGTAATTCTAACGGAATCGAGAGCACCCTCCCTGGCCTCCCATTTGCTGTGGCGTCACCTAGTGAAAGCCTCACTAGCGACGATCCAATGGCTCATGACTTGCAACCTGCAAGATTTCGAGCAACTTCTCCACAGATTGAATTGGTAAGTGTTTCGCTTGTGTTGTGTGTTTACCAGTGTAGAAGTACATGTCCATAAAGTCCTTTTACAGTTTCAATTTTGTTATGAAGTCACTTCTCAATATATCTCAACCAGGTTTTTTAATCAGTAATTGTTTAAGTATTTTAACTCCATTTAATACATATGTGAGGGCCAAAAAAATATATGGTATTGTATTCATTCATCTCAGAGATGAATCGCCTTTTCTTCTGAGTTAGTGAGTAGGTATACTGTACCACTGTACTGTAATTTTCAATATAGTTTCGGCATTTTTTGGCATTACAGTGCTCTACCATATCTTTGCTTGAAGATGAGTCTTCTTACTTCTGAGTGTGTGTGCGTAACTTTGCTCAAGGATGAGTCTCCTTTACTTCTGAGTGAGTGTGCGTAACTTTGCTCAGATATGAGTCTCCTTTACTTCTCAGTGAGTGTGCATAATTTCTGAGTGAGTGTATATAATGTACCACCACAATTTTCTATATAGTTTCAGCATTTTTCTGGCGTACAGTACTCTCTCGCTTTGCTTGGAGATGAGTCTATTTTCCTTCTGAGTGAGTGCCATTATTTTTACCGAACTCTTAAAAAATATTTCTTATTTTTTAGGCTGATGATTTCTATCCTCCAGGCGATGGCGACGAAGATATATTCCGTACCCCTCCTCCAAGCCCCCCTCCCCGCCGGCAGGCCGCAAACCGAGATGACCCATTCGAACTGTCCCCCCTTGACCAGCTCTTCGAAATGGGGTTCCACGATTTGGATTTGAACAGAAACACATTCGAGCAATGTGGGCATGATCTGAATCGCACCGTTCAAGCTCTCGTGTTGCGACAAGAAGCTGACAATGATATGATGGAATAAATACTTGTGTATATTCAAAAATACTTTACAGAATAATTAGGTTTAGTTTACTTTACTATTATTCCGACTACTCCACTAGCACTGAAAACCATTAATGCATGACTTGTTGAAATAATTCCATACTAATGAGCAATTCCAAATCAGAATTTTTTGGACTAATTGACCCAAAGCAGTGGAATTTAAGAACCGCAGGCTGTAAAAAATTTAGACTTGGGTCTGACTCAAGAAAAATTTGGGTCTAGTATAGTTTAGTACCACAAGTACTTCCAGTGGGCGTAGCATAACGATTTTTGCATATGTTATTCCTAACCCTTACCTGACTATGCCATCCAAAAATTACGTCACTACGACGTCACCATCACGTCATAGGGATCGCCAAAGTATAATTACGATCGCCCGAAATGGCATCTGCGCCGCCGATAAGAACTTGCTATAGCCGGCGATCTCTCTCCTATCGTGATCGTTGTGACGAGAAAACGAGAGAAATAGCTTGCTCGATTTCGGGTTATCGTCTGCGCGTTTTGGACGATCATCCGCATACTTCGGTGGGCCTTATTACGCCACTGTGACGTCGGAATGACGTAATTTTTCGGTGACGTAGTCAGGTGGGGGTGACGATTGACATATGCAAAAATTGTCGAGCCAGGCCAACTAGAAGTGGATGTGGTACTAAACTATACCAGACCCAAAAATTTTGACTCCAAATCCGTGTTTTTCAAAAAAACTAAAAATACAATTTTCACTTTCACAAAAACTTTTGCTGAACACAAGCCTATTTTAATAAACTTTTAAGAACGCTCTGTAGAATTATTCAACTTCAGATACAGCATCTTTTCGTATCATAAATAACAATCTTTCGTAGCTTGGAACGCTTTTAGACCCTCAAGACTAATGGAAACACACGAGTTCCGTCGTTCGACCGGACGTGCTAGCTGTTTCGATCTAACTTGGCAATTAGAAATTTTCAGAAACCCCCAACTTGAAAATTCCTCCTACGCCCTTGTTCTGATATCACAATTGAAAGTCTGCAATTCCAGACTTCATAGCTCTATTTCTACTACCAGAAAGAATTCATGCATGGCTAGGCAGAATAGTATCATAACAACAAACAAGCCCTAATGCTGTCAATTATATGCTTCAATGTTTTTTAGTTTGTGTTGGAGTCAGGTGGTACTAAAGTGACTAGACCCCAAAAATGGTTATTTCTTTTAATTTTTTAACTGTAATCTATAACTGTCATGTAATTTTTTTGGTTTTCCCGAAGTATGTGCACCAAGATGACACACAACCTGAACATAGTATGTGTACCAGGTTAGGGTTCAGATTTATCGTCATCTTGGTACACATACTTCGGGAGCGCCATATTTTTGCAATTGTGGAACGTTCCTTCTTTGCTGGTGATCTTTGAAAATCCCTTGTGTATATATTTTATCTATCATGATTTTTTATTTTTTTTTAATGATAAAGAGAGGGAGAGAGAGAGTTTGTGAATGTGAGAGAATGGATTTAAGTTTTGTTCACTTGAATAGAAAGTCGATTATATGGTTTATCAGTGTCCGTGAAATACAGTGGTTCCCAATCTTTTATGGCTCGTGGCCCCTTCTGGAGTGTTATAGCACTTATGGTCCTGATTATTATTCCAGTGGTATTCATAGTGTTATTTTCATTGGTAGATTCCAAATCCCATTATGTTCAAACAATTCATGCTCAACAAAGTAGATACACCCTGTGAAATAACCTTATCAAGCAATGAAACTAGGGAGAGTAGGGATTTTTCTTGTAAAGAAAATAGTAAATCTGTTTTTGGGCCCCCTTGGTGGGCCACGGTCCCCCTCGGTTGGGAGCCGCTGCTGAAGGACATTGAAATGAACACAAATTTGAAATAAGATTTGGTTGCCATGATTTTTTTCTTGCTTATTGTGTACTATTTTTGGTTCCCAGTAATTTTTATATTTTCTGAGTCTAATTCTCAATCTGGCAAGTAAAGGGCTGATGGTATGGTTTTGTTATGTTGCATTCGAAATGGATTTTGTCGCTGTGACTTCTCTAGTTTGAGGTTCCAATATTATTTTGATTTTACCAATATATTATAGTTTCTTTTCTCCTTCTTTGTTGAATGTGATTCCAAAAATATTTTGTCTATCAAAAGGTCGATAATATATTTCCCTGAGACATAGCACTGATTTTAAAATCAGGTTTTGTGGCCATAACTTTTCTAGTTTAGTTTCAATTTTGTAATTGTTTTTGACTTTTTGCCTTATTTGTTGAATTTCATTCTCAAAAAATTTGCCCAGTATAAGGTTGATAACATGATTTATTGATGTTTTCTGTGTGAGAGTGTGACATGGCACAAAATTTTGAAGTGAAATTGGTCGCCGTGATGATTTTGATGTTTCAACACAATTTACTCTTTAGCATTCTACCATTCCATTTTGTCCTATTTGTTGAATATAATCCTTTATACTTCCGCATGGTGATAATTTGTATTATTATATAAAGCTTCTTCGAAAACTCTCTTGTGCAAAAATTTCCGTTCTTATCAACAAGCGATAAATCATTTTAAATAGGTCGCACAGAATCCTGACGTAAAGTCTGTATGTCGCCTAATTGCCTTTTAAAAACCAAGAGTTAGTCTCTAGTTAGTTTAAGACTTGCTTGAAAACTATAGTAACTTGTGTTATAATGTCTTCATTCTTTTGCTCAATAATATGAGCCACCTTTGGGCTATCCCTTATATAATATCTTCTCTTAAGATTATAATAAAAAATCGAATTCGAGTAATTTGCGACACCCTGATGCTGTACATTGCTTATCTTGTTTGTAAGCGTTCGCTCTATTATCGCTTTGAAACCATCCATATAAACTGTTCCTTATTATTTTCTTTGCAATGTTTTTTTTTCGCACTTATGCTTTCTTGTAAATAAATATAATTCAGTACAACAGTTGTTTAGTCCTTTGTTAGTGGTGGCACTTTTAGTTTTTTGTATGGCTGTTTTTTTGAAGGCTATAGAGCAGGGTAGGTTAAGGTTTTCGGGCCAGGGGTCGGGCCAATTTGTTAAGGTCCAAAATTTTGCCCACCTAGCCTGGCGGGCTATATGAGTGTGACGTAAAAAAATGCATTTTGTGGCAAATATCTAAAATTGGAAAACAATAAGCCTCGTGCAAAAACTAAATTTAATCGCAATCTCAACAATTTCCCAAAGCTATTTTTTATCTCAAATATCTAAATTCGCAGGTCACAGTTTGCCAATTTATTCCAAACGTCTAAGTTGTTTGATAATCGTACAGCTTCGACTGCCAACTTCAAGATGATGAAATTTTGAATCTGACTTCATTTTGATGAATATATTGACTCTGACAGTAAGATAGAACGAACCCTAAGTCAACCAAATTTGGACCGAAAAACTGCGGCGCATAAAAGATTTCTTCATTATTTTGGGAATACCTTAACAAGCCTGAAATTTCGAGTTCAAACTCTGGTGAACTCGAAATTCCAATTTCACTTTTCCCATGATATTTTAACCTGCTAAGTCACAAGGCAAACGAACGGAACATCTGACGAGGTTTAGAGTGTTTGTTTAAAAGTAACTTCAACAAACCAATTACAGTAACTGTGTTTTTGATGCATTTTATCATGAGGTGGGAATGAGTTTCAAAATAGGCAAAGGGAAAAAGGTTGGACACTGCTTGATTAGTAATTATTACATGTTAATAATTAGTGTCAGGTAAAATTTACGTGTCCATGAAATTGGCATCTTATTTCTAACTTTCAGCCTGATCATCAGGATCTGTTTCGCAATATGCTAACAGTCTAACTAATGTGAAAACACAAGGAACCGCTTGATTAGTCATTATTACATGCTAATAATTGAAATGGCCTAATTTGATTGTTCATAGAATTCAAAACTATTTCTACATTTTTGTCAGAAACACCAATCGCCCATCTCTGTTTCGCAAGATACCCACCGTCAATAACAGCCGACCAAACTTAAATCTTGTTAATTGAAAATAAGAACTTGGTTGTCGCTGCTTGACCACTCATGTTTTCCCTTCCTCTATAACACTGCCCTGATGATATTATACATGTTAATTTGTCTCCAAGTGTAGCAGCATGTGGGTAGGTAGCTGCGCTAATTACCATCAAGATGCCCTTCTATGTGCGCTTCTTGTTTTACATTGATTCTTGCATGATAAAAATAACCTTACGTTGATAGCAAGCATGTATCTTGCGCTTCACTGATCAGTAAAAAGTTTTTACCATTCAGCTTGGGGATATCAAATGAAACACAGTCGCCACCACTCATACCCCAATATTTCAATAAGGCAACAGAAAGAAACTATATTACGAACGGCGCGGCGGTGTGGCTCAACAGGCTAAGCGTTAGGAATACGCTCGCCACCGCACCTCTAACTACTCTGCGTGGGTTCGCAGGTTCGAATCCCATGCAGGAATGGTTATGTGCGAGAGGATTGCTGAACTCCTCGCGGTCGTTGGGTGGTTCACGTAACTGCTGGTCGGTTACGGCTTCCTCCACCACCAAGTCCATGCTTCCGAAAACAAACAATACAGTAAAACTAATCCCATACCCGACTTGGAATGGTAACCGGACGAGAGGCCGTGGTTCGCCATATGGATGAGCCGTCTTATCGGCTTTCCTCTCCCCCGGGATAAATATGTAAATCCTATATCTATCATCAAGTCTAGCTTTTCACATTTATTTCAAGGTTACTGTAAGACAACCTGAATCTCTCAGTTTACACATTTTATTGTGACTTCAGGAGGAATAAAATTATTCATATGTTTATCAGATACCACAAGGCTGATAGTAGAGCCCATCTAGTCGGGTTATGGTCGGTTAAGGCTTCCTCCATCATCAAGTACGCACATCTGGAACGAATAACTGGGCTAACCAATTACCCAACATGGACACTCAATCATTCTTGATTGAATGAACCCAGGTAAATAATCAAAAGGCGAGTATTTTTTTGCTATTGTACACTTCGTGAAAAATTCAACTTGTATCTTCTACTGGATGGAATCCCTTTCAACAAGTACAGAAAGAATAGCATTGTGTTTTAAACCATATATTTTAAAAAATACACATTTTTCTATGAAAGTTCTAAAATGCACATCTAAAAATCGAGCAAAAATAATATAAATTCTGTCAGCAAAATTTAGAATAGCACACAGTATATTCTTCCTGTTTTACTTATTATACCTGTATAAAACAAAACTGCCATAACCATACTCATATAAAATTGAATTGATTATTGAAGCGAACGAACTGCTTTGAGCAAAGATTTGCCAAGGAAGCAAGGAATTTTCAAAGAGGTGTTCAGAAACTTCCAATTATCAAGTTAGCCAGCAGATCCAGAAAACATATTGTTTTAGATTTCAAGAAGAATGATAGGGGGGTTTTGTATTTAATTTATTGCAAGATGACTGCAGTGGCAGGCAATATAATATCACAAATGGTGAATTCATCAGATTAAACAAGGACACTCCGGATATAAAAGTGACTCTATTACTTGAACGCTGAAAACATTATGGTGAAAGGAAACTATAAGTATCTTAATTTTTTAAAATATAAAAAAAATCGGATTTTGTTTCCAAATTCAAAAAAAGCACAATGGTGGACAGCACATTTTAATTCATTATTTTGAAAAAAAATCATTTGTTCGTCTCAAATTGGCTTCAAAAATGTGTTAGGTTTTACGATTTATGATTAATTCTGTCTGAACTCGAGAGTAAATCTTTTTAAATTATTGTCTTAGGAAAAATCAGAAACATTTATATGTACTCTCAAAGTATGTGAACCAAGATGGTGGACACCGGAACGTAGTATGTGTACCAGGTTAGGTTAGGTTCAGATACAAATATTATGGGAGTCACTTGGCTAGTTCCAGAACTCGTAATATAACCAAAATATGGAAAAATGGAATCAAATTTCGACCTAACCATAACAAGGTGTCCTTCATCTTGGTTCACATACTTCGCGAGTACCCATTTATAATAATGCTTAAATTTAATTCCAAACTAGACCAAAAACCCTTGTTTCATAAAAAATAAATCTGAATTTTGAGATCGAATGTTACAAGAAACTAGTGCCATTAACTCTTAAATTAAAAAATGAAGCAAACAATTGAAGGTATTTGTTAGCTGATACAATTTGATAACAATTTAAATCATTTATTTTTAAAAATAGTTCCATTAACCTCAAATTTGGTAGTCTTAAAATTATTTAAAATCGCAAAAGGAATTTATTGATACCATTTCTTGCTTTGGCCCTCACAGATGTATTAAATGAAGTAAAAATACTTGAACAATCACTGATTAAAAACAACAAATTTGGTTAAGATATTTTGAGAACTGACTTCATAACAAAATTGAAATAGTAAAGGGATTTTATGGACGCCCTGTATATGATTAATAATGTAAAATAGCATCAAATATTCTCTTAAATTCAAAATCTAATTTGTTTGATGATTTTCTTAAATTCGAAATGATATCTTATTAATTTTTCGTCTTGGGGGTTTTCTGTTTAATGAAGGCTTCTGACGGTAGAGGTAGCTGCTGGGGTGCAATATCTCTTGTTGGTGTGTATGGATACTTAACTGCATGACTGAGAGGTTGCTCTGTCTGGTAATTCTAAAAAAGAAATGAAATTTAAAGTTATATAAAATATGACATACAGTTCTGCAGGGTGACCGTACATTTGAACCCACGTACATTTGAACCCATGTGTATATCCGCGGGTTCAATCTATATGCGGGTGCTAAAACCCATGGGTTAGGGTTAGTATGGGTTTAACTATCCGTGAAACAAAAAAAATTCCATAGGTGCAATAGCATACAGGTGCAATTGTCATGGGTTCAAATGTAATGGAACCGTTCTGCAGAAATATAACAAATGCTAATGATTGAATAATAACACACGAGATCGATGCTTAAATACAAAACATGAAGACCAAAACGAAGTAGCACGTGTAAGAAATCTGTCACAGTAAGTTTCTAAATATTTGAACCCACGACAATCGACAATTGCACCTATGGAATTTTTTTTTACGAATATTTGAACCCATACTAACCCTAACCCATGGATTTTAGCACCCGCATATAGATTGAATCCGCGGATATATACGAGTCCAAATGTACGGCCATCGTCATCAGTACTTAGTGTTAACTGTATTTCTGGCAACTAGCATTTTCCCAGATGGTTGAGCATGACCTTTGATGTCATCAGTTTCAGGTGACTGATCATGACCAACCACCAGTGAAGGTGATTTGGCCATGTGCACTCAGTAGTCTGGAGCACAGCTCAGTTGGTGTTGCATATATCTGTATGTATTACTTTGGTTATTGCATTGGACATTTATTGCTGTTTGATTAAAACATTTATTAAATATACTTTGGAGTCTTTACTTTAACACTTAGGATTAACACGAAAGCGGAACCACCCCAAAATGCTCAATATTTGCTTACATCATCGTACAAAAAAACAATTCCCATAGAGGCCACAGACATTTATGGAATACATATAAGTAATAGTCTTCAGGTGACAAGTACAACCTTTCACCAGCGTCAATTTCAAAGCAATTGGTCCAGTAGTTAATGAGAAGAAGAAAACAAGTAACAACAAGAGGAAAAATACCAACACAAACAACAACAACATTATAACACTAGAATTCGGATGGAAACCGAAGACTTATCGATCGAAGGTTAGGGGATCCCCCAAAACAGTGGTCTTACTCCATAGTGACACCGTGTGTCCCATCACTAATTAATTAATAACTCGCTAATTATACGACATAATCCAAAATCAATAGGCTTCTGATCCGAGCTAAGATGAATGCACATGCAAAATTTGGAGCAGATTGAACCTCGCTATCGTGAGATATCGCGTGCATCTAACACACGGACATACAGACAGACAAATACCCATCAACATACTTACCGATCAAGATCGATAAGTAAACAACGATCCATATTTACACTCTGCATCCAATAATTATGAAGGATTTAAATACCTGTATATTGGGATGATGTCTCTCCACTAACACTCCATGAGGAGGAGGCCCAAATTTTTCTGATTGACAGTGCGGTTGCTTGCATTTCTTGCCTAAAATTTAAGTTTGAATAAAAACAGAAGTTTAACTCTAGAAATAATAGGACAAGGCTCTCTAAAGTGGGGGCCCAGTGGGTCGGTAGGGGTTGTGGTATAATCTTTTTCGACACCTATGTTAAAACAAGATATTGAGTTTCTGGGGGTAGCGAAAATATTTCGCCGTGCCGAGTGGGTGACGATAAAAAAAACTTGCGGAACAATGATGTAGTGGATACCGATACCGAAAAATGTTGAATAGGACTGAGTTACTCTGAAAATTCTTTTCAAATTTTATAAAAATTGTATCAAATGTTATATGAAGGTGCCTGTGAATATATGAAAAACAAGAGATTGATGCTCTAATACAGTCCAAAGTTGTGGGCTCCGCGGGCCACAAATTCATTTTTGCATTGTTCGCGGGCCACAATAGTGCCATAAATAGGTAAACAGTGCGATACAAAACAAACACTTTTATTGTGCAAACACATAGTTATCAGGCATAGCCATCCAAGGATAATGGAATCCATATTCGATTTTTAGTTTTCTATGATGCCTATATTGTTAGCATAATATATTCCCGACCAGAAAAATGGAAAGCAAGATAATAATTTAGACTGCCAAGCACATCATTCAACTTCGCTAGTTGCCTCAGCTAGCTATAACACTAGTCAATTTAGTGACATCAGTGATGTAACAATATGTCAAAAGATTTTTCTGATTAATTTTATTACAAAACAACAGGAAATACGATTTTTTGATTACTCTCCGAATGTGACGCGGGCCACAGATATTGAAGAGGGCCTGGGTTTGGACCACCCTGCTCTAATATATAGGCATGAAGTAGAAATGGGTGACAGTGGACTACCGTACCGGTACGGCGGTCTTCACGGCTGGCAAGAAGCCAAAACATACTACAAACTTCATGACTAACGAATCTCATGGAGCCCACAAAAATATTTGAAATAAATAAAAGCAATAGCCCTCTAGCGAAAAATGCCAATGACCACTGAGAATTTCAAAGCAATTGGTACAGTAATTAAAGAGATAAGTAATCTTTTCATAACGATATGCAGAAAAATACTAACAACAAGAATGAGAACAACAACATAATAATAAAGCAATCCATGTCCAATTTGTGTCGGAAAAACAGAAAAATTTGGAACAAAATAGTCTTGTGAGACTGAAAAATGTGAAAAAACGAAACATATATCCTCCCAATGACTCCATCTATTTTATAGTACTGAAAATTTGAAACCTATTGGTCCATTAAATGCGAAGAAAAGCTATTTTTTTTACAACAAAAATGATTTATGAAATTGATTCTCTACTTGTCTAATAAGTATTAGGGAGATCATATTTTAACCTGAAACAAAAAACATTGTTGTTACCTGCACTGGCTGTTGCAGAAATTTTTGCAGACAATGTTCTGCTTCTGTTGACAGGGAACTTTCCACCTGATGTCTTTATTGGAGGATTGGAGAGGTACTGTGAGAAATAAACAGAAAAGGTGTTATTACCTGATTGGTGTAGTTCAGAGTTCTTTGAAACGGTGGGGCGTGGCATAGACAGAGGTGGCGGGAAGCTTATTAGTTAGATTTTATTTCCCCCCCCCCCCCCCCCCCCCCTTGCATGTCTTCATTTTTTAGAGAATACAGAAGGCTCTTGTAACAAATTTTAAACTTAAAACTTTAAAACTAAAAAGCCTCGTATACAGAGTGTCCAAAAAAACGTGCCTGATTTTATAATAATAACGCACTACGAAAAATTGTATGTATGACACAGAAAAAAAATTTTTTTGGTGCTCCCGAAGTATGCGAACCAAGATGGCGGACATCGAAATGTAACAGGTTAGGCGATAATTTTTTTCCAATTCTCCTTATTTTAGTCCTATTATCAGTTCGAAGATGAGCCAAGAGCCTCCCGTAGTATTTATACCTAAAATTATGGCCCAACCTTAACCTAGTACACCTATTACATTCCGATGTCCGCCATCTTGGTTCGCATACTTCGGGAGCCCCCTTTTTTTACAGTTCCAAAAGGGGGGTGTATGGTTCTGAGGGTAGGAGCCCGCGAAGAGGTTGAGTATTAGTTACGGAGCACCACAATAAATTAATGAAAATAAAAACAAACAACACATTGTTGTTCACCGATTAAGTATCGCATAGCTCACAGAGCCCTGTGGCTCTGTATGGAACACGTTGAGAACCTATGGTCAAATTGGTTTTCCCCCTCCCCCAAGATGAAAAAAATATATACATACTTTTCCAGTCACTACTCCACTTTTGTTGCCAGTTCCACCAGACTTAGGTCTTGAAGTCATCCCTGGTCTGGAGTAATTTACTGTTGCCTTTGATGGTTCCAGAACATGCCTAGTTGGCTGGGGTTCTGAGATGAAGAAATATAAAATGTTTTAAATTTAGAATTTTCGAGATGAGTTTACTTTGCTTTGGTAAAATTCCACTCGAAGAATGTCTCCATTATTGTGATGAGTTTACTTATATGTATGTACTTGCTATTTCATTAATTGTCAGTAACTTCGCTCAAAAATAAGAATCCTGGAGTGGGTGTGCATGTGTGACTTGGCTTTGATAAAATTCTACCCAAAAATGTATCCATTATCGTGATGAGCTTACTTGGTATTACCATGTTTACCAGTACTTCGCTCAGCAATAAGAATACCAAAGTCAGTGTGTGTGTATCACACTTTTACTTGGAATAATGCAGTCCAAGCAGAGCTACTATTTTTAAAACGTTTAAAATCAGATTCTTCAATAAATAATATCCCCCTAAATATCAATAATATAGCAGGGTTTTTAAACGTTTGTTCTTATGGAGCCCTTGGAAGAGGTTGACTATTATTTATGGAGCCCCACAATGAATTTATAAAAATAAAACAAATAAAATTCACATTTTTACTTATTGCTTAATGTCCACAAATAAACTAAAATTACTTTATTTAATGATGTATTTGATGATTTGTATTTAATAATGTTCAGTTTTTTAATAGATAAACAAATAGCTCTGAGAGTCCCCAGGTTTCTTTTACGACTTCTTGGGGCTCCGTTTGGAGCACTTTGGGAACCCATGTCGTACAGAGCATCGTTCAGAATCAAAAATCACAACTCAACTTACCTGGAGGCAAATAGTCTGGTTTCTGAGCCGCTTGTCCAGCAAACGTTACTTTGTTACATTCGCTTGCACAAGTTAAAGCATCCACGGCTGCAGCAAGAGTTTGGACCTCACTGGGTGCTGGAATTAAAAAGGTAAATGGGTTTAGAGCAGTAGTTATCAAACTTACATGATCTGTGATCACCTGTCGTAGTTTATTGCACTATCCAACTGAGCTTGATAAATTAAATTTTTGGTGCTCCCGAAGTATGCGAACCAAGATGGCGGACATCGGAACGTAACATGGGTAACAGGTTAGGGTTAGGCAATTATTTTTTCCAATTTTCCTTATTTTAGTCCTATTATCAGTTCGAAGACTAGCCAAGAGCCTCCCGTGGTATTTATACCTAAAATTATGGCCTAACACTAGTACACATATTACATTCCGATGTCCGCCATCTTGGTTCGCACACTTCGGGAGCCCCAAATTTTTTTTTGTAAAGAGGCCTATAGGAGATTCAAAGATATCTAAAGATTTCACAGACGCGAAGATATTTAAAGATTTCACAGACGAAATGTTGAAAATTTCTTGGAAAATATTATCACGAACTGATACAGTTTCTTCGAGCTGGTGTCTAACCATAATTCAAAGCAATTTTCACTGAAGTATACATATACATTTTTCTCATTTATCCCATTTTGGTTTAAATTCCCAATTCTATGGGTATGACTCATCTAGAACTCGTAAAATAAAATCAAGGGTTCAGTAACCGCTTCTGTCTTTAAGTACAGAAAATTAAAATAATTTTGCACAACAACAACAATAATTCCAACAAAAACAACGATTCAGCAAACGATTCCTAAGTCCATTCTGTATAAATTCAAGTTCATTTTCAGACCTGTTTGATTCTCCTCTCCCTGGAACATAGACATAGCTTCAAGGTTGAGCGCACAAACTCCACGCATGAACGCTTTCTTCATTGTCTCTTCATATCTATCTCTCTCTTCATGAAGTCGTGCAACCTCCTTCCGAGAATCTTCTAATGCTTCATTGAGCTGGAAAATAGATCAGTTTGTATTTTAAAAATTTAGGTGTCAGATAAGTATATTGGCTGTTATTACTTATCGATTTTATTCGGTAAGTAATTTGATAGGTATTTGTCTGTCTGTTAGATGCACGCGATATCTCACGAAAGCGAGATTGAATCTTCTCCAGATTTTGCATGTGTATTATTCATCGTATGTCGTACTAGAAGCCTATTGATTTTGGATGAGTTATGTAGTATAATTGGCAAGTTATTAATTAATTTGTGTTGGGACACAAGGTGTCAGTATTGAGTGAGAGCGCCGTTTTGGGGGATCCCCTAACTTTCAATCGATAAGTCTTCGGTCTCTGACCGATATTCTCGTGTATATTTTACTCTAATATCATGCAAACATTTTTTGAGGGAAATTTGATCAAAGTAAGGTCAAAGCATGCGCTTTTAACCACAAACGAGGGAGATTTTTTCTCTGAATGCAATTACCCACTGAAATTGTACTGGACTTAAGCCTACATGAGTCTGACCCTTGACACTGGATTTCAGTCTAAAAATGGATGTTTCCCCAAGTATCCTTGTTTACTTCCCTAAAAGTGGCTAATCCTCAAGATGCCAAACATGACCATGAACGTTTTCACAGCCGCTCAGGCACTTTTGTCACTCAGAAATATTCTCAGACATGGTTGTAAACATTACCTCTTTTTTGCAATAGTGGGTGTTAATGCAGAGCCTCCAGGATAGTATGGGAACCACTGCTTAGCATATATATGTAGGTGTAGGTATGAGAATCACAAACAAAAGTACTTACAGAAGCGATCTTTGCTTCATAATCATTAGTCAGTTGAACGCAAACTTCTTCTGCTTTTTTCTGGCAAGCTTTCTCGACCCTTTCCTTCCATTTTGCTTCGATAGTCGACCGCCAGCCCTGCCAAGCTCTCATGGCCAATGCGCGTTCTCTATGTTTCCTGGCCAAGTGTGTTGTGAAGGTCTGTGGAGTATATGAAGCATGCCTTATAAGTTAGTGCTCGAATAGTGGTTGGCAAGTTTTTTAATTGAGGCCCAAAATAGTAAAATAGGAAACGTTTGCAGGCCCAACAACCATCACGTTGGTGACAGCCTATAAGTAACCTGTACTAGGATTTCATTGGAAATTTTTAATGTACGTAATACATTTGTTAAGCAACATTTATTCTGTTTCAACATGGGTTTAAAAGAGTCTTTGAGCGATTCAAGCTATGAAAAATTACTACCTATGATACAGAAAAATGTCTTTTTTCTGTTTCAAAATTCCAAAAGAGGGGGTTCCAACCTGCAAACCACCCTCCACGGTACACCCCCGCACTCCAGTCTTCCCAATCTATACTGGTTCTTTACACAAAGACTACTTGTACATGGCCTTGTTCAGAGCACAAAGGGATATAAATACTTTGTATAAAAAAGTCTCACCTGTCTCCTTTCATCAATCATTCTCAATTTCCATTGCATCATTCTACGAGCCATCTCCAACCGGTCATGACCGGTTTGAACCGCTCTAGTCAGGTTCGATATGACTTGATCTTTCCTTTCTACAGAGACTTCGTAAGTATGTAGGAGTTCCTTGAGCTGTGCTAGTTCATTCTGGAATAAAGTGGTGAAATATGATTCAATTATCTGCAATAAAGTTTTTGACTAGGGTTAAAGATCCTGGGCGAGAGGATTGTTAGACTCTTTGTCCTCATAGAGTGGTTCTCATAACCGCTGGTTGGTGATGGCTTCCTCCACCATCAAGTCCATGATTCCGAAAACAAAATAACTAACTAATCCCATACACGACATGGACTGGTAACTGAACGAGAGGCGAAATTCATTTTCATTGATAAAGCAGTCATTGTATACAAAAGATTGAATCTCCAAAATGGATATATTATGTTATAAGGAGTCAGACTAAACTTCCATCCTACTCATGATTCCAAAATATTTAAATATTCGACTCGAAATCAGAAATTTTGACTATAATGCCAGGACGCAATTTTGTTATTAATTAGGAAAAACTTGCCTGAGCAAGCTCTCCCAACATTTAAAAACAGGTAGTTGAAAATATTTACATACCGGTAAACTCAATCCAAGACAAGTTTACCAAATAAGAAAGTTCGAGGATCCACTCAGTTCTAACACTAGCAAGGGCACATAGCTCACTCACATATTTATATAAATCAATTGACATGAAGTATTACCTATAGTACACTCCAACCAAGTTAATTAAGCTAAGTAAAATCCAAGATAAAGAACAATAACGAAACAGTTGAATCATGCAATAAAATATAATGTAAAGTTCAATATTAACAAAAAGAAACCAACCTGTAGCTTATCAACCTCTTCCTGATGTTCTTGTTTAATTCGATGAATCTCTCTGCGATGACTCTCAGACATCGCGATCTTTACTTGACTCAGTTCAGCCTGTTAATATTGAATATTTGTCATTGAAAATGGATTACACCAGGGTTTTACAAACTGGTTTTCTCTCATCTCCCTAAGGGGGCAACAGAGCAGCCCCCTGAGGGGCCCAAGAAAAGTTTTTCACTCGCCATAAAATAAGTAAACAGACATAAATATAATGGTCATTATTTTCTCTGTGTTGTTTGTTACCAGTTGTCTGAGTCTGACAATTCTAAATCCCTAATTTCTCTCAATAAGAATTATCTAAAATCTTCCTAAATTGAATTTTGAATGAATTTGAATATTCCATACATTATATATAAACAATTCAAAACTAAATTGATATTATCAAGAAACAAACTTTTTCCCGCAACAACAAGGATCTAGCACAGGGTGGTCCAAGGTTGATGTCCTCGCGTGCCACAAGAATGTAACTTAAAAATAATTGCAGATTGATTAAATACCGAATTTTACCAAATTTGAGATACAGGAGGGTAATTACCCAGCAGGAATTAGATTGTTCGGCCATAATATTAATATTTAGTTGTCAGGCGTAGCCAACCTAGGCTAATAGATTCCTCATTCGATTTTTAGTTATTTATAAAGCCTATTTTGTTAGCAGATATTCCCGACCAAAAAGATAGAAAGCCAGGCAACAATTTAGACTAGCCAAGCACAATATTCAACTTCGCTGGTTGCCACAGCTAGCCATAACACTAGTCAATTCAGCGACATTAGTTATGTAACAATATGTCAAAAGATTTTTCTGGGTATTTTTATAACGAAACATCACACAATTTTTTTTTGTTTGATTTTTTGTTTACCCTCCCGATGTGGCCCGCGGGCCTGGGTTTGGACCACCCTGATCTAGCGAAATGATCCACATTACAATACTGCATTTCAAACAAGAATATCGGTCGGAGACCGAAGACTTATTGATCGAAACTGCAGTTTCGATTCATGACTCTATAGTGACACCTGGTCCGAGACATGATGAATGCACATGCAAAATTTGGAGCAGATTCAACCACGCCTTCCTGAGATATCCATGCATCGAACAGACAAACAGACAGACAAATACCTATCAACATACTTACCGATCTAAAGATCGATAAGTAACAAATCTTACCAAAACCATAGTCTTCAATTTCTCATGCCATTTATCTAGCTGACCGCTCATTCTTGCCATGTCGGGGTCAAGTCCATTTTGCGGATGAGTATCCTGTCCCCCTTCAGCACCTTCTCGTTGCCCCAGATAGGACAAAATTGGAGCGGGTTGGATTGTCTCTCTCTCTGAACCCGATGAAGCCGTGGGTGATAGCATTGGGCCCCGATAAGGGGTTCGCCCTGGTGATGGCATGGGCCGAGGGGTCCTTGGTTCTGAATAGATGAATTAAGACAACAAATTGTTAATGTTAAATAGTAGACTTGTTAATTTCAGCGTTTCAAAACAGAGGAGAACTTCAATTGTAGGAACGGAAATTTTACTTTTCATTTGTGTGTGGTATTCCTAATATTCTTTGCTTATTTAGTATCATTGCAATACATATCTAAGTGTATTTATGAAATACTTATAAAATACTCAAACTGTACAAAGAGTGCAAAGTTGATGTGTCACCAGCTAATAATTCTGAATGAATTTGATTCATCATGTACATCGCAGCAATGAGACACTTTGGTACTCCCGTAGTATGTGTACCAGGTTAAGGTTAGGCCATAATTATAATCTGATTTTTCTTTTTTTAGTTCCATTACGAGTTCCAAACTGTCTGTGTTAACCAAGAGAATATACCCCCTGCACATAGCTTTCAGTCTCCTTACACAACTTGATGTAAAGTGGGCGAACAAAATTAGTTAACTCCATATTGGTACAAATACTTCTGAAGAGCCGCCACTCTGATATATACATACATACCTGGGTTATTCATCTGCCAAGTTGGCTCCATTTGTTTTCTAGCAGTTTCAGGTTCCTCACTCCCAACTGCGCTATCTTCCTCTGTGCGTGATGTGCTTCCAGCTATAAACAAGTATATATCATCAGTGATGAGATTCAACCTTTTAACCCAAAGACAAGTCAAATTTTTCTCCACCCAACATCTGGGTCAATTGTAACTGCCCCCCGTAGGCAAATATTGGGTCTAGTATAACTTAGTGTCATAAGTACTTCTAGTGGAAGCGGCTTGACAATTTCTGTGTTTGTCTTTCCTAACCCATCTGGCCACGTCATCTAAAAATTATGTTACTATGACGTCACAGTGATGTAATAAGATAAGGCCCGCAGAAATATACGGAACGTTGTCCCAAACATGCGGACAATCACCTGCATTCAAGCAAGCTACAATGTATACAATACGATACTCTCTCTTGTTTTCTTGTCGAAACAATCCCGATATATAAGAGGGCGCTGGGGATAGTGAGTTTGTTTTCTTTGGCACAAGATGTCATCAGTCAATAAAATGATTGTTTTATTTGACCAAAACTACGGATATCTTGGAATTGGAGAACTGTGGTTTACTGCATGTCAATGGTTCCTTATATACAGCCGTGTTCGGAATGAAAACGATGTCAAAACAGATTACATTCATCACCTGAATATTCATCAAGGCAATGCGACAACTTAATCATATGACGAACCACGGCCTCTCGTCCGGTTACCAGTCCATGTCGGGTATGGGATTAGTAAGCCCGTTTTTTCTTTAAGATGTATTTTTTTACATATCAGTATTTCCCTGTATAGGGTCGTGTTAGGCATGAGAACATTGTATGAAAAATTATATTCACCACCTGAATATTCATCAATCGTTGTTAACGGCCTGTGGTCCGGTTCATTCAATCTTAGTTGAGGCAAAACGGACGGTTGTTCGGTCTGTGCAAATGTAGGATCCCACTTCGGTGTGACAATGGCGTATTTTAGAAGCTCTTGGTATTCCTCCTAAAATAAAGAAAAAAAGATGAAGTCAATAAAGCAAACTATTTTTTCAATCAATTATTTATCATCTCATTAGCCTCATTTTATTTATTAATTCCAAATTTTCTGGCTCATCAATTGATCAATATGCCTTGTCTGTCATACAGTCTGCACAGTGGAGTGCCATATGACCCTGTCCCTATGCCCAATGTGAAAATTTAAAAATCTCTAATCCTAAATGCAGCCAGAACCCTTAATTCCAAGTGCAGTTTTAAGTACTCTGTGGCGTCTGCAGCTGCCAATATTGGGTAAGTTGGAACGTTTTTCTTATGGTTACAGTTTTGATGTATTTGGGGTTAGGGTCAGGGTTTAAGTAGATATAATTCCGCACGATCAATTAAAATCTGGTACATTAATTTGTGAATATACTGTTAATACTGATTACTGAATAGCGCTATAAAACCATGGCAAGAGCTGCCGCGGTTCGTTCGTGGCAGGAGCTGCCATGAAGTGGTAAGAACTGCGCCTCCTTAATTCAGTGCTGCTTCTTTTTGAGAGTGAGAGTTTTATGTATATTGCTGTAGTGTTAAACAAAGTATAATATCAGAACAATATTATTTTACAATGACTTTAATTGGAAATTAGGTTCCAGAATACGTTGAATTTTTAAATTTATGTGCATCGCAATTTGGCACCCGATCCCCAAGCTTTTTTTACACAATTATTTTTCACCTGCAAGCCAGAAGATACTGAACTTCCTCTTGACGTTTCCGACGGTAGGCGCGGTAAATCTCCGCTATCTTCGCTTGTACTTGACATAATCTTGTTCCAAAAATAAATACCGGTACTTCACTCAATAAAACCGAAAACCAATAACTTTGAAAAATATAAACAACGGACCCGGGGTCTCGCTTCAGTGACTACCGGTTTAACTTGTGGTGCATAGAGTCAATTTTTGTAGAATGATAAATAAATGATAAATGATTTTTCGACTCCAGTATAAAGGCCGATGAGCAAATACAATTGGCAAAAATTAGATTTTTTTTATCACGGATCAGAGTACTATATGGCTTGGATCAGTATTTTTTTCTTCATTATTACGTCATGTCCGAGTTGTAACCGCTGTTGGGTCGTTTGGTGGCATTATCTTTTTTATGCTACCTTTTATGGGTAGCGGAGTAGAAGTTCCCCATCCCCGCGGATTTACTGGTTGTTTGACCGTATTAGTTCTTTTCAGCCTTGCTGTAGCTCGTAAACTTGTTTAAATTGTGGGTGGATTTATATTTGTCTATAAATAGTACAAAGTTATTGCAAATTTATGCTAAACGTCGTGGGGACTACAACAGAATGATGAAAATATTCATACTTATGTAAAAATGCGAAGCAACTTTTACCAATTTTAAAAATTGAGCGTGAACATTTTTGACTATCCAGCTATATTTGGAAAAGCATTTGCCAAGGTGAATCTTAACTGTTGGATCCGATGACATTTGTCGATTAATCTTTTGAGGGGATTCGTTACCTAATGAAACAAGAGAGCTATGATCAAATATATGGACACGTAGCGCCACCCAATGGCAATAATTTTGATGACGTCATAGCGAAAAAAAAAAGTAATAGCCTTCTGGAGAAGAAAAATTTTATCTTCAACCACTGAAAATTTCAAAGCAATTGGTCCAGTATTCGAAGAGAAAAGCGACTTTTTAAAAACGTGTCAAAGAACAAGAACAACATAATATTGAAACGATCGTTATGTCCACTACGTGTCCAAAAACAAGAGAGCGATGCTCAAATATATAGACACGAAACCCAAAACGGAGTGGTAATGGTATGCAATCTGTCACAGAAGACCACCGGCGCAACAGCGTTCACAACTAACGCGTATGTGCGCAATTTTTATTGACGACATTGTACACAAGAAGCGAATTCCACTGAGCCGCGTTCCGTGTCAGGCCTCCTGCCGGTAGGATAGGATAGGATTTACATATTTATCCCGGGGGAGAGGAAAGCCGACAAGACGGCTTATCCATATGACGAACCACGGGCTCTCGTCCGGTTACCATTCCAAGTCGGGTATGGGATTAGTTATATTGTTTGTTTTCGGAGGCATGGATTTGGTGGTGGAGGAAGCCGTAACCGACCAGCGGTTACGTGAACAATCCTCTCGCACATAACCATCCCTGAATGGGATTCGAACCTGCGAATAAATAAAGTACTTGCATGAAATTAAAAAAAAACGTATATCAATTCCAAGATGACAATCCTCAAAAAGTATCTACAATTCGAGTAATATTATTTCCTGTAGTGTGGTCAGTCTTTTAAATTTGCTGTTTTCATAATCAATGCAGTGATCTGTCGACAAGGCATGCTTGTAAAGGTTTAAATATTAAAAATACCTAAGCCACTTTGTTTTTTCGTATTTAACATGAAAGCTGTCAAATTTAGGTACTGAAAGCGTTGATAGCACTTCCAGCTATTTATTGACCTATTCTAAATGTGAGAATAAAAAATATAGTTCGAACATGTCGCAATGCGCCAGTTATCCTCATAGATAGGGTGGATTCGGTCACGTTTGGGCATTTGACGTACTCTTTAACGCCATCTCGCTGAACAGAACTCTAAAATATGCTCTTGAAAAGTCATTAATGAATTTTCAAGGATGATTGGCAATTTAAAAGAAAGTAATATTGAATAGAACGGTGCTTCACTTGTCTTGCATTTATCCAACCAAACTCGGATAATTATCAAGAAAGCTATTCCGAAACAGAACATTATAAGAAAAACCACCCAACGAAGCACCAACAACCGACTATAAACATTCTGATTTTACCTCTGGAAAAGGAAGAAAAATCAGACTTTTTCATCGTCAAATCGACAGGCAACGTCGGTAAATGAAGCTGCTAAACACTCAAAAATGAACGGTGGGGAAAAATGAAAAATAGATTTATTCGACGCCCACTCGGCGACAAAAGTCGATAAATTAAGCTGCCAAAGCACTCGAGGTGGTAAAAAATTAGATTTTCGGCCAACAAAGTCGATCAATAAAACTACCAACGCACTCAAATAATGTGGGATGGGAGGAGGGAAAATTTTTGGCTAACAAATTCGATCAATAAAGGATTGGGGGAAGATGTAAGTACCGCAACTACTTGACATTGAGATTTAACACCTATGAAAATGGGACAAGGAAGAAAAATCAGACTCTTTCGTCGCCAACTCAGGCTTGCGAAAGTCAATAAATAATAAAGATACCAAAGCACTCAAAAATGTGCGAAACTTTGTTGCAAAATACATCAAGAGGAACTTGAAATAAACTATAATCAGGAACATGATGGGGGCATTCAGTGATTTTGTGAATAATAATGCCAGATATCATATTAATATCTAAAAGGTACCTTCTGTTGGCAAAGAAAATAAGGTACTACCCAATGAAGGGCTTTACAGTAGTGCTGTATTGTTGTTCGCCTGCAGCATACGGCCATATAGGACGAAGCGAGGTGCTCGTGTCATCTTTTCTATCAATTGTACAAAGATATTGGTAAAATATATTTCCCGTTTATTACTTCAACGATGGCTTGTATTCTAACTCATTCATTTCTGGATAAATTTTTAATAATTTATAATTTTTCAGTGACAAGAGGAAATTGATCATCATTGTAAAGAAGTGCCAGTAATCAAAAACATTGAAAATATCCTGCTGCATTTCACTGTTAAAAAATTGTTATTTACAAGTAAAAAAATTATTTCGATGAAGCCTTTTCACCATTACCACGTATTCCTTTTTTTTATTGAGAATAGATAAAGATAATTGCAACTTATATAGAATATATATATTTCATTCAGCTGTCGACATAATACACTCTGACAGTGAGGACTCTAGAATCACAGACGATACATAATGTGAGGTGAAAAAGCCTAGACACCAAACATAGCATAGTAAATTATTATTTTTTATGGTATTGAGAATAAATAAAGCACTTGCATGAAATTAAAAAAAAAAGTATATCAATTCCAAGTTGACAATCCTCAAAAAGTATCTACAATTTTAGGAATATTATTTTCCTGTAGTGTGGTCAGTCTTTTAAATCCCGCTGTTTTCATAATCAATGCAGTGATCTGTCGACAAGGCATGCTTGTAAAGGTTTAAATATTAAAAATACCTAAGCCACTTTGTTTTTTTCGTATTTAACATGAAAGCGGTCAAATTCAGATACTGAAAGCGTTGATAGAACTTCCAGCTATTTATTGACCTATTCTAAGTGTAAGATGATGAAAATATAGTTCAAACATTTCGCAATGCGCCAGTTATCCTCGTAGATAGGATGAATTAGGTTTGGGCATTTGGTGTACTCTTTAACGCCATCTCGCTGAACAGAACTCTAAAATATGTTTTTGAAAAGGCATTAGTGAATTTTTAAGGCTGATTGCCAATTTAAAAGGAAGTAATATTGATTATGATGGTGCTTCACTTGTCTTGCATTCATCCAACCAAACTCGGATAATTATCAAGAAAGCTGCCGCAAAACAGAACAGTCACTTGTGTCAGGAAAACCACCCAACGAAGCGCCACAACAACCGACCCTGTGGAAAAGGAAGAAAAATCAGACATTTTCATCGTCAAATCGACTGGCAACGTCGGTAAATGAAGCTGCTAAAGCACTCAAAAAAGTACAATGGGTGAAGATGAAAAATAAGTTTATTCGACGCCCACTCGGTCGACAAACGTCGATAAATTAAGCTACCAAAGCACTCGAGGTGGTGAAAAATTAGATTTTCGGCCAACAAAGTCGATCAATAAAACTACCAACGCACTCAAATAATGTGGGATGGGGGAAGATGAAAAATAGATTTGTTCGACGCCCACTCGGTCGACAAAAGTCGATCAAATAAGCTACCAAAGCACTCGAGGTGGTGAAAAATTAGGTTTTCGGCCAACAAAGTCGACCAATAAAGCTACCAACGCACTCAAATAATGTGGGATGGGGGAAGATGAAAAATAGATTTGTTCGACGCCTACTCGGTCGGCAAAAGCCGATAAATAAAGCTGCTGAAGCACTCAAAAAATTTGATTTTTTTGACGTCAACTTGGTCGGCAAAAGTCGATCAATAAAGCTACCAAAGCACTCAACGATTTCTTCTGACGTCAACTGGGCTGGCAAAAGTAAGTCCATGATTAAAACTACAAAAATGTGCAAAACCTCATTACAAGAGGCAAAAAGAGGAAAAAGAAGCAAACTGTGATTGGGAACAGAATGGAGCCAACGGTTGCTAGCGCACTTCTGAGAAAACCGAACTCATCTGTAAACAGCTGGTTTTTGAGAGAAACAAACAGGCGGCTACAACAAGGAAGAGCCATGGAATGATAGGAAATTTTCAATTTTTTTCGGCTCTGTTTACTAAGCAGAACATTGCAGATGTTTAATATAATTCGCATTTCGACAGAATCCCTATCTACGAGGTCTGCTCTCAGGCTCAATCAGGGCTAGCAAGGTAATTATTACCCCACATGGTACTTTTGAATGTTCAAACAGGCATCTTGAACTCAACTCAGCGTTGGCTATTTCCGTAGGTCAGTGTGACAGTCGGGAACAGTTTTGGTCGCCTGAAAGCCGGATGGTGTACGGCTTGACTTAAAAGGTCTTGGAGCAACATCTAAAAAAATAAACGGTTACCTGTATTGAGAATGATCTTCAACTAAGCACCGCAACTACTTGACATTGTGATGTCAACACCTATGAAAATGGGACAAGGAAGAAAAATCAGACTCTTTCGTCGCCAATTCAGGCTTGCGAAAGTCAATAAATAATAAAGATACCAAAGCACTCAAAAATATGCGTAACTTTGTTGCAAAATACAGAAAGAGGAACTTGAAATGAACTATAATCAGGAACATGATGGGGGGGCATTCAGTGATTTTGTGAATAATAATGCCAGATATCATATTAATATCTAAAAGGTCCCTTCTGTTGGCAAAGAAAATAAGGTACTAC